ACTACTTTCGTATCTGTATCATTGCGAATCAATCAATCCACCCCCACACACCCCATCCCCTCGCCACGAGGGCAAAACAATCGCAAATGAAATCTTGTTTATAAACAGCATGAATAGGTAAAAGACGCTAAGTTCTCAATGAGTGCAAAGCCAAGGGGAAAAGGACATCCAGAGCAGAGAAGAGTCAAGTTCGCCGATGATGCTGCGTTGGATGAGAGTTGCCAGCACCGATACACAAGACCACAATCCAATGGAAATGGTTGCTAGTTGATCTGCTCAGGACAAACTTTCATCGCACAGATCTGGAGAAAAATCTTGGACACAAACAAAATTATGAGAGAGTTCTGGGATCGGCGTTCGCTTAGGCGATGCCCAGAGGTGGCACCATCCCCTGTTCCTCGTGGGCCTCGCCGCCAAGCTTGTAAGACACCTTGAACCGAATTTTTACTGAGTTGCCCTTCCCAACATCGATTCCGTCCATAAGCATCTCCTGTTGGACCCCATTGTGCTGTTGGGGTGCAATATCTCGACCTGATTGCGGCCGAAGCTGTAGCGTGTAGGACTAATTTGTGGTCAGTAAGCTGATCTAGAAAGTGCATTATAGTAGGCAACTAGCTTACCTTCTCCACAGCGACCTGGAAATGGAGATCTCCAATGGGCTGGCTGGTTGTGTTTGAGAAGACGGCTACAACGTGGATTTGGCGCGGCTGGTTCGGGACCCGGCGGGCAGCAAATTCAACACGGAGCTGGGAGTTGAGGACTTGGATCTTGTTGGTTGATGGAAGTGCATTGCTCGCTGGCAAGGATGATGCAAAGTCCCATTCATCATCTTCTACTGGGGCGGCCGCCTGCGCCGGTTGCGGGGATGAACCAGTGCCTCCGACCAGGTCAAGCAATGACGACGAAGCAGGGGCAGGTTGGCGTTGCGTTGGTGGCTGGAAGGGACTAGATGTTGCGCGTGGGCTGGCAGAGACAAGCGATGCAAATGGGTCAGCTGCTGGTGGCGGTGGAGTCGCTTTGGATTGGACTTGAGGCGAGACCCCCATGACAGGTGTGGGAGATTGAGAAACGGGACGCGAACTGTTGAAAGAAGCAAGGATATCATAATTGGGTTTGAAGGCTGTTGGCGCCTGCTGCTGAGGCTGTGATGGAGCAGGCGGTGTTGACGTTGCTGACATGGACGGGAAATTCACTTTGATATTGGTCAGCGGTGATGCTTTGGGGAATACTGTGCCGCGATACTTACTGGAAGATCCTAGAGAGATACCACCTCCGGGTCCGGGAGACGGACCCTGTTCACCTAATGAAAGGCCGAGCAGGTCATTTTCCAAGGCGTTACCACCCTGGGATGGACCGGCCTCATTACCGTTTGAGCTGGGTTCAGGCTCGGGATCGAAATCGATAAGGGAGAGCTCGTTGTTTGCATTGGTTGAGACTCCCGTCGTGGTGCCCAATGTACCCTTGGGAATCCGAGATGCAGCATCCAAATCGCCCTTCTTGACCAGCTTGTACCGCTCGATTGTGCGATGTATGCTGTCGTTTATCTCCAATAGCTTGTGGACGGCCTCGGGATCATCCGATTCTTCCTCGCACATTTTCTGGATTTTGGGGTGAGCACTTTGCAAAGCACCCGCAAGTTCCTGGTAAAAGCGTCAGAGACTAATCGTCTGGCCAAGAAACACACAGGATATTGGATATTGCCTACCTCGAAAACGTCGCCTTCGGGGAGAGCTTCCCCGGGCTGTTGATTCTGCAGCATCTCTTCCAGAATCTTGGCTTTTTGTTGCACCTTAACAACCTCCTCCGCAGCCTTTGCTCGATAGTCAGTTTTATGCCGATTGTCGAATCCTGCCATAACCTTCATGAGCCGGTTCGCTTCCTGTAGATCGGCAGGAGTGCCTCTCCGAATCAACTCTTGGAGTTTGGCAGATTGTGCTTCTCTCTCTTCCTCTTCCATCTCATCGGCTGAGCGGAGATTCTGGGCATTGTTAATTTGACTCCAAAAACAATACGATGTGGGGGCCACATACATCACTTGGGTTCAAAACCGCGGCATCTTCTCGACGGACCTCTGGGAACATATATCCCTTGTAAAGCAACAAACGGTGCATATCCCGAATGAAACCTAGGTCATCTTTGTAGCGCGAGGTCTGGCAGATAGTTTGGCGCCATTCCTCGATCGACTCCAAAATGCGGTGCTGAACCCTGGAGGGCCGTATGGGTGGTCGCTCGGGGAACCTGCGGACCAATTCATTCAAGAATTCCTTTGTGCCTATCTGGAGATGGAACGGATATCCGCAGTTCTTGACGACAATATCGAGTAGCTAGAAACCGCGTCTGTCAGTCTCCCCCGCGTCAGCTATCATTTGAGCTCCCCACGTACCGCCAACGCCAGCAATGCGACATTCTGGTTTCGGGAATTGATGAGATGAACAATATCAAATGCAGCTTCTCGTGGCCTGAGGAGTGAATCAATAAATTTGCGCCATACGACATGGGTGGTTCCCACTCACGCATTGCCTTTCTTGGAGTTGATTAGATCCGCAACTTCGAGGTTCAGGGCCAGGTTTGGCTCATAGTTTTGAGGATCGCAGGCATTTCCTGTAGATCAATAATCATTAGTATAAATCATCTATGTTACATTCGTTCCAACACTAAACTCACGAATTGCCCGCTGCAATGGCGAAGCGCCCGGCTCAGCGTAGACACCGAAGCGGTCCCTAGCCGCCATTCGTGCAGATGCAGCCTCCAGGATGACGGTGGGCTCGGAAATAGGAGAGAGAAAAGAGTATTAATCGGATAAAGAGAGAGGTACTTGAAAGCACAGGGATCCAGAGGAGATGTGTACAATCGCGGACGGGGGAGGCGGGCGGAGAACCCGTTTAGGCTGCACGTGTGGCGCTTATGCTTGGCCTTGGATCTTCTTTTTTTCAATCGCTGCGTTCACCACTACGGAATACTACAAGATACTGCAGGGCACTCTTGAATATTCTTTTCTAGATTTATATCACATCATCCACCATGGTCCGTCACAAAAAAGACAACTTCTCACGAGGGGGCAAGAAATTCAACACCCCCCGCCCTCGAGTGCCCCGCGGTGATGAAGAAGTTGAGGGCGCGCCCTCATCGAGGCCTCCTTACAAGGCTGCCTGCTGGGATATGGGACACTGTGATCCTAAGAGATGTTCAGGAAAGCGATTGATGAAGCTTGGTCTAATGCGGGAGCTTCACATTGGCCAACGGCACCCCGGCGTGATCGTTTCGTATGTTGCGCAGCGCTTTTTTTCTTCTTGTTCCCTTGGCTTGAATACTGACGATTGACTAGTCCGAATGCCAAGCGAATCATTTCTCCTGCAGACAGAGATATCATGGAACAGCACGGTGCTGCAGTGGTGGAATGCTCTTGGGTGCGAGTCAAGGAAGTACCCTGGTCGCGGATCGGCGGAAAATGTGAACGTCTTCGTATGTGATAGGAATTTGCCAACAATGAACTGAATCCATGGGATGCTAACTATTGTCATTTATAGTCCCCTACCTTATCGCTGCAAACACGGTTAACTACGGCAAACCATGGCGTCTGAATTGTGTCGAAGCGCTCGCCGCTTGCTTCGCCATCTGCCGTCGCTTGGAATGGGCGGAAGATTTGCTCAGACATTTCAGCTACGGACCGGCCTTTTTGGAAATCAACAAGGAACTCCTAGCGCGCTATGCCGCTTGCGAAACAGAAGAGGATGTAAAGAGGGCAGAAGAGGAATGGTTAGCCAAGATCGAACGCGAATACGAAGACAACCGCATCGATGGAGGTGACGATGTCTGGACCAAAGGCAACACCAATCGTTTGCCGACACGAACTTCAGACAATGAGGACGACGAAAGTGGAGACGAAGATGACGAAGACGAGGGCAGCGATGAAGAAGATGAGGACAAGGATCCATTCGCGATTTCCGATGACTCTGAAGATGAAGAGCAAATGGCTGAAATTTGCCGCAAGATTCTCAATTCTAAGTCGTTCAAGAATCCCGAAGAAGATGAAAAGCAACAACCAGAGAAGATTTCTCGACCGGAGCAGCTGTACGTCGACTCGGATGCTGAGTCCGGTTCAGGGGGAAGCGAGGATGAAGAGTTCGACAAAATAATCAACGCGACGACGGTCACTGATCGCACGGGGATCAAGGCGATTCAGCAGCGTAAAGGTCTTGAGGTGCTGTCGGGCTCGTTCTCTCGAGCGGAGATTTCTGCCCCGAAGAAAGCATGAAAGTGAGGTTCTATTTAGATTACATTCCCACTCAATGAGCTTTGATTGGCTTCCTGCTCTAAAATTTACCACCTTTTCCCGGGGTCTTTTGGGTGTTTCTCTTTTTGCGACGCCCACAAACAGCTCTATTGGTTGCGACCACTGCCCTAGCAGGTGCACTTGGTCCGTTGAATTTGAGTATGGCATTCTGCTACCAGTGTTAGCAGTCGCGGTCTCGCCATTAAGGGCCAATTTGTCTGAAAATGCGCGGTCAGCAGCATTAGCAAGTTTTTCTTAATTGAGCCATGTGACCTATGCAACTATACCCGTCCCTTGGTTAGGGCCAATATGTTTGTTCTCATCCTCCATGTGTTGTGACTCACAACGATGTCTTATTTTGTACTCGGCGAGGAAATATACTGGAAATGGAAACAAAAATCAGGTATCATCCATGGATGACATCAAATTCCCTCTATTGCTTCCAGGGTTGGTTTATCACCTATAGTCATAGTTTAGCCCCCGATGACCTAGAGTCAGGGCCAAACACGGAAGCGGAGCAAGGTCAACCAATATCACACCTTTTGTCCCTCGGCTCATAGGAATCACCTACATCCCAGATACCCATCATAATCACTTACAATAGGTACCTCTCAGATATTTCCTGTGAACTCTCATTCATCACCTCAAGACCCATACAATAGCATATATTACTGGGCCTGTCCATCAAAAGCCAAACGCGGATGACATATCAGCCCATATCAACGAAATGAATGCGAGTATCAACCTTAGGCTCAAAGTCCAAGACACAAGAATGGCACGCAATCTTGAAGAGCAGGACCAAAACATGAACTACTTGCCCCTCGAAGAATCCAAGTGGATAGAATCCTCAATTAATCCGCAGCACATGGTTAATGATTTTGGGCCTTCGTGGGATTCGATACGGTCACAGCATGATGATATGCCCGAGGATTGTCAGGAACAAAATGCACAGCTGGTCATGCTCAAGGAGTTTCGGGAACAAAATGCACGGCTGAGGCACGCGATGAAAGAACAGGAAAAGGTCATCCTCCACCTTACAAAACACCACGAAGATGTCGCGGGCCAGCTTGAGCAAGACACGGCAAGAATGATATGCAAGCTCAAGGACCAGGCAAAGAAAATTGCCGACCTTGAATCTGAAAAAGGATGGCTAGTTCGTGATCTTAGAGAACAGACCAGAATAGCGTCTACGCTGGAAAAGCGAGACACGAAGATGAAAAAAGTACTTGGTGACACTGCCAGCATAATGTTCTTGGAGCTCGAGTATCAAGAAGAATTGATCAACGAGATGCCACCGAACGATTGGGAGTATTTTCAACCAACCCACGAGGCACTAATGGATCTGGTGGAAAACATTGAACACTGGACAGCAGATGACGAGAACTCAGATATGATGTTCAACCTTGAAGATGAGTCAAATGTTGATCAGCTATATGCGGAGCTGTTGTCTGGGTTCGATGAACAATCGTGCCAGCTCAAAATACAGGCAATCAAGCTCGACAGACAGAAAAGCATTATTGACGAACAAACGAGCATTATCTCCGAACTTGGGGCGCAAAAACAAAAAATGGCTGGCAATCTCGAGGAAAAAAATGTAAAGCTGGCTTTGATCCTTGAATACTTGCAAGAAACTGGTGAGGACGCACCTCTCATCTCCTCGGCCGGATACTGGTATATCGACCAGAGCAGCATGAGTTCAGTGAAGTAACCGTCTCGTACATCAAAACAAGACCTCGATAGTCAAATGGCCGGTTAGGTTGCAGAAAATTGAATCGTCATATTTGCCTAGCCTAGCTATTCCACGGTCACATTATATCCCAAAATTAAGATTCCAAATTCTCATCCTTCAGATTCCTTCTCACTGTCGTTGCTGTCTACAGAAATTGACACTATGGTGCCGATGGCATCGTGGGCAATCGACTGCATGATGCTTGGGCCAAGAATGCGTCAACGAGTGGGAGGAAGTGTGACAGATGAACGGGTTCGCATCTGTATAGACCGGACGAATGGGAGCTCGGCTGGTCCGGTTCTTCCGCCTGGGGGCGTATCTGAAGGCGTTTTGATGTTGAGATGTAGACCGGGTAGGTAGTAAGGGTAAACTTGTCGAAGGCATGTTGGAGGAATACCTTTACCTGGTATAGACTAGTTAGGATTGGTCTTGCTCTGGGGACGTCCGCGGGTATGTATGTGCCTACTTACCCAAGTCTCGTGTCGTGCCGAATGCAAATGGATTTATTATCTGATTATCTGCTTGAGATATTGAATTGATTGAGCCTAATGTTTTCCATACTAGAGTAATCATAATAAAAAGTCTCGGTAAGATGCCCAGGATGCCTAGGAAACGCAAGACCTAGAATATGCAAGGGCTTAGATAAATCCTTTTCAGTGGACATGCAAGGTATCATTAGTTACAAGGTTTATACATATCTAAGATCTCGGGCAAAAGAAACCGGATTAAACAGCTTGATGCGTGTTAAATCCTTGTCGTTTCTAGGGAAACAGTATAGGAACCATTAGGGATGCGTACTACGGAGGCTTTTGTAGAACTCACTCGTGGGTGAATACATACAGCAGAAAGTACATACCCCGGGCCTAACCTCGGCTCGGGTTGGGTCTAGCCCAATACAACCTGGAAATGGGCTGGGCTTTACTATCGGTGGGCTATGGGCCCGGGGTGAAACCCCACTGGGCCCTGATGGGGGCTTATTAGGGCCCAAAAAGCGCCAAACAATACAGATATTCTGAAAAACGTGACTTTTTTTGAGAAACCATGTGTATAGACCCCGTTTCTCGCCTTTATCTAAGAGCAATATTCCATAATTCTAATTGGTATATAGTAAATTAGCACTTATATACATCAAATTTTAAAACGCGAGAAAACGTGCTATAAACAATTTAGAAATTATAGTTGGTTTCATGTACCTACTATCACTCCCACTCACAGGGGTGGTTATAGAGCTAGAAATAAATCCCTGATTTGGGTCATTGCCAATGTATGTCATTCCGCATAGGGATAGGTCTATAGGATTAGGAATTTCATGGAGACACCACTTCTCAATGACAATGTTAGTATTCAAGAGGTTGTTCAGTGGCACAGATAAAAAAAATACAAGAATTGTTCGTTCCAGGCTATACAAACTGAAGTTTTCAATGTAAATGCCGGTCTCATGTATCTGAATATTGAATGGTTTCATGTGGAGTAACATCAACGCATCATTCACTCCTCTCAGGCTCGCCGCGCTATAACCAAGCCCCGCGATGGCGGGGTAAAAGCCCAAGGTCATAGATATCAAGTGCCTCAGCAATCCTCTCGTAGCCCCCTTCACTTGAAAATAAGTATAAAAGGTCAATGTTCTATCCAAGTTGAGTTCGTACACGTGGCGGGTGAAGCTCACCTTCACCGGGGCGGAAACACCTCCCACTTTTCCCACAATCCCGTAACCCACTTTCAACCACCACCCTTGGAATACCCTTGAACAGTAGTCCAAAATGCCCGATAAAGACTCTGGTACACCCCGTGTCTTCCTCTACCGACACGGTATGTTTCAGAATACCAATCTTTTTCTGTGGTCTAAATAGATTCTAGGACAGACGGAATGGTCCAAGAATGGACGGTACACCGGTATCACTGAGCTTGAACTTACCCAAGATGGTGTTAACCAGGTCAATGCGTCCGGGAAGATGATTGTCGGATCTGGCAAACTGATTGACCCAGCCAAACTTGCGCATGTCTATATCAGTCCCCGTCGACGAGCTATGCAGACCTTTGAGATTGCTTTCTCTGATGCCGATAAGCAAGCGCTTTATGATGCGAAAAAGGTCTCTGAGACTGATAGACTGGCCGAATGGGACTATGGTTTGTATGAAGGTCTTTTGACTAAGGAAATCCGGGCCTTGAGAAAGGACCACGGTCTGGATACCGAGAGCGAGTGGGATATCTGGAGAGACGGCTGCGAAAATGGAGAGTATGTATTTTTTTTTGCAAGGGGATTTTCTTCGAACCCATGCCCAATCACCTACGATCAAGTATATCTGACCTGGTCAATATAGGTCTGCGCAACAGGTGACGGACCGTCTTGATAATCTCATTCAAGAGATTCGCACGTTCCACAAGGGCAACATGCACGGAGAGAATCCTTCCGATATCCTGCTTGTTGCACACGGACATTTGCTTCGTGCCTTTACCAAGCGCTGGTTAGGATATCCTATGGAGTTTCCTCTTTCTCTGATGCTCGACCCTGGTGCCGTTGGCGTCCTCAGGTAATTTTCCTTCGACCCACTTCACTGGCCTAACCGCTGACCTTTTTTTCTATTTGCAGTTACCAGCATCATAACATTGATGAGCCTGCTATGTTGGTTGGATACGGATACCCGTTGCAGGAATGATTTGAAACGTCTGAATAGAGTATCGTAGAAGTCAACATGGTCACTAGATATAGACACGATACACGTGATCAATATATTCTCGGGGGGTATGTTTACGCGGAGTTCATTCTTTATGCCCTTGATAGAAAGCATGTAGTTGTAAATAAGATAAACTCTGCATGAGATTACAGAGAATGCTACATGGAAGGATCGATCATTTTCCCATGCGACTGAAAAAAGCAACGTCATAACCCCAGAGCCTCCACGGTCTTCAGAACATCGAGGCTGTGCGTCAGATCACCCGGGGAAAACCCCAGTTCGTCAAGTTCAAGTTCGGAAGCTCAGCCCTACTGCCAAGCCATCCCCCGCGGATGCTCCGTTCGCCTGACCTGACCAACTGATATGGCATATAGCCCTGCCGCTGTCAGCCTTCTATATGATATGTCTTCACTCTAGGTATGACATCAATACGAGAGCCTTTGAAGGCAGCTAAGATCAGGTGGGAATGGAGGCTCTTGGCTTGAGGGCACCGGATGGCACTAACACTAGATCGTCAACTAACGCGGGCTACTCCGTATATGATCGTCTCTCCCCTGAGGAGTTTCATTGATTTCTTTAGACTTTGTGACCTAACATGTACTTTTCGGGGAATTCCCTCGAGACTGCTCATATTACTATTTTGTCATAGAAACGCTTCATCCTTGAGATTGGAACTTAAGTTGGCGCCAATATCATGCCGCACCACAAACACGACGAGTTTTCGGTCGCTGATGCCAGAAAGGAGGTTCATGAGGCATCAAGGTCCACATCTCCACCGCCAGCGCAAGAAAAGCGCGGCTCAGCCTTGATAAACTTCTTCTCATCCTTCCTCGGTCCTAAGAACCCGCTCGCGCACCCAGCAGACCCACGCCAGCACACCGTATGGCTGCTAAACAATACAGCGTACCAGCCAGTAAATGACGAGACGGACGAGACTCAGCTATGCTGGCATGCCGAAGTCGTCGCCTGCATTTTCGAAACAGAAGGACGGAAAGACGTGGGCAACCTCGTGGCTGCGATCGCAGATTACATCGGGCTGGATGGTGAGGTCGGCGGCGATGACGAAGCACGCCAACGCATCGCAGAGCGTGTCCAGCCATTTCTCAACCAGGTCTCGCCGGCGCGCACGGTCACGCTGCAGGTACCCATATCCCGGCCGTCACAGTCGCATGGACTCGGTCCATCCGATCGCAACGGCATCGTCAGTCAGACGGTCGATATGGGTCGAGTGGAGATCTACGATGGCGAGATCTTGCAGCCGCGACTGCATCATTTCGGCGACAAGCTTGTGTCGATGAGCACAACTTTTGCTGCGCCTGAGGGCTGGCTGATCGTCTCGGATATCGACGATACTATCAAACACACTAAGACGCTTGATCCCACGGGAGTTATTCGCACGACGTTTGCCGACGTCCCTGCGCCAATAGCTGGTATGCCGGAACTTTACAGATATATTCATGCTGAGCTTCGTCCTGCGTGGTTCTATCTCTCTGCGTCGCCATATAATCTTTATCCTTTTCTGCACGACTTCCTAGATGAACACTACTGCCCGGGTACGCTGGTGCTGCGCGATTACTCGTGGATGGATATCACGGGACTTATCAAGTCGTTCACTGAGAAGACGCAGGAGTACAAGGTTGATCGGATGGAAAAGATTCGGCAATGGTTCCCACGTCGGAGGGTGCTTTGTATTGGGGATTCGACGCAGAAGGATCCGGAGGCTTATGCGGAAATGTATAGTCGGTATCCCGACTGGATTCATGCTATCATTATTCGCAAAGTTACGGATGTGGCACATATGGAAGAGAAGAATGAGCCAGGGAGGTTTGAAAAGGCATTTGAATATGTACCATCGCATATCTGGACGGTCTTTGAGGATCCGGAAGAGTTGTATAATTTTGTTGATGGGCTGGGAATGGAGGACCAAGTTTTATAGATGTATTAATCTGTACATATGTTGTTGAATCAGCTATTTTGTCAATAATATTTTCTCAGATATATTCTGCCTTTCCGAATTGTTGGTGAGAGTGGACATAAGGATAAATAAAAAATAGTCATCACCTGGATTGACCGGCGATCAGAACGGCACGTCGGGTCCAAGCGATACGGAAGGCAGGAAAACATCAAAGGCAAGTAGGTTGGGGGATAAGAAATACACAATTACCAACCCACTAGACTAAGATGCCCCGTACCTTGAATGGCCAGGGCAAGGCACGGTCTATAAGACCCGTGACTAGGAGGTCTTGATTTTGATATTTCATCATGCTATCTCCCTTGTATAACAGACTCTCTATACTAATTATCCTATCAAACCCAGTCAAATAGAAATGTGAGATCGTATAGCTGTTCATTGCAATGGAATTGATCGGGATTGTTAAGTGGCGATGTTGGCCTAAGCCCTACATACGTCAAGATTAGGAAATGGCCTCCGATCTATAGGTAAGTGAGATGGCAAAAGAGAATACTCTACTTCTAAGGCCCAGACTTCTTACGACTCATTGAACTCAAATTTCTTAACTCAAAAGATGGATCAAGATTCCAACGACAGTATGCAGTCAGACATACCTCCCACGCAACCCATCGTGGAACACGCGCCCCCAAAGCATCCATCGGAGCCCTCAATACGCACCGCAGAAGCTATGCGGCAGCCGTCTGAACCCTCAGAGCGCACATCAGAAGCAAGAAAGCGCACATCAGAGGCCACGAAGCCCACTTCACATGCCACAAAGCCTATCTCGTCAACATTGAACGACTCACCTTTCACACCACTATCCATGCGAGCCCTCTATTACACCCCAGATGTGTTAGAAAATGAAGCGCCAGACGGCATCCCAGAAGGAGAAATCAGTGACGCTATGTCACCCGACACAAACACAAGCGTTATTCGCAAGAAGGGAACAGACCTCGTGTTCGACACAGGCTTTCCAACCCCACAGCCCTCTCCTCAGCAATACCTGCTGAAGATCGCCACAGCAGCCTTCTGCCACGATGAGATCCGTCTAGCTGAACTTCTCAATCCCCCCAAGGCCGCACCGCAGATCCCACTCCACAGTCTCTGCGGGACAGTCATCAGCACGCCGCGTGAAGACGACGAGCATGAAGAGGGCCCGAAGTTCAAGATAGGCGACGTAGTCTTCGGTGTGGTTAGTTATACGCGTGACGGCGGAGCGGCAGACTATGCCGTCGCGACTGAGCGCGAGCTAGCGCTGAAGCCAGACAATATCACTGTTGCTGGAGCTGCAGCTCTTGCGTTGCCGGCATTGACGGCTTGGCAGGCGCTTTTTCGGTATGCGGGGCTTGATCCCGACGTTCCTGGCGGGTTGAACGAGGGCGATGATGCTTTTGGAAATGAGATGGGGCGGTGGCTTTGGCAGCCCCAACGCCGTGATACCGTGGTCGGCAGCAAGGATTATGGCTACGGGCACCGCAAAAGCACGGTCGTTGGTGCTGGTGGCGGTGCAGGAGGCGGGAACGGTGGCCTGCTAAATGATACTATCAATGATGCTAGCAACGGAGCTGGAAACGGGCGTTGGGTTTGGCAGTGGACTCGCCGCGGCGACGCACCCAAAGACAATACCAGTGGCATCGCCGGTACCAATGGTGGGGACATTGACAACATCCCTCCCGCTGCCAGAGCAGTCAATCCCCCCTGCCAATCCTAGGAACGTGCGCCGCGAGAGCCTAATCAGTCTCGTCAGCGGTAATCCCAGTGGCAAAGCCGTTCCCCGCGCTGCTAGCACAGTTGACCCCAACCCCAAAGCCACCGTCCGCCGCAACAGTTTGATCGGCCTGATCAAAGGCAATACCAACGCTCCATCAGCCCGCAGTGCAAGCACGGTCGATCCTAACGCTAATGCCGATACCAATAACAATAGCCGCCGCGCCAGCCTGGTCAATTTAGTACGCGGTAGCACTAGCTCTGGACGGCGTAGCAGCCTGATAGGAAGCATAATTGGCGGCACAGATTCCAACGGGAACGGCAAGCAAAGAGTACCCAAAATCCGAGTCCTCGTCACCAACGCCCGCGACAACGACATTGGCCGCGTCGCGGTGCAGATTCTGCGAGCAGATTCGCTCTTTCCTACCGCCGTCCGGCCGTGGATCTGTGTAACCTGCACGCAAGTCGAAGCTGATATCATTGAGAAGGATTGGGAAGTGGACGAGATAGTCATCATCCCGCACCTCCCATCCCCAGACGAATGTAATATCGAGAAGGTGTTCCGTGCGCGCCGCTGGCAGCCGGTTGATATCGTGCTCGACTGTGCCGGCGGCGAGGTATTCCGAGCTGTTCATGCTGCCGGTGTCGTCAAGGACTACGGGGCTGTACTGACTGTTGTGGATGGCCAGGTTGCGCAGCAGTCTCCGCTTGTTCCTGAGAACGATGTGCTAGGTGAGAAGACGCGTGGTATTAAGAGCCGTTTTGTGCCTGTGAATCCTGATGGGTTGGCTATGGAGCGAATTGCAGAGTTGGTGGAGGAGAATCTGGTCTGCGGGAGAGAGATTACTGTCGTTGATCTTGCGCGTGCGGCGGACCTTTTGGCTTCTGGAGCTGCCGGGACGGCGGGCAGTCGAAGTGGTGGAATGGTGGTTGTTAGGGTTAATAGTGTTGCCAGTACTTAGATTGCCATTTTATGCATTTTAATAGATATCAATAGTAAGGAGAGCAACCTAGGGTGTATCAATTTGAAAGAATTGCGCCACGATCACTTACTTGGTAGGCCACCATTTGCGCAATGCAACAAGTTCAAAAGAAGAAGATAAAACAAAGGGTGAAGTAAATCAAAGTTGATGAGAAATCCCATACAGGAATAAGTTTTGACCCGACAATCCCATATGATAAAAAAAAGAAGCGACGCTCTGCCTCCAGATCACTACATGAACAGAGCAAACCCGATGATTTGTGGCCGAGGTGCAAGGCAGGAGAGAGGGAGAAGGTGAGAGAAGGCGAGAAAGAAGAAGTCGTGAACAAAAAACAATGTATTACGCGGTACCTCCGTTAAAGTAAAGAATCAAGTCTGGTAAAAACGCTCAAGCATGCGGCGACAATCTATTGAATTAGTATATGAAGTGGTTGACAAAAGGGAATGCAGCTTACCTCCATCTGAAGCTCTTTGTCCTTGTTTCGATTGATCTCTTCATTGACCACTTGAGCCAAATTAGCTCCAATCGCCTGCGAACCTCCAGTTTTCCGGGCAAACGGCCATTGCGAATACTCGGCCAGCAATTCATCCACCTGTGCAAAAGCTCTCTCGCGGGCCTCGTGGCTCATGGTGACCAAAGCGTTTTCGAGAACATTAGCAGCGTATGCGGCACAGACCATGGTGATTGAACGAAGGTATCGGAATTCAGCGTCTTCGGGGAGCCACGGGCTAGGAGGAATAATCACAGTGCGGTTACTGCAGATGTTGCGTACCCGTCGGTGGAGGTCTTCTTTCGCGCCGCCGTCGGCCACGGGATGCGTCGCCATATCGAAAAGAAGGAAATTGCGCTTCTCGGTTCGTAGAATACCCTTGTCTACAAGACCCTTGGCCAGTCGCTCCCGTACCTGCTTCAATTGATATCCGATCTTCATCAAATTCCAGGTTTCGCCTATGACCCGCCCAGTCAGTAAATATGTTGCGACCCAAACTTCTGCTCCAGGTTCATCTCACCACTCAGCAAATCAATCCATGAATTGACGCTCATCTTCTCGCTTGATTTCATCATCTTCAGTGTCTCGTCCAGCAAGACCTCTCCAGTCAGTGTATCGTCGATGACCTCGATGATGCGATCGGCCAGGGGGAAACGTCGCCGCGAAGAATCCTTTTGCATGCTTATACGGCCGCGGAGCGCGAGTTCAATGACGATACACCCTCGCAGGGCATAGGAGATGTTTTCGTTCCAGAAAGACAGATAGCCCTGTTGCGGCGCGGGTAGGTCAGCGATCGGAACCACAAATCCAAGAATCGGACATGAGATAATATCCATGAAGACTGACCTGTTTATCCTTCAGACCCAGCAGCAAGATATCTTCCATCAGAGTCAATTTGGGCTGCTTGCCCCGTTCCTCGTTTTCGCTGATGTCGCGGGGATCGAACGCGATCTTGTGGCCATTCTCTGCATTGGTAAACGATGTCTCAGGCCCACGAGTATCCATCGCCGAGCCATTTCGGGAGATTGGAGATGACACTCGGCTGTCATCTTGTTCGTCTGCCCCAGCGACTCGACCGGCGCCTCTGCGGCGAGTCAAGCCCCCGGCTGCTGAGGCCATGAGATCGGGTCGGGTGGGGTATCAAAAAGGAACAGAGAGAGATATGGCCCGGTATGACCAAATGCTTCCGATCTATATGCCGGTGGTTTGAATGGTCTGGGTGGTGCGATGTTGAGAGGGACCGTGAAGACCGAGAGTCTGTGGTTGAAGTGGGACTTTCGGTGTCAGGGGAAACCAGGGACCGAGTGGGCTAGCCAAAACGATAAAGTGTCGGTTATATTCAATTCAACCCGCCTCAATATAAGAGGAATAGGCGACTGCAATGGAGTTGTGGAAAGTGTGAAGGTCAAAGCAAGTTCATTCGGTGAGGTGGCTCTTTGAGCATTTGCGGGTGCGTAGACGCCCGTCAAAGGACATCGGGATGCTAATCTCCCAGTTATGATACTATTTTCTAGCTCTAAATTTTTTTTATTTATTTTGGCAATCTACATTACTTGGCATATACTTACGATCTTTGCTCCATTCCAATATGCTTGTGCACTTTGTGTTTTTGTTTGTGTTCACTGTGAAACTGACATGTACTCGCGAAGCTATCTCTGCATGCAAGTCTACGTGCGATCATATGATAAAAGTAATTATGTAGCTAAGTACATATATTTGTATGTATCTATCAAAGAAGGTTAGCCCAATGGACCATTAAGCTGGGAACATACACTAAAAATAACATATATCAAAAGCCAGACGCATTCGGTGATTATCACCATGTAGTAGCAATACTGTCAATACTGTTTCAAAATTGCATGAATTGCACTCAAATGATATACACGATATAGGAAAGAAAAGTCACTAGCATGTATTCAGCATACAAAATAGCATCTCAGTTGAGCGTCACTGTGTCCAGCGAACCCCACAGACGCGCCAACATCCCGATTCTTTTTCTATCTGATTCTCCAACCGATCCCAAATTTTCAAATTAAATATTTAGTGGGCTATGAAGAAGTCAGCAAATGTCAAGGACCAAGAGGGGTTACGGGTTTCAGTTACCATCGGGCTGGGCCATGATGTACTCGACAGCCTTGTCAACTATGCGTAATATTCATATTAGCTCTGGTTGATGAAATACAAGTGCTTGTTCTAACATACCACTGTGGATCTGGTCGGCCTCCTTGTCGGGGATCTCGATGCTGAACTCCTGTTGAAACAGTCAGATATCGTTCATAGAATATATAATCAGTGCTTTCCGAGGGAAACCGGGCGCGTACCTCTTCAATGGCCATCACAACCTCAACGGTGTCCAGGCTGTCCAGACCGAGGTCGTTGGAGAAGTGGGAAGCGCCGTTGATCTGTAGGTCAAACAATTTTAGTTGATGAATGTTTTCGGTCGCCTCTCCTATAGCGCATAGCGATAGGAAAGTCATGACGGTCCATCCGACTGGAGATTACTGACCTTGCTGGCATCGGAGACCTAAGCATGACACAGATCCAGTTAGCATTTTGATTTTCGTCTATAGCCGATAGATCGCGAGATTCCCCGGGGAAACAACATGACGCACCTTGTCGAAGTTCTTGAGCAGGTTGACTATCCGGCCCTCGGCCTCGTTCTTGCTCAAACCGGCAGGAGCGGAGTAGAGGCGGATACCCTGAGCGAAGCAGGGAGTGATTTGAGGGACCTGGGCAGCAATGGGAGAGCTGCGGATGTGGAAGGGAGCCGGGGTCTTGATGACACGGGGGGCGGAAGCCTTCAAGGAACGAGCAATGGCGGAGCGGAACATGATGAAATAGATTGATCGGACTAGCGCAAAGGCTGAAAAGATCTAAAGTATTAAAAAGAAAAGGTGGAGAGTAAAAGGGTAAAGATTGGAGGAAGACGGCTGCCGCAGAAGAGGAAAGATGTGAGGTCGCGCCCAGCAAAATCCTGCGGGCCAATCAACGCCCGACAGAAAGGAATGACCTAAGCCCGAAACCTGCAAACCACCACAACCTAAGACTTGCTCCCCTACCACCTCCAATTGAACCTCGATTCCCCATCCCTCCAACTCAATCTCCTCTCCAAAACCATGGCCGCCACCCGCTCGGTCGCGAGGCTGATCGCCTACCGTCGGCCGACCCCCTTCGGTTTGCTGGGCTCAACCGCAAACTTCTCCTCCTCGACCTACCGCGCAGCAAGTCCAGCGGGACCCCCTCAGGCCGGGTTCCGCCTGCCCCCGCCCAAGCGCTGGGATCAGGACTCCGAGTCCGCCTTAGACAAGGCTAGCAAATACTTCCTCATGGCTGAGATCTTCCGCGGCATGTACGTGGTGCTCGAGCAGTTTTTCAGACCACCGTAAGTCCTTGTTCCACACCTTGCCGGCGATGCGGATTGCAGTCCAGAATCAATAGCGTCGAATTGTATCATCTAATTGCCTTGCCATGTTCTAGTTACACCATCTTCTACCCTTTCGAGAAGGGACCTATCTCCCCCGTTTCCGTGGCGAACACGCTCTCCGTCGCTATCCCACTGGTGAGGAGCGCTGCATTGCTTGCAAGCTTTGTGAGGCCATCTGCCCGGCCCAGGCTATTACTATCGAAGCCGAGGAGCGTGAGGACGGAAGCCGCCGGACGACCCGTTATGATATTGATATGACCAAGTGCATTTACTGTGGCTACTGCCAGGAGAGCTGCCCTGTGGATGCTATTGTTGAGAGTGAGTCTAACATCCTCTGGTTACATCTCAATTGATATTCAGACTGAAGTACTAATACTTTGTCTTTCAGCTTCCAACGCCGAGTATGCCACTGAGACTCGCGAGGAGCTTCTGTACAACAAGGAGAAGCTTCTCTCCAACGGTGACAAGTGGGAGCCTGAAATTGCTGCTGCTGCTCGCGCAGATGCTCCCTACCGATAATCTATTTTCCTCCAATCTGATTGAGATCTTCAGGCAAATCCACATCTATTCCAAATGTTAGATGTGTGAACACGAAGATGCTGGTCACAATACCCACCCATTCAAGAGGCACTACTAGTGCCTTGAAAAACAAGAAAGATTTTAAGCCCCATCACATCACTGTACATAACTTGCCCTCGATTGTGTTATCATCTTGTACTAGTCAATTCCTGAAGGAGATGTCTTTTCCTGGAACACTGGCTCCCTTGTCTCTTTTTATTTCCTATGTTATGGAATCTAGCAGCTCTTTTCTTCTGGTTGAGATTCAATTCAAAATATATAAATTCCATCAATCCCCTATTATATCTGCGCGAAACACTTTTCCGCTAACTGCATACATATATTGCATATTGGGATCTAAAGGATTACATAGACAAGACATAGGAAACATGTATACAGCTCGATAAGAAAATGATATTGTATTCACAGATAAATCAAATCGCTACCGATGCTGTCATGCATAGACATAAATTGACAGACCAAGCTGCCAAAGACACAAACGCAAACACCAGGCACCTTGATCTCCGGACGGATATTTCCCAGTCAAGTCTCAAAACACTTTTTTTAGTTGGTTCGGGGGCTTCCGTGTGCTTTCTTGTTTCAGCGATGTGAACATCCAAGAGACAAAGACACGTTTGAAGGGTATGCAGAGAAAAGAAAAAGAAAACTCTAGAAGAAGATGGGTTGATGTAAAAGCAAGTGAGAAATGAAATGAAATTAAGCCACCAGATGGAAGCTTGCTTATTTCTTCTTGCCACCACCCTTGAAGCTGCCCTCGAATCCAGGACGAGCAGCCTTCTTCTTTCCACCGCTGCTGGACTTCTTCTTGCCACCCTTGGTGCCCTTCTCCTCCCGGCGCTTGCGGAGGTTCTCTTCGCGCTTGTTCTGGCGTTCTCCCCTGAATTTGGCGACAGCGTCCATGCGGTCTCCCCATTCACGCTCGGATCTCTTCTTCGCTGTCTCTTTGCGCTTGAGAGCCTTTTTCAGTAGAGAGGTATCGTCGCGGACACGCTCGCCGTGAGCACGCTTCTTGGCATTCAGCCACATGTCCTTCTCTTCGATATCGGCACGCTTGGTAGGGTCCATCTCTTCGAGGCGGGCTTTCTTGGCCTCAGCGGCCTTGAGCTGGGCACCAGGATCACGGGCACCGCTGGTCTTCGGCTTGTCGCGCACGCTGGTTCCAGTGGCATCTGTCTGCTGGCCGTCTGCGAACATCACACGGCCAAAGGAGAAGTTGTTGCTGGCAGAGCCGACGGACTCGGCAGGGGAGCGGGGGATGCCAGAAGAGATCCAGAGCCACCGGGCGAGAAACGACGGGCCATGGCCTCGTCGTTCTTCTTTTCTTCCTCAATCTTGGCCTTTTCACGCAACTCTTTCTTGTGTGCTTTTCTTTGATCGGCCTTTTGCCGGCGGGCTTCGATCAGCTCTTGGCGGTTACGTGCAGGCTTGCCGTTGAGTCCATCCGCATGGCGCTTAGCCCGGAGCTCATCCAGGCGCTTTTGTAGACGTTGCTTCAGCTCTTCGGGTGTGTGCTTGAGAGGTTTGGGCTCTGAGGATTTGGCATCGGTGGAGGCGGAGGGGGGAACGATGGAGGAAGTGGAGGAGGTGCTCGATTGAGGATTTGAGGCATCGAGGCTAGGGGAGTCAGTGGTAGATGGGGCAGAAGAAGGGGTTTCCGGTTCAATATTGAACTCAACGGAGAAGCCTTCCTCAACAACTCCGCCATCTTCTTGGTCGTCATCCTCTTCATCCTCGGACGCTTCAGTGTCCTTGGTTGCATTGCCGTTAGGCTTGGGTGCAGATTTTTCCGAATCTTCAGTTGGGGTACTCGATGGCTTTTTGGCCTGCTGAGCCTTCTCCTTCCGGGCAGCATCCTTGGCCTTCTTTTTCTCCATTTGGGCGGCCTTCTTCTGGGCTTTCTTCTCTTCCTTTTGCTTTTTCCGTGCCTCAGCCTCTGCGGTCTTGGCAGCGTCTGGCTTATCAGTCTTTTCGACCTGCTTTTGCTTCTTGACGTTGGTGGTTCCGCGTTGCAGTCCTTCCTTAGGGGTCTCTGTGCCCAACTCTCCGTCGGACGAGTCGGACTCGAGGGTGCCGTCCTCCCGCTTTCTCTTGCGTGCGTTTTCATCCATCACATCTTTGGCGGTCTTAGCGGCTTCGGGGTTCAGCTTCGCCCGCTTCGCCTCACGTGCTTGCTCTTTGGTTTGCTTTTTGCGTTGCCATTGATCCTAAAGATGAGGGTGATGGTCAGACAGAGATCTTCAGAATGAACGATGATGGGAAGAACACAATATTGACCCCAATTCTGACGCGGCCAGCTCATCAAATGCAACAAGGACTACATACACTTGTATCTTCTTCGCCATAATAGTATTTGGCGGGGATCAAAGACAGTAGACCGTCAAATGCCTGCGCATGGCTGCGCAGCCGTTCCTTAGGGGCAGTCAGCTCGCAATCCTTGCGGGACATTTTCCGAGTGCACAAACCTCGATATCATCCATGATCTTTTCCCGTAAACAGAAATTGTAATCTGGAGGGGAAAGCTCGATAATCAAGCGCAACGAAAAATTTGGGGGAGGAAATCTTGGCGCTACAATTGTCTCCGCTTCGGCTGGTTCACCGCCTTCACGGAACAATTTTGCTGTGCTGGTCTGTGCGTAGATAGAGAGGCTACCTGGAGGTCGGTTCATTGTTCCGTTGACCTTATACTTTCAATTCATTCCCTTGACTGTACTCTATTCTGCCTTTCCATTCTATTGACTTCTTGACTATATGCATTGTTATATTTCAATTCATGAATATACGCTTAATGACAAAGAAAGTGTATATGCTTTCCATCTCTACTCCGTATATCAAAACTGATCCACGAGAGCAGTCCTTACATCTAGTCCCGGGCATTTCTCGCTTTCGATACTCGTCACATTCCCATATGGCCAAGGATCTGTCCAAATGAGATCGAATCTGAGAGAGTCAGCACTGAAACATAACACAAGGCAAACAAAGGAGCTTCTGTCGAAGAGAATGACGAGTCGAAGATTCCACGAGACAACCGTCTCCCACAGATATGCTTCTCCCACTGCAAACCCCATACTCATGAGCCAAAAAACACATGAACACACAATAACTTACCGCTCATCCGGATATTCAATAGACTCGAGAGCCCCAAGCTCCTCCTCAATCTTACCCATTTTCGAGTGCCGCCATGCAATCAAAATGTTGCCCGGTCCGTCATATGACCTGATCGCCTTAGCGACGCATTTCACCTGGTTTCGCTTGCAATGTGTGTCGACTGTGAGACCGAGATCGTTGGCAAGGGGTAGAACGGTCTCAAACGAACGTCCATGCGCTCCATCTACAGACAGGGACCATATTGTTAGCCATATCTATGATATTCGACACCCCCTGCGCCTCGCTTCTGTACTCGCATTGGTTTCTCTTCGGTTCTTGTTGCAAACCTACCCTTTTTCACACGAGGTGCCATAATATGCCCGATGCTGTACCCCGAGTCTTGACCGAAAACACGCCTCAGACACTGTGCCCGCTTGACCCCGTCTGAGCTTAGACCATGCTCGTTTGGATTCCGAGGCTTCTCGCCGTGTCGAATTATATAGACCGTTGGGTGTGATTTGGCAGATGCGATGCTGAGACAAAAGCACAGAGCGGAGAGGACCGATTGCAGCAGCATTCTTCTGGCACATGGACTAACTATAGCCCAGTAATATACAAGTAAGCGTGTAATAGCTAGTCTCTGGACAACGAAGCAGTGAAGAACCAAGATTGATCCCTAGAGACAATTATAAGAGGGTGAAAAAAGCAAAACCGCTATGAAAACTTGCCCATGCTGATCGGGCACCCCTAGCTCGAGTTATAAGTGCAGGACAACCATGATTTAGGTCCTGTTATGAAGTCTCACACCGAGGAGAAAAGTAGGGCGGAAACATTCAAAACAAAGCAAAAAGTGGATCGGCAGAGAAACATTCCAATGATCATCCGGCAGCGAGAGCGTCAGGGCTGAAAGAGGAGTGAACTGCTGTAGCTCAGATGAGCAGTTGACAAACTAGTCATATGTACTCCGTACTTCGTACAGGTGGGCGTTCCTTTTGCTATAGCTCGGCGATTTGATTGGTCTAGCATAGTCTGCATGTCTGGTGCACTCTGTTGATTTATATATCTACACTACATCGTATATTTTACGCGGTCTACGAACCTAGACTACAGAACATTCAACCGCTACTACAATACAACAATATTTTATATCTTCTATATCATCCTCCGCCCGAGCCGATCAAGGCGTCATGACGGTCAAGACCGTGTGTTCGGAGTATATCGCCAATGTAATTCAAACTCTTGTACTTGCAGTCAGCGCATACGCTGTACAACGTAGGATATACATAACCCGGGGATGGATTAAGCTACTGTCATCCGATCAAGTCCCATGTTATAGTATAATGTTTACATGTAAACCAGTCATGCGTTGATCCTCAATCCTACACACCCGAGATGAGAGCATCTGAGTGGTCCACGAGATCAACCGGTGGTCTGTGGTCGAGTTCACAAGAAAAGGGTCTCGCTTGCTAGTATTCATTGCCGATAGGATGTATCTCTTATATCCTGTATTTTGGCTCGCATGATCTTCAATCAATAGGTATATATAAATATATATATATTACTGACATCCCCAAAGTCAAATTTACAAACTGTTTACACTGTACGTTGTTACCTCCCGATTCGCCATCAAGTGAAGATCACTTGAACATGTCATCATTATGATTTCAAAGCAGTCTGACTTGTTTTGAGAACATTTATTCACCAAGATGTCAAATGGTGGGCTCATGCTTCATATTATAGAACATAGATACTCCATTTTCTTCTTGGAAAGCTGATGCCAAAAGTCACAATCGGGTGACGCCACAGTTCGGAGTAGCAAAGTCCCGATTGGGGTGGTCTATTCGGGAAATGAAGGGGCTTAGCGTAGGCAACCAAATAAAATGCCCCAATGCGGGAATGCCGAGAGGCACTACGCAGTAGTGGGGGAAAGATATTCTGGAAGATCTGTGGAAGCCGAGGGATCCGTGTAATCTATTTGAAGATCCGGTAATGTTCAAACATGAGCCTGGCATAGCCACAGCTGTATACGTAAGGTACTATGCTGGAGTGTGGCGGTGTCACTTAATCGGGCGAAGTGCATGGGTCTGATTCGATTCTGATTCGCACACTAGTAAGAACATGGTAATACCAGAAGATTTACAAGGCTGAAAGGCTGACGCTTACTGCGCCCCTCGTTCCGTAAGTTTTCGCTTGCCATGTGGGGTTCTTTCCGTCAGCCCTGTGGTTACTCCATACACTTGGAGTTACCTCTTATAAAAGGTTGTCCCCCTCACTTCACTTCTCTTCACCCTTCCTACCTTTCATCCTCCAATCTTCTACCAAATCAATTCTTCCATCAATCTTCTACCAACCCAATTCATATAACATTATGTCCGGATACGACCAATACAACCAGGGCCACGGCCAGCAGGGTTATGGCCAACAGGGCTATGGCCAGCAAGGTTACGGCCAACAAGGCTACGGCCAACAAGGCTACGGTCAGCAAGGCTACGACCAACAGCAACAGTATGGTCAACCTCAACATGGTTACGGTCAGCAAGGTTATGGCCAGCAGCAGGGTGGTTCTTCCGACTACTACGCCGGTCAGCAACATCAGCAGGGCTACGGCCAGCAACAGGGTGGTTCATCCGACTACTATGCCGGCCAGCAACACCAGCAAGGCTATGGACAGCACGACCAAAACCGCCAGGGGTATGTAATTCGCTCACCTTTCAGTTCATTTATCACATACTGACAGACCACAGTGGTTACGAACAGCAGCAGGGTGCTCCTGGTGAGGCCCAGGAGGGCGAGCGTGGTCTTGCCGGTGCCCTAGCCGGTGGTGCCGCCGGTGGCTTCGCTGGCCACAAGGTCAATCACGGTTTCCTCGGAACAATTGGTGGAGCCATCATTGGTAGCATCGCTGAAGACGCCGTCAAGAAGCACCGCAACAGCAACAGCCAGTCTCCTCCTCAGTACGGTGGCCCCAACAGCCAATACGGTGGCCCTCCTTCCAACAACGGCAGCAGCCCGTCCATGATGGATCAGCTCGGTGGCTTCTTCAAGAAATAGAGGGTCTTTGATGAACTTTTCTCTCACGTTTTCTGCTTGATGACACGGTTTTCATGAATTTCTTTCTTTGCACTCTATCGCAACGGGTTGGCCTGCATTTTCTTTTTCTTCCGCCTGGTCACTTTTTATCTTTTTCTTTGCCCTTGAGGGGCTTGTACCATGACAGTACTTGATATCGGAAATCACTTTTTATGTGATCTGATAATAATTTCAGAATTGCAAAGTGATTACCTTGCTGAAATGTTCCTTTTGAAAACAGTAAATCAAACAATAAACTGTAAGTTACAATGATGATAGACACTGCCATTTGTGAGAAGTAGTGTAGCAGGCGGAGAGACCAAAACCACCCCAAGCGGAATAGCGTAAAGCCTCAGGCATCCAATGCCAAGCCCGACAAAAGTTCGAGCGGATAAGTCCCTATGAACCTCCCTGCCAGACAACATCTGCAAATTAGCATTCCCAAAATGATTATACGGAGGCTTTGTATGCGCCAGAGTGAGTGTGGTCCAATTGCTGCTATCACCTCTAAATACCCCTGCTAAAAACATCCCACAGGCCGCCAGCTCCTTGCTCTGAGCCGACGAGCCCCGGTTTCGAGTCGCTTCCAATCGACATTGCCCGAAACCCCAGTCGAGACACTGCAGACTTCTATCAGAGATGAGATCCCTCGTCCAGAAAATCCCCTCCTTGAGATGGTGCAGGCGCAACACGAGGCCAGCACACCCGTACAACAAGAATTCACATCAGACGAGCCGCAAAGTGAGCCGCGAATTCCTTTTGGGCGATTCCACCAACACACCAGCTAACTTCATCCTTCTTCTTCTCCTCCCTTAGGAAGCAATTTCAAAAAGCTCGGCACAACCGTGAAATCCGCCTACGACCCCGAAGATGTCATCCGCAACCCTCCAAAGCCATCCCAAATTTCCCTGGAAATGCTGCTCGCAGCAGGAACCCACCTGGGCCACTCGACCTCGCGCTGGAACCCACAGAACTCGCGATACATTTTCGGTATTCGCGAGGGTGTGCACATCATCTCGCTGGACGTGACAGCCGCGCACCTCCGCCGTGCCGCTAAAGTAGTCGAGGAAGTTGCCGCACGTGGCGGATTAATCCTCTTCGCCGGTACGCGCAAGGGCCAGAAGCGGGCCGTTGTCAAGGCAGCGTCGCTGGCAAAGGGCTACCACATCTTCGAACGGTGGATTCCGGGCTCTCTGACGAACGGCGAGCAGATTCTCGGACACTGTGAGACGAAGGTTGTCAACGCGCTGGACGAGGAATTGCCCAACTTCAAGTCTGATCTTGCTGATCGCCCGTCGCTTAAGCCCGATTTGGTTATTTGTCTTAACCCGCTTGAGAACGTTGTCTTGCTGCATGAGTGTGGTCTTAACAATGTCCCTACTATCGGTGTTATTGATACTGATGCGGATCCTACGCGTGTTACCTACCCGATTCCCTCGAACGATGACAGTCTACGGGCTACTTGTCTTATTGCTGGAATTCTTGGCCGCGCTGGTGAAGCGGGTCAGGCGCGTCGGTTGAAGATGGCACAGGAGGGTCGGACTTCTTACACTCCTATCACAGCACAGGAACTGCGCCTTGATCCGTTTACCGGCATGGCTCCTGGTGGCGAGGGGCAGAAGAAGTAGGACATTGCGTATAATGTCTGTCTTTTGATTGCATTTTGCATTTCCTTTTAGTATCCGGTCGATTGCATTGAAACGACGGGACTCTGTACTGTATAGATGATTCCAGGAATTGGTGTTGAGATATGTATTAACAACTTTGAGTCAATTTTGGTTCTTTTACTACTTAATTTTGGCCGAGGTAATGATCCAAAAACAACTTGATAATAGTAGAAGGCCCAGGGGGAGACGTGTTGGTTCTCGCGTGTTCCTGCGGTCCTCCGCTCGCTCGTCCACTTGAGGTGGTGTAGTTGTAAGCATCTCGATATGCTCGCCATTGATGGTAGCCTGATCGTCATGTAAAATCGTGGACCTATTAGATGCAGGCCTAAAAGCCTCGAAGCATCCACCGTCTCCAGTCATCTTCCCAGACAAAATTTTGTCCCCAACGCCGCTGCTCAAGCCCAATGATCCGGGAATTCTCGACTAGGTCCACGTCGCCGTCGCTGAATCCATGTAGGGTGAGACTTATGATGGCACCCAGGCCAAACAGCTTCCTACTTACCACATCTTTTAACCCGGGGTCAATAGGTAGGTAACCACCTTCCACAATAACAAGCTAAGCGGGACAATGCAAAGCTTGAATGTTGTACGCCCAAATGCTTGAAAGCCATAGAGATCCACGTAGCCTCAAGATAGCGATTGACCCCAACCATCAGGTAATCATACTATGTTAGATAATGATACCATCTGAGGTCTTTGGGGAGTCTTACCAACCTTGTAGCTGAAGTCTACCAAGAGAGTATGGGCCACAATAACCATGGTGTCTCCATTCTCCCAACGGTCAATTCTGAGCCATGGACGAAGGAGGTCTTCAAGGAACCTCTCTGCCAAAAGCTCGCACCATCACGGCAACAATGAGTATGACACATTTCGAAATCACAGAAATATAGTTGATGATGAAATACCAATAAAAGAAAATATGTTTTAGACGATATATATAAAAGCGAATGGTAAGAAAAACATACGAAATGAGTAGAGGGAGAAAAGAGGAGCAGTTCTATGTATGCGCTGGAACAAATCACTCGCTTGGGCAATCCTGTGGGACTACGTGAGGAAAATACACAGTGCATCATTTGGCGACGCTATAGTTTCTTGTGTATATGCCGAAAGTGCCGATTATATAGACATTGGGCATTCTTACTTGCCCAGTTGAGCTTAATACAAAGTCAATGTCATAGCTTAGCTAAATTTCCTATTGAGGGTGTCGATTTTCTCATGGTCCTTAGCTTCTTCAATAACATTGGAAGGAAACTCCGATTGTACTATGTGCCATTCTTGAGGGAAACACTGATACTCCAGAGTTCTCAGGCGTGAAGTTGAAATTTCATAAATTATGAATATCTTAAAGCTTGCTAGTAGAAGTAGCATCCTTTGGAATGCCAAACTTCGAAAGGTCCTCCGTACTCTTCCCATCAATCGCCAACTCTGCAAGGGCACGACCGAAAGCAGGCGCAAATTTGAACGCATGGGCAGCCCCTAGACCAAAAATAATATCCTGTTGCTTTTCCAATGGACTGATAATGAACTGTCGATCAGGAGTAATAGAGTATTGAAAAGTGATAGTGCAAAGTGGTTGACGGCCTCTGTCTGGTATGAAATCGCCCATAAACGAACAAGTTCCTCTAGCAACTGCGGCGAGTGTACATAGGTACGTTGCTCAGGTGTCATCAAATTGTTCGAAGTATCGCGGGCAACTTTGATAGTCGGCTCGCCAAAAGGCGGGAACCCATAGAAACAGGGATCGCCGCCCCAAATCCATACGGGAAAACGGCTGGGTTCCCAGGCTTGTTCGTCCGTCGGCTTGAAGTATGTCACTTGCTCCTGCATCACTGTCAATGGAATGTGTATGCCAAGAGGAGCAAGGAGCTTGTTGGTCTATGCGTCGGTGGCAAGGATGACTTTAGTTGCGTGGAGTTGTCCGTTTGACGTTTCGATCACAACGCCTTTGCCTGGTCTCTTCGGCGTCACGCGGTCCACTCGTGTGTGCTCCTTCAAAGTTGCGCCATTTATTCTTGCTAGACTTTGCATAGCTAGGACTGTCTTGGCCACATGGACAATACCGGTGTCGGCGGTATATACCGTCTCAACGGTGTCCGGGATGTTGAACTGGGGCCAACGCTTGTTGACTTCATTGGAAGCTAGAACCTCGTATGGCACGTTTCTGGTGGCGAGGCTTGTCGTGAAGTCTATCCGGGGAGGGTTTGCACCCTTGGGGAAAAACATAACACCCCCGGTTATCGATAGCAGCTTTTGGTCTGTAGCCTTTTCCAGGTCGGCCCAGTTCTTGTAGGCGGATTGGGCTAGGAAGACGTATTGGGGTGCTGCGTTTGCTGTTCTGACACTTCACGATGTATCATGAGAAGCTCCGTTCACATGACACAGCTCGAATTGCTCGGATGCGATCACTTTCTTGCCTCTTAGAGCGGCTTGGTACGCCGCCGCGCTTTCCAGCACTCCAAGCCCAACAACTGCGACGTCAAAACGTTCCATTGTTACTCGATCTGATTTCGTATTTTGATTGATGTTCCTACTATATTTATCAGTTCATGGAATCATCTCTATTTGTATGATCGTGATCTATAACCGGGGACGGGGACGGGCCGCTCACGTGCCATTCCCCCTCCCATATCAAAGATCTGCAACGTTGAAGAGCGAGCCTGAATGGCCTTCAAATGGATGTCGGCCCGGGGTGGACGGATTGAATATTAGTTGAGGGGCATGGCGGCATTTCCTCCGCTCTCCTTTGTGTACACATAAACACCCGCGATGATGTGATCTATGAATTGTGATATTAAAGCTTTCTTATATATCTCGTATAGATTGGATATTATGAGACCTATCGCTTTGTAAGAAAACGGAAAGCAACGAGATTCACGGTCTCGGTACCATCCACCTCGGTAAAATCGCGGAATCGCTCAAACCCGCATTTCAACAATACCATCTGGCTTCCACTATTGCTTGCTTCCGTGATAGCAATAAGGTGTCCATCCACCACACCTTCTCCGATGACCATTTCTTTATCAACACTGACCTCTCGCTCTGTCCGAGGTAATTCCGACCAAAACCGGAGCCAGGCCGTCAAGAACTCCGTCGCAAAGCCTTTCCCCCAAGCATCCGTCCGAAGCATGTATCCAACTTCGGGCCACCCATGTCTTCCCGGATAAAGGTGGCAGCCACCGATACCGATAAGCTCGCCCGTTTCCTTCAGGCAGATGGCGAAATTGGCGGTGATAAGATCGTTTGGTGGTAGGAAAGGATCCAGTTTGGATTTGGTCTTCTCAATGCTCTCATCGATGCACCTCGCACTGGTCCATTTCATGACTTCTTCTTGTGTGCGCAGAACATGTAACGCTTCTAAGTCGGTTGGTTGGAGAGCACGGATGAGCAGGCGATCAGTTATTATTGCTGGCCGCTCGCTGTTTGCGGGAAGCGGGACTGTGGGCAAGAATGCCTTCACAGTCACAAATTCCTCCTCTGTGGCCATGGTGATACCTGCTTTCGATTTTGATATCCTAGGAAGTTTCTGGGGTGCGGATGAGTCACTGAAAACCTCGAATACAATCTGACATTGAAAATGAGGTCCACTAGCGTGGCAGATCCACCTTTGGAACCCCGAAGACCCACTAATTGGTCTAATGCTACTAACGATCTGAGAGGCATAGCTGATCATCATAGTCGAGCAGTATTACATACATCTACGGAGTACCAATTCCAATCTAGGACTGAAGTGTACTAGCAAGATAACTCTTTCAAGAAATGAGAGCCTTTACGGCTTCTAATGTTCATTGTTTCATTGAAATCCTTTCATCACATTGTTCTCTTTTGCTTCATTGTCTTGATCAATGGTTAATTGCATTGATCGAGTATCCTTTAATCCCAGCCTCGTCGTGGTCACCGAGGTATAAAAGCCAGCACTTGTCACTACCAAATCCTGTGGAAAAGACATACCGTACCAATCAGTCTACAAGCCAGCAGTTTTACAGGCTCTCCTCTATTACTTCATCTTATCAAACCTTTGACCGCTCCTACAGAGCAAAATGACCGACAGCTATGCTACGTGGGTGATGAGGGGACGAATCCAACAGAAATGGATTGAAAACCGTGCAGCGGATTGCCAGTATCCCATTTCCACATTCACTTTGACGCCCAGACACCAGGACTATATTGTCGATCGCACATCTGTGAAGCTCGATGCGAAGTTAGTAACTGCCCTTAGCATGAAAAATACGAATTCCACCTATCGAAAGATCAGCATCACGCAGCGTGACGAAGGTCCCCCAGTGTGGTGGATTGGACGCACCGGGCCGGGAGTGATTTTCATTGATGATATCTTTAGGTCTAAGAGAAGCAACGATCCCTACGTATCGGAGTTTACCAAGGCTGCTTACCGGATGGATTTCCCCTTGGATAGCTTGAGAAATGTATTTGTTTCCAACGTCAACGAAAAGAACACTCTATTGTGTGTTAGAGAGATATACAAAGCCCGCGAAGGAGAACGTTATCCGTCCAGCACAGAGCAGACCTGGGAGTCCTCCTCGTCTGAGTACCATGCTCTGCTAGGTATCGGTATAGGCAAACTTGTTGCAGCATTTGTTCTGTGTGCGTGGGGCCAAGGGAGAAAGCGAATCGCGAGAATCGTTACTTTACACATTGACGCTGACGTTCACAAGTTGTACATGCGGTTTGATCTGGAGGATATGTGAGAATGTCGTCAGCTTACGTTTGCCAAACATGTGGTCGTATTGTTTTAGATGCTTAGTTTGAGGTAAACAAATCTGTTGAATTGAATACGAATTTTGATTAGTGCAATGAAATTCCCCGTAGGCCATTTCCGTGGGTTCTATAGACTCTTCGACCAAGGATATAAAGATAGAAGAACACGATGAATATGATAATAAGATTGACGCAGACTAAGGGATCCATACACGAAATATTGAGAATGACTGATTACCCAAGTACCACATCACTGACTTGGCTATTTGGCATGCGCGTGCCAGGGTGAGGGTGACATCGTGTTATGCAACAGGAGATGGGGCTCCGCGAGTTGAGGTATTATCGAGAACAATCACCCGGGTTGTGATTACCGAGTACACTAACACGGTATGGGGCAGTGGAGAACTTGGCATCTGCATATAGACCTACCTACATTGGAGGTGTCATCTTTGGGATCTTGGCGGGAGTATTGTTCAAGGGTGTGTGTGGAGCGCTCGCACTTTGAATTCATCCATGGATGAGATTCCACTTGTATCATCACATCAAATTGCCCAGAACGGATATTGTTGTATAAAGGTGACATGGAAAGATAGTCTTCGATTCAATCTTTATTGGCTTGAGCCCTATAGAAGAAATTACAAAGGAACCGCCTCTTCCCCTCGAAATAAAAATACAACCGGCGGTATTTAATCAACCCGCTTAGGCCCAGTGGCTTATGTGTGCTCCGTATCCGGGCGAGTCTCCATGTATAAAGTGTATGCAAAGCCGCGGACTTGCATGAAGTTAACAGTCTCGAACAGCTGACCAGGACTCAGCCCCATGCGGGGAAGAATAAACTGGGCTTGGCTTCAAATGTTCTGACTACAATGGATCAAACTGTATGGTAATTTTCACTATGTTTTTGTTGAACGAATACTTCTATCCTTGGACTATTGCTGCCTCCACATCTTGCCATACTTCCACTCCAACCATGACACGCCAAGACAGGCCATACATAGTCCACCAAATAAGGTGAACGTCCATCCTGGTCCCATTGCATCCAGACAACTTTGAAGGAAGGCAAGTCCTGCACCTGCAAGTGAGCAACGGACGATATTGTTTGCTGCCTGCGCTGCAGCCGGCGACTTGGGGTTCAGGTCCGTTAGGAGAGTACCACAGCACTATTTTATAACAATAACGTTTAGTAAGGCTCCTAAGAAGGGCCAACATATATGTAATGGCTGACACTTGCATTGAAAGTGATCGCTATGGCGAAGCCGATTATGAACTGTAGGACGAGGGGAACTGCTATATGCTGTGTGTGGAAGGGCTCTATGAGCATCAACCACGTTCCATATTCTGCAAAGTTGGGGTTACTCACAGATCTGCACTGTAATGCCCATCCGTATCCAGTGGTGGAAATTCCTGTCGCGCATATGGAGTACCATATGCTCCTGAACCGGGCCTTTTCAATGGGAAATGCAGTCAGATCATCGCCATGAGTAGTATCTATTACCAGATTATGGGCACGAGCTGTGAGGCGGTAGTCACGATTCATGATTTTTCCTAGCCAAATAGTAGTTAAGCGACTTTCTCTTCCAATCAAAGAGACCGAAGAACATTACCTGAACAGTATGCGCCAATGCAGGATCCGATACCAAAGGGTAGGTATATCAACCCTGCCTTGAGCTCCGAGAAGTGGTAGATGTCAATAAAAAGTGTTGACAGAGAGCCTTGAAGACAACTGAAGTTCATATAATAGACACCATATATGGCAGTGATGAGAAGACTTTCCCTGGATGCGAGGATCTTCAATGTTGTGAGAGGGTTCGGAATCCGGAAATTCCGTGGAGTGTTCTCCCTCTCGGTAAGGGCTGGTAAGGAGGTGGGCTTTATCGACCGCTGGCACCCTAAAATTGGGCGATAAAGAGCTGAAACATTCCGCGAACCATTCCCAACAATAGAACGGGCTGTCTCGGGTAGGAACAGAGCGACGAGCATGATACAGATCCCCGAGGCTATAGCGGGTACCCAGAATATCCAACGCCATCCGGGAGCCTCACTTAAAGCTCCTCCGAGAATTGGGCCAATTGCAGTAGCAATATTGGGGCTACCAAACAGCAGAGTTATGGTGTGACTTTGATGACTCGTGGTGAGAGAGTGAGTACATAGGCTTACCCTAAGAGCACCATGCCAACATAACCTCCACGCTCGGATGGTGAAGCAATATCAGAGATTACCCCATACCCCATCGCAATAGTTGCTTATCCTCGGTTAGCAAACTTGATACAATCTATATGAATCACCGTGATAGGTCAGAGAACTGGGTTCAAGTAAACATACCAGAGCCGCCAGCACTCTGCATCATCCTCAACAAGAAAAGCGCTATCCAACTATTTTGCACGGCCAACCCTATATTGGCAACAGCATAAATGAGCAAAGTAAGCAGGTAAACGTTACGCCTACCCGTCATATCCGCCAGATCACCAATGATCGCCGGTGCAACCCCAGCGACTATCATGTAGGACGTGACAGTGAGATTTATCTTTTCCACTGAAACATTGAGGGATGCAGAGAGGGCGTTGATGGCGGGAAAGAATATGAACGAGGATAAGGGAGAGAAGGTTGCAGCGAATGTGATAAGAAAAACCGCTAAATGCTTTTCTCTTTTGCTGAAAATGGAATATGCTTCATCTTGAGGCTCCGAGTTCGCCTCCTTTGGCGGGAGCGAGACTTGAGAGTTATGTCGGGAAATGCTTGCAGGAGTAGAAGGATAGCATTGCTGAGGACCCTTTTCGGTTGAAGCTCTAGTATGCCCTGGTGTGTTGTCTTCATTACCCATGATAAATATTTGCACCAGAGGTAATAGATTCTTTCTTTTGAGAGGAGTATATAATAGTGAGGCTTTGGTGGAACCCCGTACAAGACTGGGGTGAAAGATGGCTAGGTAGGCCTGTGCCCTGAATAAATAACACTAGCTTTAAATACAAACGCACTACGTGGAAGAGGCTTAGAGCCGAGTATTAGGTACTGTGAGGGGTAAAATAGGAATCATTTGGGTATAAAAAAGCAGGGATCATATCATACATACGCGCTTACCGTGATTTGTTCGACTGGATATGCGGATTTACGTATGTGCCCTTCCATTACAAGTAATAGCATTGCCTCTACGCTTTAAGAAAACCATCCCGGTATTTGTACTCAAATGAAAGTATTTTCCAGCTTTCAAGTCATTATTGGTCATTCAGTCATATGCACACTAATGAGTGAACTATCTACAATTAGGTTGGCATAGAGCACTTAGCCAGATATAGGGCTACAAATCTGAGATTGCTTTAAATCTATGCATGTAATAATAAATGATACCTATTGTTCAATGGTGCTATTTTAACTAGTTCCCTCGTCAAGTGGAGCATATTTGTTGACCAGATAGTTGAGGTTTTCATAGCACCTGTCATGACATTCAATCAGTAAGAACTTGGACACAATTTGCCAAAAACACCACTTACTCTTCCCGGAAGCTCGAGCCATTATGGCAAGCTGATTCATGTAAGGTCATGTAGAAACTGTAGATCCGATTCCGGTCCTCAAATTGCTCAACGGGCTTACTGATGCCCATTCGGTTGAGATAGGAATTGAGGTAGACCTTCGCGCTCAGCGTCTTGCAGAACCTTGCGCGCCACATAGCAATCTCCATCTCGTTATGTGCATAGTAAACGCTGGCGTCAAAGATGTAAAGCTCCCCATTTTCAAGGCTAGTTCCAATATTTCCATCCCACAGGTCGCCGTGGATCAAAGTTGGCTTAACAACCCGACCATCGGCTTCCAAGGGCCCCAGCACTTGAGGGACTACATGCGTAATAAGCCGATCGACAAGCTGCTCCAAGTTTTTCCAATTGCCGTTCTTTTCTGTGTTGAGTGCCATCGCCCCCTTGACTAGCTGGATATAGAAGTCGACCCAGCTCGGGTTCCACGCCGTTCGCTGAGGGAGACTGCCCTGGCACGTATCAATGTGAAATCCAAACATGCCAGTGGGAGATACACTTGTCTTATGCAAGTGTACGAGTTTGGTGGCGAGTTGGATGGGATCTGGGTCATTGTTGTCCATTTCGATGAAGTCACATAAGAAGTAATACGTGGCAGGGCGGGCGACACTAAGTTGACCCCATGCGTAAGGCTCTGGGACAAATTTGGGACTCGTTTTGTGCAGTTCAACCATGGAATTGAACTCTCCCTCCAACATAGCTCTTCCTTGATCTTCTTCAGCACACTGTGGACGAAAACCTCAGTCAATCTGCATTTCATGCCATCAAATACTTCCATACCTTGAGGAAATAGAGTTTAGGATCCCCATTTGCCAGGGTGGTTATAATTCTGGCAGTAACTGTCCAGGCCGAAGCCCCATAGCGGTCACAGGAGTGGACTTGGGTGCCTGGGGGAAGTCTAAAGTAATGGAGAAGTTAGGTCAAGAGGTAGTTTCTAGAAGACAGTGGGAGCATTCACGGTCAACTACTATCTGATCCAGTGGAAAGTCGCCCTCAATATCTTGGCCGCCGCTTTGAGCCCGCGTGACCAAAGGCACGCTTCCCAGCGAAACCGTCGGGGGAGTCCATTCATGAACAATCGCTTCAGTTGTCGACATGTTAGTTATGATGGTAAAGCTAGGCTGAATATTTTCATGTCAGAGCCATGTGGAAAAAAGCTCCTCTTAAAGCAAATCAGACAACCTGACCTGATGATATACCCCGTACGGGAAAACGGTAAGTTACGCAGAGTCCCTGGACTGGCCCCAGCGGCCTCGATCCTGGACCTGTGGACAGAAACCATGCCACGTAGTATTAAGATGACTTCCAGACCAATGTAAAGAAAAAAATATAAATATAAAAACGCTCAATGTGGTAAATTTCATGAATATTATGGGCGAGAATATCGAGGATTGGAGGCTGTCCACGGGTGTGACGGCTCCTACCCTTGTGCATAATCAGCCGCCACAGCCTGTGCGCAGACTAATCCGGAGAGAAATGAACAAGGATGCTGAAAATACGGGGTAATCAGTACGACGTACTTCATTGTCTGCAATGACCGAAAGCTATGAAGTACCTAGGTAGCAGCAGGCTGACTGATTGAGCCGCAAGCTGCCTGGTTCCCAAAGTCACTGCCCCCCCCAGTCTAGTCCCCGGCAATACTTTTCATCCCAAAGGCCAAATAGATGCAACCTTTGACTCTTTGCCAACGTTTGATCTTTGCCACAAATGTCGAACAACCCTTTGGATAAACTGGTAGGTTTAACTATGATAGAACAAGATGATTTCCGACTTATGATTTTAACCTGCCTATAGTTTCCCAGGAAGAACTCGAAGACTTCACCTCCACCTGACGAGACAGCTGCACAAGGCCAGCATGTGACTCCTTCTCCCTCATCTACTGGCCCCGAAATAGTGTGGCACCCCAATGAGCTTGGTGATCCATCGCAGACTCCAACGGAGCTGAATCGACAGTCCTCTCTGGCTCGGAGTTTCCGACCAAGCTCAATGATCGGACTCTCTTCACGGAGTTTATCGGTGCCCACCGATCGACACAACGATCCTCTCGGCTTGACTGTTGTCTATGAACCAGAATCCTCGCCTTCTCTTGACATCATATTTGTTCATGGCCTAGGCGGGACTAGCCGAGCTACGTGGGCGCGAGAAAAAGATCCAGAGTACTTCTGGCCAGAGAAATGGCTTCCTCTCGAGCCAGGTATTCAAATGGCGAGAATCCTATCTTTTGGATACAATGCAAACTGGAGATCTACTGGCCCAACTCCCATCACGGGCATAACCGACTTTGCGAAAGACCTATTGTTTTGGATGAAATTTGGGAAGGGTGAAAAATTGGAAGAACTTGAACTGGGCCAGGTAAGTCCTCGACCTTGACCTGCTCTATCTCTCAAGAGGTGTTCACGCCTTGCATCACTAGAGACCAATTATTTTTATTGTTCATTCGATGGGCGGTCTTGTCGTCAAGCAGGCGTATATTCTTGGCCAGAACGATAACCAATATTCGGATATTGTGTCAGCGATCAGCGCGATACTGTTTTTGGCGACTCCACATCGCGGATCTAATCTAGCCGACATCTTGGACAAGATCCTAACGGTGTCACTGTTCAAATTTAGTCCCAAATTATTCGTATCGGAGCTGAGCGCCGGTTCACAGACTGTAGCAGCTCTGAACGAGCAGTTTCGACACATTGCTCCAAATCTCGACATACTTTCATTCTATGAAACACTAGAGACTTCATTTGCCGGGAAGAGAATGGTATGTTAGACTCCTCCTTTACGATTTTACTCTATACATGCTGACTCACCGGTAGATGGTGGTTGAGAAAAACTCAGCTACCCTCGGGTATCCGAAAGAGATCTCAAAGGCCCTGGCTGCTGATCACCATACGGTCTGCAAGTTTGATAGCACCCATGACTCTAATTACATTAGCGTTAGAAACGCCCTGAAAACTTTGGTCTCATCTATTCGTTCGGCAGGTGAGTCCAAGTTGTCCTTGTGTCATTACTGATATCAAACACATACTGACCGGGATATAACAGGAAAATCCTTATTTGGAGAGCAGGGGAAAACACAGCTTGAACAGTTGCAGACTCTGCTGGCAGTTCCAGAGACATTTGATGATGATCTCAAGTTCTTTCATTCCAGGTGGACTCCTGGAACTTGCGACTGGATTGTGTTTCATCCCGACTTCAATAATTGGATGGATGACGCCGAGGATGCCCCAACCATGTTGTGGATGCACGCGTTGCCAGCGAGTGGGAAATCTGTTTTATCGGCATTTGTTACACATTACCTCCTAGAGCGGTCTGTTTGCGTATATTATTTCTTCCGATTTAGTGACGAATCCAAGCGCTCGCTGAGTGCCTGCTTGAAGAGCATTGCTTTTCAGATTGCAAAGCAGCTGCCTGAATTTGCCCGCGCGTTGAAAAAATTGTCATTTGCCACCAAAACATTGGAAAAGACGGACTCAAAGGCCATTTGGGAGAGAATATTTGTCCAACTGTTGTTCAAAATGAGGTTCTCTACAACAATCTACTGCGTTATCGATGCGCTGGATGAGACCGACAATCCACAGCAACTGGTAGAGTTAATGCAGAGTGTCCCGCATTCGTTGACACGCATCAAGGTAATCCTTGTCAGTCGGCAAACATCGGGGCTCATCACAACATTTGACCGGTTGTCCACTGTGCTCTTGGTGACATACTTACCACTGGAGAATACGAAGAGAGACATAAGGCTGTTTGTCGAACGGGAAGTGGAATATTTACGTGCCGCGCCCGAATTTAAAGCGCGGTTGGTGGATAAAATGGTCGAATGTGCCAATGGTAACTTTCTGTGGGCCAGTCTTGCAATGCGCGAGGTGGCGGAGTGCAATACAGAAGAGGACGTCGACGAAACGCTGGGTGGCATCCCGGGTGGCATGGAGCAGCTATATCAACGGATGGAGCGCACTATCATTGCAAACACAAAACCCCGCGACCGAAAACTAGGACAGAGGATCCTGATGTGGGCCACATGCTCCCGACGGCCATTGATACTCAGTGAGTTGGCACAAGCATTGGAGCCGGACTTTCTGCCGATGGTGGAGATGGGCCTCCTCATCAACCGTGTGTGTGGGCAGTTTGTAACTGTTGACTCTACCACTAGTCGATTAGTGATGGTCCATCAGACTGCGAGAGATCACATAGTGGCGACAGACTCAGAACTAGGAGTCAATGTACCTGAAGGTCATGAGAAGTTGTTGACCAAGTGCCTAACTGTCTTGGAGAAGCATCATCAACCTCGAGATTTGCATCTTGAACCTGGGAATCGGAAATACAGCCTGAGGGGAGAATTCTTCTACTATGCAATGACCTCATGGGCATATCACCTGGATAAAGTGTCCCCTGATTCAGATGTACCGCTCCTCCTTTTGGCCAAGTTCCTCAAGGGAAATCACGTTCTCGACTGGATTGTGGCATTGGCTGAAGCGAAGAAATTGCGGATTCTTGTGTCTTCCGCAAAGAGCATGAATCTATACGCTCGCCGGAAACGAGGTCGCAACGCCGTGACACATCCAATGGCTCATCGGCTTCAAGAACTTGACTTGGTGGAATCATGGGCAACAGACCTGCTCAAACTCATCGGTAAGTTCGGACTGCATCTAACCGAGTCCCCTACATCTATTTACCAGAAAATCCCGCCATTCTGCCCCAAGGCCTCGATGATATACCGGCAATTCGAGCAATTTGCCCCCCGCCCATATTCCCTGGTGGTTAAAGGACTATCAAAGTCCACTTGGGATGACGGCTTAGCAAAGATCTCCCTCCAACCGGCAACCCAAGGGAACATTATTGTCTGTGCCGGAGATCATTTTGCTGTGCTCACCGGAGGAGGAATAATTACTTTGTATAACTCTACGACATTCGAGACTAGACATGTACTCAAACACACCGAGGGGGTTTCTGCGATGAGTTTCAGTCGCAGCTCCCATCTTCTCGTGACATACGGCCACCGAACGACAAAAGTGTGGTCTGTCAAGTCGGGAGAAGTGATGCACCGAATCAAGAATCCTATCGGGAGCACGGCCATGGCCGTGGTATTCACCACCGGAGATACCAAGGTTGTCATCGGATCAACGGATCGACTCCTCAGAGTCGCCCGGCTGACGGACCAAGCTCCCGCCTGGTCAATCTTGCATCCCAACCTTTTGAAAACGGGCACAGCTCTGGATAGACCTGTACACAATGTTCCTTGGCGTATGGCATTCAATTCTGATGCGACTTGTGTGGCTGTCGCGTATCGTGGATCCCCTCTATGTGTCTGGTCCCTGGAAACTGCGACGCTTCTGGGACGATGTATGCGCGACCATGAATATGCAGGGAACTCCTGGTCAGTTGTAGATCAAATGATCTGGCATCCAAGGTCCCAGGAAATTCTCGGCGTATACATGGGAGGGCAAGTATTCAGATGGGACCCGTATACGAACAGCCAACAGGAGCTGGAGGCCGACGCAAAAATTATCGCATGCAGTCCCGAGGGCAAATTCTTTACGGTAGGCGACAGGCAGGGAACGATCAAGCTGTATAGCTTTCATCATTTCACCCTGATCTACAAGCTCTCCTGCGATCATACCATCACCGATATTTGCTTCAGTCCAGACAGTAAGCGCATATATGACCTCCGTGGCCCATGGTGTAATGTATGGGAGCCAAACGCATTACTTGCGGGTGACGAGAACGGCGAGGATAGCGACCTTGGGAGCGAGGCGGCCAGCATTCCATCAGCAAATGTCTCCGAGGCTTCTGCAGAGGTGCGGGCACAGATAACGGCAATTGCCGTTCATTCAGGAGGACGATATCACGCTGTTGGAAATGACGCTGGGGTTGTCAGCGTGATAGACTCCTCGAATGCCGAACATGTGACATCTGAGCTTTGGAGATCACCTTTAGACCTACCAATTGAGCATTTAAATTGGTCGTCCGACGGAAGATTCCTAGCCAGCGTCGAGATGGCAGGGAGGGTCGTCGTGAAGGAGATTCGTCCGGGCAGCCGGCGAACTTGGTCTGTGAAACAAGTGTTTGAGGCGACAATGAATGTTAGCCCTGAAGGCATTCAACAGGTCTTGCTCAATGGCAATGGGTCCAATGTTTTAGTCAAAAACGGGCCTTCCGTCACCGTTCAACCGGTGAGGTTGACTCAATCCAGCACAGAGCCTTTTACTATAACATCACCAGATACGAAGTGGGTAAACCATCCAACAAACCCAAAGCTATTATTGTCTTTCAGCCCGAGTCATACTCGAGTCTACAAATGGGACGATCTTTCGGAAATTGCTGTCATTGATCTGGAGAGACCACCGTTAGTATCAGGGCTAGACCTAGAGGTTAACCCAGATACCGTCGAAGCCCGCCAGCATTATGAAGAGAACGCTAAGATCCAGCGCATCTGTCACATGCACTCAGGCTCTCACTTCCTCATACACATCGTCCTTTTAACCAGTGGTCACAGAGAGACCGTCACATTGCTTTTTCAAACATCTTCGCTATCCCGATTACCAACCACGCCAAGCATATCTTCGTCGACCGAGACGCCTATGACCATTCCACCGGAAATCCAGCGCCAAATTGAAATTCCACTAGGGATCCTCCCACGTGAACGCCTTGTGTTCCTTGATAAGAGCTATTGGGTATGTTCTTGGAGTCTTGGCTCTGAATTCAGTCCAGACCAGGTGCAGCGACACTACTTCCTCCCAAAGGATTGGCTGAATATAGAATGCTTGGAGTTATGCGTCTTGCTTCCGAATGGGGTGGTTTTGATGCCAAATAATGGCGAGCTGGCTGAGATTACTAGCGTTGGGTTATCTCATGGTTGACTTGCTTAGAAGTGGAAATTGCTTCTGAGTCAGAAAACGAGGAGAAAGTATTGGGCAGCCTAGCCATATAAATCTAGACTTCTCCCCTTCTCTCCTTCTCTCCTTCTCTCCTTCTCTCCCATCTGTCTTGTGTTTCTTTCCTGTGAATTGATATTTCCCCCTGAATGCCTCTGTTCCTAATTGAGGTCGACTTTGTTGCAAATATAAGTTCAAATTAGATATCCTTGCTCGATCGAGATGCATAGACTAAATCAGAGCATTCTTGTAGAATAGATTCGATCGCCGATCACCACTTTTACCCGAGGCAAATCCCAAGAACAGGCGAACCTCCCCAGCCGCAGTCTGATAGATAGCCAGTCCTTCAGGCTCGCGGAATGATAGCGTTGATCCCGCTTTTGTAATGAGAGGACCTTGAATGACAGCTCCGGTATTCATGTTGACAGCAGTCACGTCTGAATTGACCTTACCATCGGTGACATCATACGAGTTGCCGTATAAGAGATATATGTACTGGCCATACGCCGCATAGCCCTGGAATGTATCCGACGCCGTATTCAGCGATGGATGCTTGAAATTCGCGAGAGGGTTGGTGAAATCCCCATCCGTTGCCTCGTCCAAGTCGAACACGGAAATATATTTACCGTCACTAAGGTTGGCGCGGACAATGAGACGGTTGCTCACGGGATCAATGGAACAAGTGTGCTCTGTAGCACTAGTGATCGGGACAAACTTTTTGAGTGATGACGATGATGACGAGAGCGTAGTGCCACTAACGAATTTAAATCGAGCGAGTTTCTTGCCATACCCGTTCGAATTGGCCTCCACTTCCGTCCATAGGTAGGATGACGAGCCGACTGCTTGAACACCAAAGGATACGCCGTGACCAAAACTCGTTAGGTGCATGTGGCCCACATAGTTGCCGTCGAAGTCAAGTTGGGTGACGCATAGGTCTCCCGAAGTCCCAGAGGAGCCATCACGTCGCTGGGTGACAAATAGTCGGCGATTGGTATTGTCAAATGCGAAGCCTTGCTGGACCGTCACATCATGCAGGGACTTGCTGCGGAAGAGGTCGTATGAAGGCTTTGACAGATCAAAGCGCTTGGATGTAGGAATCGTCGCTTCCACATGCTGGGTACTGAACACCAGAACAATCAATACAATCAAAAGAGCAGCTGGCTTAAAGCCCCATGCCCAATGTTTGAGAGAAATCATGATGAGAGATCTGTTAGAGAATCAATGAGTGGCAAGCCAATACTTGTTATTTATAGAGAGGGGGCGCCGGGCCAAGTACGGAAGGCCGAGAAGATCTTTGACAAAATAGGATCTTGGCTCGTACTTCATATTAGGTCTAACCACAGAATATCCTAGATACGAATGTAACTTGAACCAGGGGCATTGTTGAACATGCACGTTTGATGCCGAGGTCCTTTTCTGCCTAGCTAGCTGCCACTATAAATTGCCAACTACTTGCTTGAGAAGCCCATTGGGGGAGGAGAAGAATGAATTCCTATCTACCGAACTGGGGAAGCTAAGGCTGAAGAAAGAGATCTTAGCCCAACAATGAATGCCCCCACTTGAAGATCCGGCCAAACTTCCTCGTCGGTGAAAGAAGGAATGGCGAAGCCAGAATGCATCCGCCGCAGTCGGGACTGCCAGAAAAAAACAAAGAATGGAAAGAACGAAAAGAAAAAAGTTGCAAAAAAAAAGGTCCCAAGTGAGACCGTCTACCCTTAGATGGTGAAAATGGCGAAATGTAAATGTAAAATATCACGGGTGCCCTAGCCGTCCTCGGACGCATCGTTCTGGACTCGCCGATTGACCGATTGTCCTTGGCTAGCTTCAGTACTTCAGTCGTTCAGAGATGAGTTTAGGCAGATTCATTGGCTGATCGATCCGTGGAGGTGTGGAGAGACTCGCTGGTTGGCGAATGGTTGCCCATGGGTTCCGTCCCATCGTTCGGTTGGAGACCATTGAGGTAATCGAAGTCGATGTCGCTTTCACCTTCGACAGCGTGATCTGAATGGGCGGTGGTCTTTTGGGCAGTTACCGTCGAATCATCTGCACTTGTGGAGCTTGCCGCCCCGTCATCTTCTTCGACAGCGGTAGGATCAGTCGCGGTGGTTGGTACGACGGCTTGGGGGAGCGAGAGCACTGGACCGACTGGTTGCGTGGGAGCCGCTTCGTCTAAAATTGGTAGACGGACTCCATAAACCACCGTCTCAAGTGCCTCCTTGAGGCTGTCATCTTTCTCCGCGTTGATTTGGTCGATGATGTCGGCGTATTCCACCTTGTAGGCAGCTGTGCACTTGGCCAGATCATCCATCATTTGAAAAACATGATTTGCCTCCATTCTGTGTTTGGAAAAGATACGGTCGTGCAGCGACATAAGGTAGTAGGCTTCCGCGTCGTCCAGGGCTTCTTGGATCATCTTAATGTGTCTTGCCTTGGTCGCAAGATGGTCGATAGCGTCACATTTTCTTAGGAAGTCATCTTTGTACCACCCGCTGACTTTTCTGATGTACATTGTCGGGGGATTTCTCGGCCTCAAAGCGTCCCTCAAGCGCTTCGATGGACCTTCGTCTAAATCGACCCATTGACGCTTGGAGGACATTGTGGTTACAGGCGAGCAAAGTCGTGAAGGCAAGAAGACAACATGAAACGAGAGGATGAATGGACAGTGATGTCGAGCGTAGAATGAGCGTAAAAGTATTGATGAATCAATACTTGGGTGAAGCGTAAGAGTAAAGGTGAAAGACAAGTGAAGTCATGGGAAGGAAGGTGGTTTGGGTGTCAAACTACGATTGATTGCGTATGAAGAAGGAAGGTTGGACCTCTTAGTGATGTTTGAGATTGTGTCTCGACACTTTGATCGTCGTATGCCTCGCTCGACTGCTGGGTATGATTCCCCTGACGTCCTAGTTCCTCACTTGCGACGGATGTACGTACTTTTCTGTCGCCTGCGCTCACGAGTCATGTAGGGTCAGCGCTTTGATACTGCCCAGATGGCACTTTACAGCATGTCGACACGACTAGCATTGCAGAGATATGATTTGGGTATCATGTGTCAATTGTAAGGGATCTGGCATTGTGAACGAAATACACTAGTATAAGAAGACATGGAGACCGCAATCTCGAATGCCTGAAATGACCATATTTCCAGCACATACAAAAGTCCGAATATGATCCCCAAAGCTGCAAGTCACAATTGTTCCGATCTCAATCCATCCAAGGAAATGTTCAATCCGTATCTCATTAAGGCATATGATCTTCATAACATCATGAGACGCACCCGTAAAAAAACAAAAACAAAAACAAAAAGCAAATCCTATAGAACAAAATCAAACGACATAAGGCGCAGGCCTGCGGCTCGAGCTACGATGACGCGAGTGGGAACCAGATCCATGACCGCGACGGCTGGAATGGCTGCGTCTCCGAACAGTCGTTGTCTCCTTGACGACAGTCCGTTTGTCATGCGAGTGGTGCAAGAACAGCGCAATGAGCGCAGTCCAGAAGAAGAATACCGTCTCCATGATACCAATTGCAAAGGAGGCCTTGAGCATGGCGCAAGTCTTATTGACATCCAGTGACAGCGGGTTATCTGTGCGCTGGCCGAAGGACCCGAATGGACCTAGGGAGATCCAAACGGAGCCACCATTCCAGTGGGCACAGTCAGCATTTGCAATGAAGCGAAGCTGGTAGACGGATGCAATAAATGCGCCGAAGAAGACCATGTCCACGAATGCGACGAAGATCGCAGATCGCTTTGTTGTTGAGAAGCGGATTAGCGTGTCGAGGGCCCAGAAGATGGCGATTACGCTGACGATGAACAGGACCAAGATGTAGGGTGGGGTCAGCTGATTTGCTTTTAAGTAGCCGTCGACAAAGTAGGCCTACATTCAGAGAGATGTTGGTTAGCGGGAGACTCGGAGGGGTATTGCTGATTGGACTGGACAACAATGGACATACCAGCATGCCAATGATTGGGATCAGGAAGACGATCTCAACCAGGCGGTTGAATATGAAAAACACGCTGCCAATCATCTTGTCAAATTCTCAGAGAAAGAGATTGGGTTTGAGATCTCTGGAATGTGCAACGGTCCCAATGTGCTCGGTACGTCAGATGTACACAAGATCGTGGGCTACACGAGCTTGGAAAGAAAGCACAGGCAGTCGCGATTACAGTGCAGGATGCACGGGGTAGAAGATGCAGAAGAATACAAAAGAGAAAGTAAAAAAAATTACGGAAAATAGCGCAAATAAGAGAGAGAGAAAAAGATATTCAGCGTCATCTTGGGCTGAGGAGGCTGGGCGACTCACAATGCACGATGTGGGTGGCTGGGGTAACCCGAGTCGTCCATGTTAGTCTCGACTCTTTTTATATATTGATTAGTCTAGGCACTTGCATGAGCCGTCATCATTTAATCTATGTCTTGCATTTTTGATGGACTCTTTACTCCATAGACTACGGAGTAATAGGTTACAGATTAGGGCCGGGTTAGGGCAGGATATAGATGATCGTTGTCAAGCCAACCACATCTAAGTGGAGACCATTCAAAGATTGGACTCGACTTCATTGTATTCCGTCCGAAGTATTGTTTCTATTCTAGATATAGGACTAATTACTCTGCTCCCTACTCTGCTCCCTACTCTGGATCTCATCGGCAAAAAATGCATGTTCTTTTCAACGCCAATACGCTCATAATCATACTAGTACAGAGTTGGAACACCAGCCACCGCAATAATACATCGCTTATCCAAATCATAAGCAATAAGCAATAGGTTTGGGCAATTACCGCTCTGGACTAGACTGCAATCATCAATAACGCATCGCATCATTCATCTTTAGATAGCCCGACCGGGCATGTCCGTCAACGGACGCCCCGGACCCGCCATCGTGTCAGGAGCATATATTCCCGTGTCAGCCGTCAGCGGCTGGGTCTGGGACACATATGCATTATTGGAGTCATACTGAGGCATACGGTGACCCGCACCGGTATTCTGCCCCATAGCTTGACCATGCCGCATCTCATACCCGTTACTAACGTCATCCTCACTCGACGACCAAGCACCGCCATCAGCGTCGTGATCGTGTGGGCGGCGATTGTACATATTGGATACATATGGGTTGGAAGACTGAAGGTAGGTAGAAGCATTTGGTCTGGTATGTTCCGAACTGGGGAGATCTGGCGGGTCCATGCGCTCTTCTTCATGGTTACGGAGAGCCGTCGAGCTTTCGCCTTTGGAGCCGATAAATCGAACGGCATCGGGTCCTGCAGGCTCGGTCCCCCAGGTGCGGATGGGATAAGCGCGACCCTTGCGCCAAGCTTCGGTGATCGGGGGAAATACTGGCGATATGCGACAAAGCCACAGACCACCCCAAGCATTGACCCCGTGATCACGTCAAAGGGGTGGTGGCGCGCGTCCATGATACGCGATACGGCCACGAGGCTCGCTGCTAGTAGAGGGATCATCACAAGAAGGGCCTTCCAGGCCTCGCCGCGATTGTCCATAACGTGTAGCTTTCCGCCCAGCCAGAGGGATATGTAAACAAGACCGGCGAAGGAGGCTAGTGAGGAAACGGTGTTAGTAATAGGACAGGCCTGGTGAATCATAAAGGGGGTATACACACAGCTACTGTGGCCTAGATGAATTAAGGTTAGCATTTGCGACTCTCACAAGCAGAGTTGGGATTAAGGTTCATACCGGACGGCCACGACCGAAATCCATCTGTCAGCAAGGCAGGATCGCCTGTACAAATCGTCGAGTTCGACAACCCGGGGAACAGGTCCTTGCTACCAGCGCGTGGTTGACAACGATCAATGAGATCGGGGCGCGGCTTGCCACATGCGGTCTTCAGCGCCTGTGTGATGACAAACGCGAGTCCCTGCGCCAGCAAAAGACCCAAAACACCACAATTGAGCTCCCAAAGTCTGTCCTTCCAGCGATGCGGACCTCTCAGCTTCCGCTTCCCAGACACCGTGTCTTGTGGTTTGTGGTGCGAAAACAATCCATCGAGGACCAAGGTGTAAACGATGATGAGGGCGAGTGGAAACGCAGCAGAGATGCAGAGGGCATAAGCCATGGGGATTCGTTCATGTACGGCATAAGGGTATTGAATGGAGATGTTGTTGAGGGAGAAGTGTTGGTGGTAGGGCTCGACCTTGTTGAGAATTGAGAAGCCGATAGCGCATGCACTGTTTGGTTTTTGGAATTAATACGGAATGAATGAGGGAGGATTGATGTTCATACATAATGATCACATAGTCAAAGATGTAGCTGATGAATTGTTAGTTTCAGGAATTCGCGGGGGAAACTGGGGAACACACGAGATAACAACACGCGGTCGAAGCCGCCGCTTGGAGAAGGGGAGTTTGTCGGGAATTTCCATGTTGAGTCCAGGACATCCTCTCAGAAGATCGAAAGGGGGATGAGGACTGGGGAAAAGGGAAATAAACATCTCTGCCTAGTCAAAGTCATTGCTTGGCATCGGCATATTAATAGCGCTTGGCCCCCATGCACGTTCTGAGGTATCTGATTGGCTTCTCTCAGGGCTTTATATTACCTAGGTACCTATTCCATAGTACTTCAGATATCAAAGTAAACCTACAGGAGTAACAGAGGCCGTGTATCATTCATCTTTGTAATCAATCCTTAGAAAGTCATGATTTTCTCTTTTGAAGTATTTTTGTAGATCTTGTCCATACTTGACTGGTGAATAACTACATTGCACAGGAGTATGATACAATTGATCGCAGCTTTTGTCATCCAAGTTCGATATGGGGTAGTGGCTAACCTGGCGGATTTTCATTATCTCTTCAAGAGTGTGTACTCCGCAGCCCCGGGTTCGATTCCCGGTATCGAAGTCTTCTTTTTTTTTTTTATTACTTCCCAAGTATGACGTGAACTTCTAACTACTTGATTAGAGCTAGACCAAAGACAAATCACATGTGCACTTTCTTGGTTGCTCGCCTCAAGAAAATATGAAAACGAACAAGTGATTAAATATACCGATACACAAGCCCAAGGAAGGTTGACGCTATGTGCACAACATCAACCAGACATGGCAATGAGTTTTTTAATCCACATCGGGCCGAGTCAGCTTTTGAGAATTATTTCTTCCCTATGGACACCGGTTCAAGAGAATCCAATATGGAAGAAAGACTATCTGAAAAGATACGTATCGACGTGAAGGAGACATCAATGGGAGGTTACAAGACATATAAAATGGCCCTAGAAATCACATACCCATGGTGGCCAGGTTCCTCATTTAGCAAGTGGTGATGTACAGACCAAGCCTAAAGGAGTGTTAGCTGATGTAAAAACAAAAAGGAACGCGGGAAAGCAAACGTACGGGGATGGGTTCCAGTCTTCGAAGAAGTTGAAGTGGGTGGTGCCAGCATTCTTCATCTCGTAGGCGACAGCCTGGCCAGCCGGGCAAGAGAATGTAGAGACAAGGTATGAGTTACCGGGGGCGACAGTGATAGTTCCGAGGTCCTGGGACACCGAGGGCATGTTGCCGAAGTTTGTCGAAGAATCAGCAGTGGAAGAAAGCTTAGCAAAGTCAATCTTTCCATCACCGCTGAAGCTATAAGACGAGGTCTCGAGATCCTCAAGTTTAGGGAAGAGGAAGATCAGGCTGCAGGTCTTGCCAGCGTCCGCGGCCGGGATGTCGAAGTTGAATAAGGTCGAGGTAGTCGAGCTCACGGTACCGTTAAACCCAGTTCCCGCGGTAGTGCTAGGCGAGGAAGAATCGACCGGGATGATAAGGTGAGGAATTTCGTAGTTACCCGAGAGGTCAGTGGGACAAGAACCGCCAGATGTACCAGTGGCTGGGGGCTTGGAAGTCGCAGAGCTAGCTGGGACGGATGCGCTGGCAGAGCTGGTTGGGCGGGGGCCACCACTGAGGGAGATAGGAGGCACACTAATGGAGATGCCACCACCGCCGCCGCCAGTAGCGGGAACACTACCTGAGGCACCAGGCTGCGTGGCACCGCCGCCTCCTGGAGCGGACACACTAGGAGAGGCACCGGGCTGCGTAGCACCGCCGCCTCCGCCACCGGGAGTATGTGCACTCGGGGGTGTACCACCGCCACCGCCTGGGGCAGGCTGTGTACCAGAAGGCTTGGTGCCAGCACCACCAGATGGAGCAGGCGCACTAGGAGAGGCACCGGGTTGGGAAGCACCACCACCGCCGCCGCCGGGAGCAGGTGCACTAGGTGAGGCACCAGGCTGAGGAGCGCCGCCGCCTCCGCCGCCGGGGACAGGCTGTGGACCAAGAGGCTTGACACCAGCACCGCCAGATGGAGCAGGCACGCTAGGAGAGGGCTGCGGCCCACCACCACCGCCTCCAACAACCCCGCCGCCGCCAGGGGCAGGACCAGGGGCAGGACCAGGGGCCCCGGGGCCACCAGGGACACCTGAAGTAGGGCAGCTACAGTCAGTGACAGTGATAGTGACAGTTTTAGTGCCGGTTGCGGGGCCGGGGGCAGGACCAGGACCACCTCCAGCACCAGGTCCGCCAGCTCCACCTCCAGCACCGGGCCCACCAGCTCCAGGGCCAGCGGGGCCAGGGGCAACAGGACCGGGTCCTCCAGCACCAGGGCCGCCAGCTCCAGGGCCACCAGCTCCAGGTCCGCCAGCTCCACCTCCAGCACCGGGCCCACCAGCTCCAGGGCCAGCGGGACCAGGGGCAACAGGACCGGGTCCTCCAGCTCCAGGTCCGCCAGCTCCACCTCCAGCACCGGGCCCACCAGCACCGGGCCCACCAGCTCCAGGGCCGCCAGCTCCAGGTCCACCAGCTCCAGGGCCACCAGCGCCAGGGCCACCGGCTCCAGGTCCGCCAGCTCCACCTCCAGCACCGGGCCCACCAGCTCCAGGGCCACCAGCGCCAGGGCCACCGGCTCCAGGGGCAACAGGACCGGGTCCGCCAGCACCAGGGCCAGGGCCAGGGCCAGCACCAGTAGGGCTGGACTGAGGAGCTGGGGCAGGCGGCACGCTAGATGGATGGGGTGCACCAGCAGAAGGGGCGCCATTGCCACCACCAGCGCCTGAGTTCGAGCAAGTGTCGGCAGACATCTGTATGTTCACGCAGCCAGTGACATCCAGCTTGTTAGGGGTAGTATAGACATTCAGTCCACCATTTTGGCCGGTGGCACAGGCAACGAAGTCGGGGCTGCCGTGGTACTCAAGTTTACCCTGTGAGTTGACAGAGAAACCGGGTGTAGCAGACACACCATCGTCACACTGCAGTTGCGTGGTGGGAGCTATCATACAGTCAGATATATATCCATTGGTAGTGGATAGGCAGAGAACTGATTGGTCTACTTACGGGTGAGGATACATCCACGCCCACTAGAGTCAGTGATAGCGCCGTTGGAATCGATGCAGTACTGTGCGGGCTGCAGAGTATTGTCGCCAATGCGGTTCTGGCCATCACCCAGCTGGCCAAGTTTACCGGCAGCACCGCCAGAAGAGGTGAGGTGGAAGCAGCAACTATCGGTACGGCCAACGAGGGCGTTGGTGCCGGCAGCAAAGGCAGCGAGGGCAATGAAGTTCCTCATCGTTGCTATTCAGCAAACGTGGGTGTGTGTATCAACTAGTGAATGAACACAGCGCTCTTTTTTTCAAGAAGATCGTGTGGACAAGTGAACGATATGATAACTACCAGTATGGAGTTGTGGTGGCAGATATGGCTTCAGTTGAGGACAAGGTTTTCTGGGAGAATGAATCTTTATAAGGAGCGGTGGATTCAAGCTCCAAACGAATCATAGAGAAATACAACACACGTCGGCAAAAGTCCCCGAGATGAAAACATCAAGAAACAATCGACACTGCATGCTGTCGGCCATTCATGCGGTTAAGCGTGGGTAAGACCTCCGATGGACCAACTGTCCTGGTAACGTAGGGTAGACAATACCAGGTCCGAACCAGCCGGAATAAGGTGCGTAGCAACATGCACAACGTCATCTTGAACGGAGCTTCAATTCATTGAGGTATAGAGTAAGATGGAGTGTACAGGTGTGTTTGTTTCTCCACTTGAAATCGGAATCGCAAGGATAGACAATGGTCACTGGCTGAGTAGGAGGGAAATTTGGACTGAATGTCCATGGTCTAGGCAGATTGAAAGTGGCAACATTCATTTCCCCATGGATCGTGGCCTCTTTGTGTCCTCCGAGAGGCTCAAATCGTTCAACATTGGATTATGCAGGCAAAGTCACATTCATAGTACCAGGTAGTCGGAAAAGTACTCCAATTTTTATCAAGTATATATTATACTTATAAAAAGTCACTTAGACAGTCAATTGTGTGGTAAAGTACGGAGTACCTCGCATACCTCTAGGTACAGCGCCCAAATCTGTACTATCACATTAATTACGGTATAAAAGTATAAGAAACAAGAGATGAATATGACTTGGTAGAGTAAGACTATCACTATTGACAATGAATCTCTAACTAGAATCTCGTATATTTACCTATAGCAAAGTACCTTTTATTTTTTAGCTTGTAGGATTGAGGATGATATATATGAAAAACGGTTGCCAGTACAATATGAAATGTGTAACACGGGTAGATGCACATCAAGCATCACATTAACAATTATGATGAAAGATAAAAAAGAAACAAAGAGATTGGATCGGATTGTGTGAAGCTGAAATTTAATCATCATTGTACAATGGATGTACCCAGGTGGAAGTGGACCCCGAACCGGCCAACGTACGTTTATATCTAACACAAACAACATATAATCTCAAGGAATAATTACCCGCCTCATGTCTGGTACTTGAACGATTATATGGCCTGCAAAAAATACGATATACAACTGAGTATAATTCGCAATGGATATACGTGTGTCTGTGTTTACCTGATGTGAATGATAATCATAAAGTAAGGCCTCTCTTTAGGGGCTGATATAGAAGCAGTGTCCCTGTGCAAGGACAAAGTGAGAATATGCAAAGGAACCAGGCAGTGTGATTCCATAAGCATCCCAATCAATTGATCTCAAAGCTACATCGTTGCTACCGCAACAGGTAGCCTGCATTTGAGATTAACATACCAGATATAAGCCTTAAAATAGATCTAGTAAGTCATTGCGTGCTATAACTCCATATTTGTCCTCATTCATAAGTTGTGATGATACATCATGGCCTACGGGTTAGATTTCTTTGCTGTTACACCAATTCCCTCCACTCGTTAGTCTTGTCTGTCAAGTTTTACTCGATGTGCCATGTGGATCTCAATATAGACATGACCGGATAGCCAAAGTACCATGTTCGAGGGATGAGTATATTGTAGAAATGACGAAAAGCTTTCGCATAAAATCCGTCATAATGCCGCGGGTCCCAAATCCCGGTGAACCCACGGCTCATTGAATCACTACTGATACTACATTGACAAAAATGCAGTGTCCGACTCCGCAAAGACGCTGTTCCAGTCCACTGTCCCCGAGTCCAGATTATCACCGAATACCTGCCAGAGCTCATCTAGAGTAGGCAATGTGGGGTCCATGGGGAAGTCATCGATGTTCATGCCTGTTGGATGGACCATGCTTGTAGGCGCCGTAGAACTGCAAACAAGTCCCATTGAATTCTCAGGGCCTTGAGAGGTGAGTTGCGTGGTTGTGTGTTCTTCAACAGCTGAACCCGAAGCGCCGTGCCGACGAAGAGCCGTCTTGAAGATTTCAAGTAGCCTTCCGGCCAAAGGGAATTCCCCTTTAGCTTTTTCTAGTATTGAAAATGCTTCCAAAATTTCCGTTAGGTCCTTTTCATGCTGATGATCACCCCCACAACAGTCTATGAGGAGAACAATGATCGCCACACAAACACAATGTAGCAAGCCTGACAGTCTAAGCCGCGCCGAAACAAAGGGGATCGTCTCTAGGGAGAGTTGGCGTTCAGCTCGGATCACCATTCGAGCTGCTTCCAGGCACGCTTTCCGTGAGTACTCATATGCATGATCCTTAGACGCTAGTGACAAGTAAGGCAAGTGAAGCCTGCACCTTTGGGCATGAAGCAGAAAGTTGAGGATATATCGTTGTATGATTATTCCAGCAGAATTCCGAGGATCAGTTTCTGGCAGCTCATTCGAACTATGGGCCAAAGAAAAGAACGAGGGTAGGCTCTCAGCGAATTCACAAATCTTGCCGTCAATCTGTTTCGTATGCTCATAGTCCGGGCTTCCTGGATCGGACATCCCAAATGGAGCACAATCTGTGATTTCACGGCAAAACTCGCCCAATCGAATCCGTTGGAGACAGTAGGACATCGATGTGGGGTGGGCAAGTGGCTGTCCAACCCCGACCATCCCATCTACAATATCTTCGTCATTCGCATTGCAAGGTTTTTTGGTCATCATATGGCGTGGATCAATTGAATATGTGCCTTTCTGTGGGCCAGGTATCTGCGACATCTGCCTGTTATCGAGTGAACTCACATTCTTGAAAGAAGGTGAGAGAGGAGGAATCTTACCAATCAGTCGCCACCAGATACCACCACACTCTCCTACATATCTCTGCTCTGGCAGAGGACGGTGAAGGCACATCGAGGTTGGAATTGTGTGGATGATCAATTCGATGCAAGGACAGTTCTCTTCCGACTGATATAGCAGTAGAGACCATATGCCGGACTTGAGATGTAATTCCCACGATGTTAGCAGTCACAAATATTATGATGATCATCGCCTGGATATCCTCTATTGACTCGAGGTGTTTATAACGCGAGTAATCGACCACGTCCATCGCAATTCTCATCCACTGTGTAGACTGGGCAACTGCTTCTTCAACAGTCGAAAACACAGTGTTGCACATGTCGCGTTCAGTCCAGAAGGACGTGGTACTGGCGAGAATGCTGAGGAGCAATGAGACGTAACCAATCTTGACCGGCTTGCTTTCTCTCAGATCACAATAGAGCTCATTTAGCATGATACGTACTGAGGGAACGTGGACCACATGATGGAGGAAGGTGATCTCTGCGATGTACTTTTCCACTACTATTTTCGCTTCGTTGTGAAGTGGCAGCCAGATACATCTTTTCGTGGAGTTGGCTTGATGTGTTATTGACCCAGATCCCACTGCAGTACGAATGGAGCAAGTCCTGAATTCAATTTCGTGGTTCAACACATTACCCTGTGGACTTTTGTCAGCGGTCAATTCCCCATAATGTAATTCGACCAAGGTGGGCCTACTATTGAACCTGATGATGTGATCTCGTTTTCCAACAACGTCACAGCCTCTGCAGATGACTGTCTTTCGTTAATCACGGGTGTTTGATTTGATTTTCTAGCAGGAGGAGAAGGAAGCGTCAAGGCCTGTGTAGAAGCTTGCCCCAGGGGACTAGATGCTGGTGGATTGGTGATCACTATCTCTTCCAGCCTCCGCAATCGGGCCAGTACATCTGTATGATCATTTCTAGGCAGTTCGCCAGCCTGATTCTGATGACTGTGAGGCAATGTTGTAGCAGGATAGAGCTGACAAGTCATGCCCCGAGTGGTGCAGTTGGAACAAGGGAATAGCCGACTACACTTCAGCTTCCTCGATCGACAGAAATGACAAGATACAGGCCGTGAGCGTGAAGATCTCACACGAGCTTTTTCGACCCGATGCATCTCTCCTGTGGATGTTATATGACCCAGAGCGTGCTTAGCTCTGGGGGTTTCTTTGGAGAAAATGGGGGTTGAAGGTGTTGACCAATCACAGGGCGGCGAATCCGCGGAAGTACCGTGGCCTCCGTGGATGTGTACTATGAGAACTATGAGAGAGACAGGTATATAAGAACCTTTTTTCGTTGGGAAATTGACAATGCACAACTAGGTAGACTTTGCTTTTTTCTATCTTTATCCAAGGGATATCTCTACGTTACTTTTGTGAAAATGGACTCCATCATTGCTCAGATCCAAGCCATCGCCCAAAACACCGATGAAGGTGGCCGACTGAAGATCATTCAGTCTCTCAAACGAGTGCAAAATGAACTTCAATCCCCGCAGGATATCTTCATGGAGCTTGCAGTATCAGTAAGTGGTCATCTACTACAACCCGCGTTTATCAAATGCTAACAGTTGTAGGGCCTAACGAATGCCATGCTCCGAATCAGTGCGGATCTAGGACTCCTTCGCTCTCTCGCGAGCAGTGATACATCATTGACTGTCAAAGAGATTTCAGATGTGACAGGTGCATCGTCTCCATTCCTAGGTAAGAGATCCGAGATGATCGTATCTACCTCGGATTCTAAAAGGACTGTTCTACTCAGAGAGAATTCTTCGTCACCTAGCTGCAATAGACATGATCAAGGAGACTACAGTCAATGAATATGGTGCAAACAGGACCACCCATGTTTTGGCTAGCTCCAAGGGTGAGGCTATGATATACCACGGGTAAGCTATATAGTCTCCTCGATCTCTGTCCTGGCCATCCACCTGGCGAAAGCCCCTGCTTACCTAGCCTCATTGGTACAACTTCAGATTCGACACACTCGGGCCAGTCATGCAAGCAATGCCTGCCTTCTTCGCTGAACATAAATATGAAGATGTGACGGTCAATACCAACACACCGTTCCAGAAAGCCCACAATACCAAACTCACCTCATTCGAGTGGCTTGTCCAGCAGCCGAAGTACTTTGAAAACCTGCAAAAGATCATGACTGCATTTCAAGGATCAGAGTGGACCGAGGGACTCGACGCTTTTGACAATGAAGCCCGCCGGTTTCCTTTCAAGGCTTCATCCGCTGCCCCGGAGAAACCCTTCCTCGTCGACGTTGGTGGCGGCCATGGCCATCAATGTATTGAGCTTGGAAAGAAGTATCCGAACCTCCTAGGTCACCTTGTCTTCCAGGACTTGCCAGAGGCAGTGGAAAGCCTCGCTCCCATTGATGGTGTGAGGGCTGAGGCTTATGACTTTTTCCAAGCACAGCCTATCATTGGTTTGTCAAGATCTTGTACCCAATGGATAGACGGGGGCAAAAGCTGATACTTCATTCAATTCAGGCGCCAAGTTCTACTACCTCCGCAGAATCATGCATGATTGGCCCGACGACAAAGCTGCAGAGATCCTCCGCAATGTTCGCGCCGCCATGAGCCCCGACTCGCGGATCTTGATTGATGATGCCGTGTTGCCGGATACTGGCGCTAACTGGCAATCGACCGTGGCGGATCTTGCTATGATGACCTTTGCTGGTAAAGAGCGGACGAAGCATCAATGGGAGTCACTTGCAGCAAGCGCGGGCTTGCGCGTGGAACAGATTCATACTTATGTTGCTTCAACCTATACCGCTGTTCTCGTTTTGGCCGCTCTTTGAACTAAATATGGCCATGCTAGAGTTTAGGTAAAGCTAAGAAGTAAGCAGATTTAGTTGATTGGATTTCATGGATATCTTGTCACACTCTTTTCATTTGTATTTTGCCACTACTCCATGCTTATGAACCCGGGGCCGTCACAAGGAGCCATCGCACCGCAACATATAGATAGATACCTAGAACCTTGCATCCGTCACATGTGCCTAAAAATCCCAGTCTGAATTAGCCAGGCAAATACTATGAAATGAAGAGGATCGAGAATGGGGCCATGCAGTATCGCTAGTCGGCGAAGCGACAGGAATGCACTGGACGCTAGAGGCAGGCCTTACTTCTCCGAAGACCTTGAGAAGACGAAGAACTCACCTTGGGCTTATTCGAACCTTCGTATGATCTGATGGTATGTGACGCGGTCAGCAAAATATGGGTCGATATTCAACACAGGCTGGAAAGGTGCGGCAGACGATAGATGTATAGGAACGGGCGATTATGAGTAGTGCACTGCTGCTCTTCATTCCTATATATATTGGATATTGTAGATACATTGATCGCAAAGATCCCTTGATATATCTGTATGGGTTATGTTCTTCGCTAGCCACCTAAACTCAAAACGCCTTGCTCGCCGAGAAAATGAGATGAAAGAGAAAAGGCGCTGGGAAAAAGGAAAAAATCACGAGTGAAAGAGGACTAGAAACCCCAGAACTAATGCTAATACAGGTCGTGAATCATGCTCGTGCTGAGTGATATATTATGAGGAACTTTTCCTGGTAGGTTCACCCGATGGTTGCTTTCAGGGGAGATCGAATCATTGAGGTTGGCTGAGTGGTGGAGCACGGCGGGTGGTAGTTACCGATTCTGCTGACACCACTCGGATTCCTGGCGTCTGCTCTGTCTGCTCTGTCGGTGTTGGAGGTTCGTCATTACCGATACTCTGAAATTGCAACCGAGTTGGCGTCACGGGGGAGACAGTCATGGGACTGGGTGCATTGACGTGGATCGAAGGCAAGCGACTGATGAGTGGGAGCTGCCGCGCGTGGTCAGTCTGTTCCGTAACAGGACTTTGGTACGCAGGGGCATCACCCCAGTCTAGGTGCTCGTAATCGGGAGGTGGAGGGATGTTGAGGGTCCCCAAATCTCCATCGTCAGTTTGTGATACTGGTCGGCTTGAGCCGTGTGTCGTGGTCGGAGTTAAAGATATTGGTTCAAGCTCGGAGGCAGGATGTGATTCGATCGAGGAAATGGACTGGCCTCGAGAGTTGACGTTGGAGAGTTCAAAAGATGGCGCGGTGGAGCTCACGGCGTCACTTTGCAACAGCGGTCGGCGATCCGAATCGTGTGAATCAGAATTGTGCGAGTCGGCTCGAAGCCGTGATCCATCGTGGCGAACACGTCCGAGTTCAGCATAGCTAACACTAGCGATGCGTCGGTCCCGCTCTCTCGATTGATGTTCGGCTAGGATCGCGGTTACGTTGACTGCACTGTTTGTGCCCGCACGGCGACTTTGCATACGAGCGCGAGTTTCGGCATTCAGACGTTCAAGACGAGCGATATCCCCACGCGTCTCGGCTTCTCGGCGCTCCCGGCGGCGTGCCTCACGATCGGCTAATTCCTGACGGCGCTGCAGGCGAATCTGGTACAATGATTCCATTTGTTCCTCACGGCGAGTCTCCTGTTCTTCTGCAGTCTCGGGGTATTCGACGACTATATCCATCCCACCACGTTCACCTTCCCGAGCGATGACTTGTTCGGTCGGCTTTGGGCTGAAAGAATAGGGGGGCAGGGTCATGATCGAACGTATCGACGTATCGCGGCGGACGCCAGTATTGACTTGCATCTCTGGTGCTGTGCTAGCTCCGCGATAAGACGTATCTTGGCTACTTTGGTTCGGGACCTCGCCGTATGAGGCGCTCCCTGTGCCCCATTGTTTCCATTTTCGCTTGAGATATTTCCCCGGGAGGTATTTCGGTTCGTAATTTTTTTGTCGTAGCTGTCGTGATAGGAAGTAGGCGCCCACACAGATCGCAACTGCAAATATGATGCTCACGGCACACTAAGTCGAGTCAGCATAGGGAAAAGATGATGGGGTCAGCGATACATACAATGATAAATATGTTATTCTTATTTGTTTTGTCATCCTGACGTTTCTGTGGAATGTACATAATGGTGGACAGTTGCCCTAGAGATCCTTGATTCAAGTCATGGAAAGAAATCCCCGGATTTCGAATGAGTCGAGGAATGTGAAAAGGACAAAGCGCGTCAGCCTTGGATACTCCGGTGGCTGGCCAGCTATTATTATACGCCAAGCACTGAAACGCTGGCGTGAGTGGAGGCTGGTTTGGGCTTTCTCCTTCAATCAAAACCAGGTTTTATTTATTTGCAGAATCGTCGATCTCTGTAATCGGTCATTGCCAACCAATCATTCTCTTCAGGTGAAAGGTTTCCACATCGTTTTTGCCGGATCCCTAGCTGTTTGGAGCCTTCAACTCTGCGATCTCAAATCTCAAACAATTTACTCCGTACGCATTATTGACTTCACTATTGACTTTCGATCATAGATAAACTGCACGAGTTTCGTTGCAGCAAGGGAAGACATTAAACCAAAATAGATACGCCCTTGCGTTCGGGAACAACCGGTATGAGATCGTGAGACATATGGAATATCGACCCTGGAATCGTGAATCGTCAAGTCTCCACCGCTGGGGCTCTTGAGAGGTCTGTTGGTGATTGCGTGAAAATCGTCTAAAGCGCAGCCCAAATCGTGAGATGTGAATTTGGGAAGTCTTGAGTTTTCAATGTTCCCTTTCAGCCCTCCTTACCATCTCTGAAACGCCCCCTTTGCATGTCGGCTCCACCAGCTTGTCTCGGTGGCTATCCGGCAAACCGTCAAATTCCCGTCGGTCTGTGGATCTATACCATCCCACATCGTCTACCTCGGGAACTTACATACGGACGACAGCGGATGCGCCCTTTATTGTGCCTCGCTGCTCGAACTGGTCCCGTCGCAGCCGATGCCCGCCACAATGAGGAGCTATGACAGCATGTGTTATCGAGTGAATTTTCATAGTGCTTTGATCATGTCCTCAACTTGATTTGTGTTGCTGAGAGCATGGCGTGATACTAAACGTATGAGTATGAGAAGGAGCTTGCTACCGAGGTCGACATCAGCATAGAATCACAACGACGACATTGCGGGACCATTTTCATGCTTTTATTGACAGAGCAACGCCATTGGACCATCATTTTGTTTCTCTCAGTATTTCTCAATTGGTGTTGCTTGTAGTGCCTCGTGAGGCGCAGTAAATTCCCGATAGGCGAAGATCGGCTCATTGGGTGAGATCCCAACGTTGCCTAGGTGGCGAATCCTGAGCCCAGAGCTTGGTCTCACTTCAGCCTCAGGTTTCACGTCTTGATTGTTGTGAAATGGCCTTTGTCCAGTATGGTGTCTAGTAGAGATGCCTCGGTATCCTCATCATTAATGGAGGAACCATTCCACCCCTAACAATCCCATAATTTGATTTAACCCAATTGAAGATAGTTGGTTGCCTCACGGGCTCGCCGCGAAACCTACTGTTGCTTAATCTAGGTCTCATATCCCACGTTCTGACATTTGATGGGTTCCATCGGAGGACATGGGATGGAAGCTGCTGGTTTGGGCAGCTTGTTGAGACGAGACAATGCTAAGTTGCGGACAACACAGTTAGCTTATCCCCCTTCCCTCTCGCCTTTGGGTAAGTCGGAATGAGATGGACATAGTTGCCTCCTACTGGACGCATTAAAGATTATGCAGTCGAGAAAATCCCTGCCCGTCAGGTCGAAAGTATATTTCTGTCCTATTTCGCATGCTTAGGTGTCTTGACTTCGTGGATGTAGAAGGGGATCGCCCAATGTTGATGCTGATGACTCCTCGTTACCTATAATTCGAGTCATTATGCCAAGTATAAGGCAACCCGTATGCGCTCTAGTCCTGCATAATATACTCGTCATGCTGTTCCAGTAGAGTTGGTCACCATGTCTACTTAGTACCCGTTAAACCAAATAAAGTGCGACATCCCCATTAGTGTCAGTGCCGATATGGAACTATGACAGTGAGCATTGACAGCCGGACTTTCTGGCAACCCAAATCCTCGGCGCAACTTAAGATCAAATTGAAGTGTGCCCATGATTCCTGACTTCACCCTCGGTCATTGTCGTACAGACATCAACATTGATAGACCGCCATTTATAAAACTTGGTAATAGCTCTAGGTATCACTTTAGCTGAAAGATAATTCCAGGTGCGTCAATTTTGCATATTCAGATTCATATGGGTCGAGATCAACATATATTCTTCCTAAGGAATGTGCCACGCCCGGGCCAATTGAACAAATGGTCTTCGGATGGTTTTGTTGCGAGGCATGATGGCGTAAGATCAAACACGTGGAGGACATTTTTGTCTCATTTGCTACTTTTGGATATTGCTAGACAATGGCATGTGAGTGAATCAGGAAACGGATTGGGGTATACTGCACCTTTGATATATCCTAACCTATGAAGTAAATACTCAGCAAGCGATATAGCAGGGGTTCTCAAAAACTGGGCCCAGCTGCTTGAGCAGCTCAATAATTTTGGAAAATCAAACATTCTCGACTTAGCCAAGAGAGGATATGTAGACTGGAGTTGCTACGACCAGGTCCTCTTATGTCCTTTCAATGTTTTCACGTCGCGTGGTAACGTTCCTTTCTTCCGGAAAAGGTCCATTTGCAAAAGCATGATCCCATTGTAGCCATAGAATCAAATTATTCTATGCAACACGGTTCGAACTCCTAGGCGTAGGGGCTTCTGTTGTGCGTCGCGAGGTTCTTCAGCCTCAGGACTCGGGGATGCAAAGCCCACGATTCACACCATATGATCTCTGGATAGAAATCCAACACTACTGTATCTTTTAAAGTTGTGAAAAATGCTCATGATCATCTTGTGGCGGGATAGGAATATGAAATGGTTGTCTTCACCAATAAAATAAATGCATGGATGACCCGATGCTGACCCAATGGCCCTCACGCGTCCCCCTTGCTAGAACTGAGCGACAATATCGCAAGTCAGATTTCTCAACACCCAAGTCTCCAGCCTTTCAAATCCCGAGATGGAGTTTTTACATAATGTTCAGCTCCCAAGTTGCCCCGCGAAAAGAGCCAAGCTCACCACAGGTTGGAATTGGATCACCTGGAGACACGGAATGATCGTGCCGTTCTGTATTGGCTTAGATCGACATTAGTATATAATATAGTTGATATTGATGTACCGCCTGTTCTCAACTATGATCGACATATCCGTTTAATCAGATAGCCGGTCCAATGGGGCCCGAGCCATCATCTCCGCGAAATTTGAGGTCATCGCCACGTTGCATCACAGGGTCTTGTCACCCTGCCCTACCTGAGGCTATGAGTTTGGCACAAATGCAACAAAAGACGTTGAGCGATAGTATATATTATGGTCCCTATCGCAGAGTGAAATGTTGATAACAACTTCAGACCCCTTGGCAGCCTTGTGGATCTTGACACGACTTTCTTATTGGACTTTGGCGCCAATTATTTCAAGACATCAGTCCACCTGAATTCCTCACAAACTCCCCAAGACACTATAATCACACAAAATGGCAACATTGAGCTTTGCTTTGAAGAACAACACCGGTTCTAACACGGTCTACGCCTATATTACAGGCCAGGCGCTTGACAATCACAATGCGCTTTTCCTCTTGCGGTCTGATGGCAAGACAGCCTACTACCCGACTTCACCATCTGACACTATGACCAACCTGAGCGAGGAGTGTGCAATCCCACTGGGTACATCTGGCAATACCACCACCATCACTATTCCGCACCTTGCAGGCGCGCGGTTGTGGTTCGCGCAAGAGAAGAAATTGACATTCTATCTGAACCCGGGCCCTGCCCTTGTTGAGCCTTCGGTATCCAACCCCGCAGACCCCAACTATAATCTGACCTGGGCCTTCTGCGAATTCACGTGGAATGATTACCAACTCTATGCGAATCTCAGCTACGTTGACTTCGTGTCGATGCCCATTGCCATGACCCTAACCAACAAAGCTGGTGAAACTCAAACCGTCAAGGGTCTGCCAGCGAATGGTCTGGACCAAGTCTGCGATGCTCTTCAGGCCCAGAACAGCAAGGACAAAGCCGGCTGGGACAAGCTCATCATCCAGCGAGATGGTGTCAACTTGCGGGCCGTGTCTCCAAACACGGGAAGAACCCTCAATAATTCGTTGTTCAACAACTACTACGAGGGCTACGTGAATGAAGTCTGGTCTCACTATGCAAACAGCACCAACAATACTTTGACGGTCAATACACAGGCTGACGCCGGTGACGTTACCGCCAAAGTCGCTTCCGATCTATTGTCTTTCTCAGTTGCAGGGATTTCTTACACCAAGCCGTCTACTGGGGACATCTTCAGCAACAGCACTGGTTCTTTTGCCGTTTCTGGAAACGGAACTAAAGATGCCATTACAGCTCGTCTCGCGGCTGCGTTCAATCGCTCGACCCTGTTGATAAATGGCAACCAGCCGAACGGGGAATCGGTTTCAAACTACTACAAGAACGACGTGACAAACCATTACTCGCGCATCTGTCATGAAGTGAGCCTTGACGCTCGGGGATATGCATTCCCCTATGATGATGTTGCACCTAACAATGGGGCCGATCAGTCTGGTAGTGTTTTTGATGGCAACCCAAAGCTCTTGACAGTCACTATTGGAAGCGGCTCTAGTAAGTCTGTCAAGGATTCTGCCATTGAAAAAGATGCTACACCAGTTCAGCAACACGTGGATAGTGGAAAAAGCAAGGAGAATGGAAAGAAGCCGAGCCACTTCCATGAGCTGAGGAGGTTTGTGGACAAGCTGTCGCGCAGAAAGAGCGACGCCTGAGATACTTAGGTCTCTTTCGCTGATATTTGGTCATGTAGTCGTATATTGTAAATGTTACTGTATATACGTCACTTTCGGTGATTCTCTTTTTTTTTTTTAATTTGTTGGAAATAGGCCATATGATTTTGTGTTTCTCCCTTGTATCCCTTGCACCAAATAAGATAACTTCCAAATTGAATGACGGCCTGCATCATTGTGAACGAAACCTATCTTGCCTGTTCATTCAATAGCATGCTTTTTGATATAGTCTACCACTTGATCTGGTATAGCCAACCAGGGTGTGTGTCCTGTTTTGATTTTCTCAGTTTCAATCTGTGCCCCCCTCCGTCGTGCCCGCTCCACCAGCACATGCTGAACCGGCAACGGAGTCGCACGATCCTCCTCGGTCAAAAGATATGCAGATGGAATGTTCATGTACGCTGTACCAGTAGCGGGGGCATTCTGAGTCGCCCAAGAATGTGGCTTAAGAAGCTTAACCCACTCCGCACCATCGACAACGTCATGGAAAAATAAGACCAGCGGATCACTGGCAGTCACAGTTCCATTCTCCTCCTAGAAGAAAAGTCAGCAATCACATGGACATCTCGCAAGTAGCAAATATAAATGGACAGAACCTACATCGCGCACATACCACGGCGGGGGCATCCCACCAAACGCGCCGATCAAACTCTCGCCAATACCAGGAAGGAAAGCAGCGATGAAAATGAGTTTCACAACACCGCCCTTTTGGTCGGCTGCTTCGCGCTCTGATTTGCTCAGTCCATCCAACGCGCTGCTCACTGGTAACCCGGCCCAACTGTGCGCGATGATGACTATGTCATGACCAGCATCTGCCTCTTCTTGAGTGATGGATCTCACGGCATTGATATCTGGTTGAAGGTCCACGACTGAGCTGGCTTGCTGGATGGAGGGAAATGCGACGGTGTGGCAGCTATAGTCGGCGAGTTGTCTGATGATTGGGTCGAAAACGGTGGGCGGGTACCACGCGCCCGCCGCGAAAATCAGAGTTGGCTTTGACATTGTCGCCTCGGTTCATGTGAAAGCTATGTGCAAGGGACGTAGGCGCTTGTTTTATACAATATAAGCTTGCAAGGCTGAGAGGTGGCAGAGGATATGGAATTGATGCGGAACTTCGGTTTAGTCACTTTCATTTTGCCGCTTTTCTCTCCGTCTGGATTAAGACATCTGGAGATTATCCACATCAGTGTGCTCCATTACACTGCTCATTGCCCATAGCAGTGACATATTTAAGTGGTGTTGCAGATCTACCTATATTGAGCCCAATGACACAAATTGCAATGAGATTGAACAATAAGCACAAGAAGCAGTGAAGAGAAGTTGAAAATGTACACCTTGCGACCAGCGATCACCGGAAAAACCTCAGAAAAAAAATTTCAAGCACCCACGTCCTCGGGGTCACTGAGCAAGGCGTGCAACTTGCCGCCGTTCATCTTTGCCAGATCCTGATACGGCCCATCCTCTACAACAGCTCCCTGATCAAGAACAACCACATGATTCGCGATCTCAATCATTTCGTTCGCGTGCGTGATAATGATGACAGTAAGCTCTTGACGCTCGGCCACCAGCTGCTGCACGGTCTTCCGCACGATCTCAGCACCCGCGGGATCCAAGCTGGACGTGGCTTCATCAAGAATCAGTATCTGGGGTTGACGCAAGAGAGCCCGCGCAATGACCACACGCTGTTTCTGGCCACCGGAAAGGCCAACTCCGCCATCTCCGATCACGGTATTATATCCATGTGGGAGAGAGGAGATAAATTCATCAATTCCTGCTGCTTGAGCCGCAGTGCGGACACTATGAGATGAGGCTAGAGGCAAGTGTTGATCTAGCCCGTAACTGATATTCTCATGAATGGTACCGGGAAAAATAGTCGGTTGTTGCGATACGATGGAGATCTGTGAGCGGAGGGTAGGAACATGCAGTCGAAGAATGTCCACACCGCCGAGGGTCACTGTGGGTTGTCCGGTTTGCGAGGCAGGAGCCTCGTAGAGCGATAATAGCAGCGACGCGATTGTGGATTTTCCTGAGCCGGATCGCCCTACGAGTGCTGTACACGAGTTCCGTGGAATGGAAATCGAGACATTCTTCAACACCATTGTGTCTGGCCGAGAGGGATATCGGAAATTCACGTGGGTGAGCTTGATCGGGGTGAGATTTGAAACTGTCAAGCTACCGAGGTGCTCATGGGATCCATCTTGCGGGAGTCTTGCAAGGCGAATAAGCTGCGTAGCTATCTCGCGAGAGGTGTTGATTTGGGGAACTATGAAGGAATTAGTAGAGTAATTCGACGTGGTTCAAGGCTTACTAACTCCATGAGAGAATCTGAGCAGCGTATCCAATGCTAAAGAGTAGCATTGAGAATACCATCATCACATCGTTCACATTGAACTCGCGAGATGCTGCGAGCACTGCTCCATAATAGAAGATCAAAGCTATTCATGATAGTCAGAAAAACAGCAAATGAGGGAAAGTATAAGCTAGCTTACCGGTAGAAAATATGACAGTCGATTCTACCATACCGAAAAGCATGCCTGTGTAGATGGCACGTTTCAACCCCAGCATCAAGCAGTGCGCAATCGCATTGGCTTGTTTGCGATGGAAGTGACCTTCCAATGTCAACGTTCGCACGGTGCGAATCTCAGAAAAGGTCTCAGTAAAGACATCGGCAGCGATACCATTAGCATCATTGCATCGTCTTTCCCATAAGCCATTTGTTCCCTCGAAGCCTCGAGTGATAATATAAATGACAGGCCCACAGGATAGAGCAACAAGTGTCAACTTCCAGCAAACAATCAAGCTCCAGATAATTGCCATGACGGTGATTGCAGCAGCAACAACCACAAAGCCGGCAAAACGGCCCAGCAAATTTCGCATATCTTCTCCATTCTGATCGAGAGACGACGTGAGTCTGAGAGATCCGTTGCCATCTTTCTCAAACCAGGCCCGTGGTTGATCGAGGATGCGTTGGAAGGCATTCTTTCTAAAGGAATCTATCCAAGCCTCGCCGCAGAGTTCTAGGAAATAATGCATGAAAAATGACGCAAGGCCGTCTCCGAAAGATACCCCTAGTACAGCAAGTGACCATTTCATTGTCAGGTGCTCACTGTTGTTTTCTGCATAGAAGGTTCCGAACAGCTGCGACAGACAATATGAAAATATCGGGGTTGCGCTTGCATGGGCCAGTGCTGCGGCGAATCCTAGAAAGAGGATGATTCGCTGTCTGAGCGTTAGAGTCGACAGAATAGTGCCCATGATTTTAGAGAGCGGAGTCATTCGTTCTTTCGGTGTAGGCTGATCTTTCATCTTCTTGCGGTGTCCATGTGATCTCCGGCTGCTTTTTGTCTCTGACGGACTTTTCGCAGTCTGTGGATTGGGCCATGGATCCGAGTCCAAACTATGATCATCAATATGAACCATTTCAACTTCTTCCGCAGGAGGTTGGATAGTTGTTTCTTTCGAATCCCATTGGAGACCAGATCCTTGGGTCATGAGAGAGATACGTTGATTCCGATCTTGCAAAGAAGATCCAGAAAACTCTCCATTTCTGACCACATATTCCGAATTTCTTCTCGCCATCAACTCCAGTGAGCCGGACCCAAAGTTTGGGGGGATATGGCCTTGTGCCCATGATTCTCTGGCTCGACGATGTCTGAGAACAGCCGTTTGGGGTCTTAATGTGTTCAAGCTCTCCGATGATGAGCTTTCCCACGAATTGTGCTTATCATCCAAAGCCCTCTTGTTCTGGGCCTTGAGTTCTAAAGAACCGTCCACCTTCGTGTGAAAATACTTTTCGCTGCCCGGATTGGCCTCGACAGCATGTCTGAAGCCAGATTCCACAATCGAACCTTGTTCGAGGATGTACAGGAAATCCTGTTCCATGATTTGTGACATATCGTGAGTGATGATGATTGTAGTCTTCCCTTTCCGCCATTCACTGATTGCCTTCATTACCGCAACTCGGTTGGTGTGATCAAGAGCACTGGTGGGTTCATCTAGGATCAAAATGGGCGTGTCACGTAATTTCGCTCTGGCAATTGCAACTCGCTGCCTTTGACCACCGCTCAAAAAGCTTCCACCGGGGCCAACGCAAGTCTCGAGTCCTTTGGGAAGCCCGTCGATTGTATTCTGAAGCATGGCCAACTCGATGGGATCTTTGACATCTTGCTTGGTGACAGTTACATGGTCCTGACGACCAAAGGCAATGTTCGTGATAACAGACTCATTGAAGAGAACACTTTTTTGTTCTAGAAGGGTAATGTTGTTGCGGATCCAGTTGATGTCGAGTTCTTGCATTGGATTGCGGTCAATCAAGATTTCGCCTGAAGTTGGCAAGTAGAATCGCATCAGCAGTTGGCTGAGGGTACTTTTACCAGAGCCGCTTTTACCTATAACAAACGTCGTTTCTCCAGCGGGGAAGAAGAAGGTTGATGGCTTGAGAACACATTGATCAGGCTGGCTAGGATATGAAAATGATACCTGCACAAAATGTAGTCAATATCCGGACCAAAGCCAGTGAAATAAATATCAAACCCACGTTTTTGACCTTGATATCACCTTCACAGTGCTCCGGATATCGAGTTCCGTTGACCTCGCTCGCAATTTTGCTTTTCCTCTGACTCTGTATTATGGAGTTCAATGCGGCACCAGCGACCTTTCCTTTTTCCATCACAATAATCTGTGGCAACACCTGCTCAATAGACTGAGCCGCGGTTAAACAGGCCCAGAAAGTTCTTAGAACTTCTCCGGATGTGAGCTTCCCGGCGCGCGCAAGCGAACTGCCATACCAGAACCCCTGAACAAACATTCCGAACATCATCCACCGGATGATAGCGATTTGAAGGGAATTCAACCGAGCTTGTCGAAGGTAGTGTGTGGCAGATCTCTCAATACGCTCAGCGAAATTCCGATGCTCGAAGGCCTGCCCATTGAGGCACTTCACCGTATCGATATTGGTGATGGCATTGTTAGCAACCTTGGAAGCCTCGGTAAGCTCAGCCTGCTGTGCTGTGATGCTAAATCTCATTTTGGAAGAAAGATATCCGATGATTGCCGAGAATATGGGAATTCCTGCAAGTGTTACCAGAGAGAGGCTCCACGATGTATAGAAGCCCAGCCCCAGTGAAGCCAGTGAACGGCAAGAATATTGCAATACAAGCCCGAGTGGCTGTGATGTTGCCATTTGCATTTCATGAATGTGCCTGAAAATATTGCCATGTTAGACATAACATTTCGACGAGTATAGTTGCAAACTCACGCTTGAATTCCTGACAACAAAGCCCCGGAGCCTTCGCTTTTGGCTTCGAACCACCCAAGGTCGCGTTTGAGCAACTCTAGAAACACTTCGCTGCGAAGAACGGAGGCCTGCATTTCTCCAAATGCGACAAACAGGGCATAATATGCACCGTTCAAAAACCAACCAGCTACTCCCAATCCAATCATCCCCAGACAATTTGTGATTACTTGGCTATGAAGCCCTTTGGCATCAGTTTTATCCGCGCCGAAAGAGTTGAACGAGTCAAACACATTGCCAAGGAAGATTGCAAGTGCTGGCGTGACAAGACTAGCCACAAGGGCGAACATAGATCCCAGTATGAGAGTGGGCAGGTGTCTTCGAGTCGTGAATCCGAACAGCGATTTCCAACCCGGGTTGTCCTCGGGGATATGTTCTTTGTTGATACCATCCTGATTGGAAGTTTTGCGTTTAAGAAACATCTTGGCGGAAGAATCAAGCGTCACATTGAAAGACCGATATGACTTGCGAGGATTCTTTTTGCCACGCTATAGTAGCATAGTAGTGAAGCAAGAGAGGAGATAATGAAGATCGACATGGAATAGTCATCGTGGACTATTTGAGTGTCTTTCACAGATGTAATCAACAAAAAAAGAACAATACTAAGAAATCCCCCAATGGGGTAATATTGAAGAGGGGTGCAGAACAAAGACTCCGACACTGTAGAAAGGCACCTGGGATGAATGTAGCATTTATCTACCTCATCCTTAAAACGGAAATCTTAGCCTTGACTATCGATGGATGGCTTCTCGCCGTCATATAAACCTGAGGCTAGAGGGCGAACTTGCTAAGTGTGAGATGCGCAATGGCCGCGATCACCCATAATTAAGCCTCTGTCAACATAGACAATAGCGACCGAGGTAAAGGACAAAGAAGTAGTATAAATGACATTTTATTCAGGGTATATTTCAGACCCAATGCTGAAAGACGGCCCAAGTCCTCACGGACAGCCGATCTACATTTGAGTTGCAATTGACGGTTCAATGCTAACTCAGAACCACATATCTATGGGGTATGACCGCGCTTCTATCGTAAAAGTTAACCTCAAGCCATGATACTGCGGGATCTTGTGATCAGTATCACAGAGGCGAGGCCATTCCTCATCTGCGCCGCAAGGAAATAGGCAAATGCCGTCGGCCAGATCAGCCCGGATGTGGAACTGTCCTCGATTTCAAAAACAGCAGCAATGAGACATATTTTGTAATCATGAGCTGGCCTTCTGGGCCTTCTGGGCCTTCTCGTAGATCCAATCGTTCAGACCGGCGCGGTTTCTAGAAGACTCCATCAGCTTCCATGCGGGACTCTAGCAACTCCACTCAGTGCTTACCTAGCAATCTCAATAGCGTAGAACTGCATGCGCACACCGAAAATGGTGGTATCCTGGTCATACTCGGCATCTGCACGGGTACGAATCATGGTGCCAAAGTTGTAGTCCTCAACCTTGTCCCACTGCATCATCCAGTTGCGCCACTTCTCCTTGCCGGCCTTGCTCTTCATCTCATCCTCAACGAGGGGAGCGGCGGGATCGAAATCAGGGAATGCCTCCATAAATGACTCGTAGATATCATCATCCTGCTTGGTCAAGCGAAGCTGCGAGCCCTTGACCTTCTCCAAGATAGACCAGTATGTCATGAGATGCTCAACCGCTGCAACGTGAAAGGCGATCAATACTGTGACCTTGGCCGAAGGTTTGAATGGCATGTAAATCGATACGTGACTGACCTTTGACGGCAAACTGCTTCTCCATCTGTTACGATTGTCAGCGATCAATGTTCGTTCTTTAGACCATGTGGACGCGGGGTCATACATCCTCCAGATTCTCCGCCTCCTCGGGGTCGAATGGCTTTGACATTTTGACGGTTGAGTGTAAAGTGTATACTTTGAAAGGTGTGAACGCAAGAAAGCAGTGATACGAGTGTGGAGGAAATCAAGTGGCAGGTGTTCAGTGCCCCGCGCATAATTTTTTTGACGGGCGGAGAGCAGCCTCCGACTTGCATAACGTCATTCCGCCCGCAACGCCGTGGACAGGTATAAATTGTATCAGCGCGATGTCCAACCATGCTCAATTTGCTGCTTGATTAGAAGTTGCCTTTTTGGCATATTGACCAGACAGTCCCCCAATATATTTTAAATAGATGCCAGCATCTCGCTACAGAGCTACTATAGAGGGTATGGTCTACGTCATAGACCGTGTATGCAGCTGCAATGAACCAATATCAAAAAGCTGAAATTGCCAAACTGAACAACCACATCAGAAATGATGCTCAGTCACTATCAGTATCATCCGGCAGTTCTTCGAATCGTCCCTCGTGGAAAGCCTGGGTCACGGGGTTCTCGACATTCAGCAGACCGTTTGCTTTGGCTCTGGCATGGTTGTCAACAAGTGGACTATCTAGCTCTTGTAAAATGAACATACCTCTCAAATAACACAAAGAGTCTCTCGGCTTCACGCTCCTTCTCTTCCATGGTCATAGGGGGCCCGGAATCCTGTGGCTCAGCGGCCCATCGTTGTCCAGTGATTGGATTGCGTGCAGATTCAGGGTCGTCTTTAGCTGATGCTTCTTTTGCATTCTGCGGCATCTCAATGCCTCGCGCTGCCAGGAACCCAGCAGCGAAGCCGTAACCAATATTTTTAGTGAACTTCTCAGCATCCTTGTCTGACAGAACAAACATCAGCTCGGAGATTGTAACTTTCAGATTGGCAAAGTGGGTTGTTGAGAGCTTCAGAAGTCTCGAAGAAAGTGTGTCAGACTGCCCAATTGGCAAGCTTCGATCGGTGTCCTCTGGCAGAAGAAGAGTCCGCATATGCTTGCGCGGTCCATCGGGTGCCACTTCGTGGATAGCGATGAGTGAATATAGCAATGGGACTGCCTTTTCCTCTAGCTCGCTGGGGGTGTATATGGATACGGCCTGATCCAAGATACTGATCAACTTATTCACGTTGCAGTTGGGGTCGAAAGTCGGGAAAAGGGGGCTGCTCTCGGAAATTTTGCTTTTCTTTTCCTGCAAGTCAAGGATAGACAATGTATTGAGCAAGCCGCCAAGTAAGCCATCTAGGGGCTTTGCTGGGGTATCAATGCGACATATAATCTTCAAAATATGAGGGATGGAGGGGGAGAAATCGGTAGCAAGATCTGGAAACATCTTGGATATGTTGTACATCAACTTGAGTGTGTCTGACAATGCCAGTTCATCCATTTGTGACAATGGTTTTCTTCCTGACTTTGGGAACTGTTTCGCATGGCGACTCAATTGCTATACTAGTCAGCATGGCACACCTAGCAAGTTTCAAGTCTAACAATCCACTCACATAGTTGACATTATCTCCCAATGCGTGGCTCTTGATCAAGTCTTTAAAGTCCAGTGTGGTATTATAAGTCGTGTAGAACAAGATCCGACTTGTGAGCATCTCATCTTCCGAGTCTTCGGTCTATCAGAAATATCAGCTTTAGTACCGGAAATTGTATCTGCTGTGAGTGTACCCTGAGCTTTTCTGCTAGCTTCCCAGTGTATCCCGTGTCAACAAAAGCCTGACGCATTCTGGGGTCAAGTAATAGCGCGTTCGCAACACATCGCAATGCTGCTCGACGTACATTAGGGGTCTCCCCCTCAACGCCATACCGCACCAAGATATTAATGCCCTGGAAATGATCAGAACCAATTGTAATTCTCGACGGGCAGCTTTATCTGTTGTGCTCATACATTCTGTGAATATATCGGTCCTGCGTTGGTAGGGTTTGTGCCGTGTTGTCGAAGCTGGAGGAGGGTCTGGACTCGGTCTAGTAGTAGAATGGATTAGTGCCAGGCAGGTATAATGGCTATAGCATCCAACTTACCGGCTGTTGAGAGGTTGTTCTCTTCTTGGTCTTTCTCAAGCGACTTCAGAAGCTGTGTCACTTCTTGTAGCTTCGCTGTATGCGCAAGTCGAGTTAGCCGACCCGCTTGCCAGGGGGAAGCCATTCAATGTCCAGAAGATACCTGTTCCCTGCATCTGAAGAGACGCCATGCTGATCCGAGCTCGGACCGGCTTAATTATTCTGAGTAGGGGGTGATGTAGGAATGGTGTTATATTCGCTGTTTTGTGGAAGTGGAGTCCCTTACACAGTATAATATCAAGACCAGACCAGTAGCCTGAGCAGGAGTAGCTACTGACAAGCCAAAAAAAAAGGAGATGGAGCCACGCGGGGAAGTCAGGCAAATCGTCATACATTATTTGGTGTCCCCCACTTACTTCTCTCACTTTCTTACTTCGTACAATAATATCACATAGTACATAATGAGATAGCTCTTTTTACAATTCTATCTAGATCTTTGATGCGGATGCGCCAAGTTTGAAGTCGACCGTTTGCCTTCAAAATGTGACGCTACATGAAATTTGTATCCATTGCTGAATGCTGAACGTTGATATACTTATTGTTGATTGTTATATATACACTGCAATCCTCTCCAACGATCATTGAGGCTAAAGATAAATTGCATGAAAAGTCCGCGTATTGGTGCCTCGTCGCCTCAGGCGGTGACACTTTACGCGCATCGCGGCGCGTCGGAAGTTGAACTTAGTTTTCTCGGCTTGATGTGGCTTCTTGACTCTTCAATCTAAGACAGATCATGGATAGGGCCTGAACAGCATCTTATCCAGCAATGATCATAGACTATTGCGTCTTTTTCTTTTTCACACTTTTTGTCTGATCCGAATCATGGTGGAGATGCTCTCTGCTCGTCCGCCTACACCCCCAAGGACAACCTCACGCATCGTGATTGAGAACGCCGATTCACCAATAGCCATACAAACACCCAAGGAGTCATCGATCTCTGCACTGGGATCGGTGGGAGCCGGCTCATCCAGCCGCAGTTCGAAGAAAGTGAACTTCTCGCCATGGCCCAAGTACATCAAACCGCCAACCTTTGCTAGTGCTATGAAATCGGCCCCCGACTTCAAGATCTCTCCTTCCACGTACTCCAAGCCTACAAAGTCGATACTGAAAGCAACTCAGTCACCGATCCCCGTTTGGTCACCCAATGTCGATACATTCACCAGCGAATCGCTTGCCATGCTGCTCGAATCGGTCATCCAACAACTGGCAGGCGAGTCAATGAGCTCCCGACTCGATGCCTACATGCAATTCTTTGGTGCGCTACGAACGTATGATGGGCTTCCTGCGGGTCAGAAGATTGCTGAAAAATTGAATCTTATCACCGAGTTCATCCAGCGAGATGTGAATCGGGATCTTACGAACAGCGGCCCTCTCGATACGAACCTTGCCAATCAGGCTCTCAAACTATCAGCTGCGTTCGTTTGGCACCCCGAAATTTCGACACAGCTTTCGGAGGAATTCAAAATCTTTCTGGTCGACCACTCCATCACTTGCCTCCATGAGGCCAAGGCCCCAAAATCCGTCTTGACGCACTACATGTCTATATTGTCTACTCAAAACTTCGGTCCCAAGATTATGACCGGCTCACGTGTAGCGCGTCTTTTGACAGTACTGCAAGAAATAACCAAGAATATCAGTGGCAACGCAATTGTTTCCCATCGATTGAACATCTACCAACGGCTGCTGGGCCAAGCCAAGTCCGCCTTCATCTCCCACGCAAACTTATGGATGGAACACTTGATATTCGGGCTGCTTCACCATCTGAAGGATACCAGGTCAAAAGCGATTGCACTTGGCTTCCAGGTTGCCGCAGAAGCAGGTCCGAATCCTATACTGTCGAAAAACATCCGAGATCTCTTCGACCGGCCACTAGAGCACGACCGGAAGCTTGTAACAGAGGTTCGTGAGCGCATGGCTCGGATGATGCCGACGGTGGATAGCGGTGAACATGTTCCTCAGATTTGGAGCATCATCATCCTTCTTCTCCGGTGCAAAAGGTGGAATCTGGAGCAATGGGATCATTTTAAGGAATGGGTTTTGGTACTCCAAAAATGCTTCAATTGCAGCGAGCCTGTGATTAAGGCGCAGGCTATTGTTGGCTGGAATAGATTTGTTTATGCTATCAGCCCTAACGAATCGACGAGCCGGTCTCTCCTCAAGATGCTAGGCAAACCAGTATTCTCTCAATTCGACCGCAAGAAGACCGACAAGTCCGGAGCACCGCCCACTCAACTTGCTCTAACCAGCTACTATAATCTGCTATACTACACTTTCCGTCCTTCGGCTTCTTATCAGCATCTGGATATCATTTGGGAGGAATACGTGGCCGTTCCCTCTTCGAGCATCTTCTCATCAGTCCCCGTTCTCAGCGACTGTCTTTCTCGCATATTGACAAACCTGTTATGGAGCACGCAGGCTAAAATTTGGACAGAGAATCGAATCAATGACAGTACCAGATTGGAAGTAGAGGAACTTCCTGCAGCCGACAGCAGATGGGTTCGATCACGAATTACCTCAATTCTGAAGGTTTTCGAGCGTATGTTCAAAGCCTCCATTTGGATTGATGACGCAATTGGCCAATCTCACGTGGCATTGGCCTGGAGCAGTCTGTCCAGTTCTCTGTCGCTCGCATCCAGCAAAGAAATCACCCCCTCAGGGGAGTCGATGCAAGCTGTTGCTAGCGTTTGGGGTCTACTGCACCGTCTTTGGACTGCAGGGCCGCTCTCGCTGAATGCCGACACCGCGGATATTTTCTTCGAAAGATTCAGATTCTTGTCTACAACAATGATCGTCTCTATTGGGGAGATTCCGTTTACCGAAAAGTTTCTCCTGAGGAACGCGGACGAAACCGATACCACTCCCACACATCCACACCCAAATACGACTCCAGAAAATGCTATTCTTCATCTTCTTCGAATAATCAGTAGCGCTGCAGGGGAAATAGCGCCGAGCCAATCTTACACACATCTTGTCCTAGGTAACATTGAAGCAGCCTGCAATGGCAGATTCTCCCGTGGATCTCGTTTGGAACTTCTCCAACAGTGTGCAGAATTGAGCACCACGAAGACCAGTGCTATTCCTCGTGCCAATCTTCTATCGGAGGTGGTCTGGAATGCTACTGCCCAGGCGGCTGCGAATGCTTTGCAATCGTTCCCCATGGAGTCCGCTCGTGGGCGCGATGGCTCTGTATCCCGTGACTACGAAAATGTTATCAAGATTCTCTCGTTCGGTCTTTCATTCCCATTGGCCTTTCAAGAGTGGTCTCATTTGCTTGAAACTTTTGTTCGTGTGGTTCGAACAGAAAAAGGGAACCAAGCGGTTGCCACCATCATTGTGGAACCCACGGCCGAGCGCCTCATGCATCTTTCTGCTGAAGATACTTACCTACCCTCAACTTCACTGCTTAGCCATTCCTTGTCTATCCCTTTCATGCAAGGAACCGGGCTAGGGATTGATCGCAGCGAAATCGCAGCTGGCCATACTATCTTTCCTCATAAACTTCTGGAGTCAATTTCCCGAACATTGTATGGTGCATACGAAAATTTCAGCGCATCAAAATCCCAAGGTCTTGCCGAGTTTATTGAGGCATTAACTTCTTTTCTGGGGACCGGTGTTCCGCAGTTCCAATGCCAAACCCTTCAATCTCTTCAGCCATCACTTAGTCTTTGGTTAAGGGACAAATCTTGCAAGGTCCACGTTAACTGCGGTGTTGACAGCAGAATTCTGACATCGTGCCGTGCGCTCTCGTCGGCTACTATCAATACTCTGCAAACATCAGTTTCCCATGATCTACCATCTTTGAAGTGCTTTGAGCCTATTATTTGCGCCGGCTTGGAGTCTTCGCACATCTCGACAGCCAGGAGATACCTTGAACTTTGGGACTTGACCTTTGGTTCACAGACTTTTGTTACTCCAGTCACCATTTTGGAAGCTGTACAAGCTGCCGAGTCTAGGGTCCAGGCCGCAACCTTGCCACTGCAAAACGGTGACCAGGATACTGAGATGCTACCTCCCCCTCCTCCACAAGGCAAGATAGATCGATCATTACATCAACCCTCCCAGGACACTCAGCTTTCGTCCCCCGTTATCCGGGCCGACGCCTCCTCCGTGGTCCTTAACCCAACTGACCAGTTCTGTGAACCCCACTTGCCTATTAACCTTCCGCAGCCCACGGATGCGCAAATTGTTGATGGCATCTCGGCTTCACACAAGCGCAAAAGTCACCGTGAGATGTTTTCGATGATTGAGTCCCTTCAATCTTCATCACCAGCCAGTACTCCACGGGAATTGGGATTCGATACTCCTCCCAATCTGCACAAAATACATGCAGGGTCACTGACCGAACTTCCTCTAACGCCCACTCTCGCCCCTACTGAGAATGAAGAAGGATTCATCGGCTCGTCTCCGACACCTGGAACCAGAGACCCGACACCTGCCATGACCTCCGACGCTCTAAGGTCGAGCCACGTGTTTACAGATTCGGGGATAGATCCTCCATCATCCCCTCCCGAGGTGCACTCTCGAAGCCCAAGCCCCCGAAAGGGTCGCTCAAAAAGGGCGCGGCGGAGGGCTGCAAAAGCAAGAAAGGCTCTTGCTGACACTTCCGGAAAACAGTCCACAGTCAACAGCCCTGCTACTTCTCGTCTTGCGACAGAGAGCATAGACACACCTACGAGTGATGTCCATGACTATGATAACGAAAATGCAGACGCTACACCTCGACCAGATGAAGTAACTTCCAGTCGGCGACTTCGATCTTCGCTGGGTAAAGACTCAGATACAGCAGAGCCTTCTACAGAGCTATTGGTTGACAATGATAAAACTCCTGTCCAACAACCTGCTCCCAGGAGTAAATCAAGCTCGAGCTCTAAGAAGAAACGAAAGCAAACTCAGTCTAAGCCTGCGGACAATCAACCCCAGCAAACCGAGGACATGCTCCCCGAAAGTTTTCCGGATAGTTTCATGGACTCGAGCGAGGAGACAGATACACAAATAGCATCACAGCTTGGACAGGACTTGGAGCTAGCAGTGGACATGGACGATAGGACTCACCCGGAGCGAGCAATGTCTCCCAATGAGCAACCCACCAGGAAGAGAAAGCGGGATCAAGAGGAACTTTCTTCATCTGCGAAAACCGACAGGCGCCGGTCAACACGGCTGTCCACCTTCAAAGAAGTCGAGTCACTACAGCCTGACGTCTCGCCTTCACAGTCTGCCATTTCTCGGTCCGTCTCTGCATCCAAATCATTGTCGCCAACTGCGACTCGCCGATCTACCCGCAGTTCACAACGCAAAGAGGCCGGTAACGCCTTAACGGACTCAATCCCTCCAACCCAAGACTCGGTGGCACAAGAACCAACACAAGATGCTGAGACTCCTCGGCCATCCAAACGGCCTCGCAAGTCCATTCGTCTCGAGGACAAGTCTGTTGTCAAAAGCAGTGGCCAAAGTGTCCCTCTAGATACCCACTCCCGCAAAACCCGGTCTCAGCAACATGCATTTGATGCGGCTCAACCTCAGGTTTCAAGCATCCCATCAGAGGAACATGGCGATACTGACCACTTGCCACCTCATGTTGGCCTTGATACAGCCCCGGCGAGCATGGTTACAGAAGATCAAGCAGGAAAGAACATCTCTCTTATTTCTACCGAAGAGGCAACTGCCACTCAAGTCTCTGAAATGGAGCAGTCTACTGAGCCTTCGGTGAAACCTGCCATCGAGACTGATATCGACATGGATGCAGCACAACAATCCAATGGAATGGTCGACCAACCTAAAATTTTTGTCGCCGCGGGTACCCAAACCCAAGAAACACCCCCCGATCCCAAATCAGACATCAGCGAACAAGACATCGCCCAATCCCTAAAGAATTTGCTGGGTCAAATGAAAACAACGACCTTGTCCCCGAGCACCTTCCGCGAGGTCGATGATCTTCTCTTCAATCTCCGTTGTGAAGCACAAAATGCATCAACGCGACACAATACTTAGCATAGCGAATGGCGTTTACAGCGAAACCTGTTGGATATGATTTTTTTTTATATTGGAGCCCGTCTCATCATTATTCCCCACCTGCATCCTATATGTCTTCATGACCTGAAGCACAGCGCCTATTATATTGCTCGACATGCTTGGTCCCGAATCTTTTTTCTTGTACGTTATGTCTTCCGCACTTGGGGCTCTATGCGGTTATAATAGAATCCAAACATTGAACATCATCACTATTGATTGTCTTTAAAAAGAAGATAGAGACAACATGTCTCTACCTCACTGACCTAATCACTTCCGCACGTCTTGCCCGATCAGCTGCCGTCGCCACTATAATAGTAACGAGATTCCGCATTGGCCAGTCTGCATTTGACCCGAAGATGCTCACCTGGGCAGGTACAGTTCGCTTGAATGTCATGATGACGCTGGTTGCCACTCCTTCCAGAATAGCATGTCGACCTGCGATCAATCTCGGAAGTCGCCATCAAGTTGGCGACGCAGATTTCATTCAAAGCTTCAGCAATTAGATACATACTAGCTCGTACTTTTCCGAACAATGGCCACACCAGGCACTCAGTGTATGATGCAAGCAGGCCTAACAGCTGGCATGTCGGCCACCCAGGGCATGCACTCCCCACGCTCCAACCCGGTAGACACCCATCTCAGTGATCCAGTCAGCATGCTTCCACCCGACCTAAAACCAGACTCAAAAAGCCGAATCGCCTTGCGTTGCGTGGATGGTAAGGATGTACTTGTTCCTTACCTGAGTATTGGTGCATGGTCTTGGGGCGACAAAGCAAGCTTTAACTATAACCCAGCACGAGACCTACCGCACATCCACGCAGCGTGGGCCAAGCTCAAGTCTGTTGGGTTGACCTTCGTGGATACAGCGCAGTCCTACGGCGACGGTGAGAGCGAGCGGATCTGCGGGACCCTATTCCGGGACATGCCCCGCGACTCTTTTGTGGTGCAGACTAAATGGCTATCGACACCAGATATGGCCAACACTATCATGCAGGCCGGCGGGCCCAAGTCTAAGCTTGAAGATTCGCTCTTGCGTCTTCAACTAGACTACGTCGACATCTACCTCGTCCACGGGCCTATCCACCCTCTCAAGATATCCACTGTCGCCAAGGGCATGGCCGACTGTGTGAAGTCCGGGATGGCGCGCGCGGTTGGAGTGGCTAATCATGACACTAAGGAGATGATCAAGATGGCTGATGAGCTGGCCAAGCATGGCGTCCCGCTCTCTGTCTGCCAGTGCGAGTACTCAATCGTCCGCCGCTTGCCTGAAGTTAGCGGCGTGATTCGAGAATGCAAAAAGAGGAGTATTTGCTTCCAGGGCTTTGCCTCGCTGGCTCAAGGCCGTCTTTCCGGCAAGTATTCGCGCTTCAATGAGCCCCAGCGCAAGCGGCGCTTCAGCAGTCATCCCATGCATGTGCTAGAACCTACTATCAATGTCTTAAAGACTATCGCCGAGGAGCGGCGTGTGCCTGTTCCTGCTGTTGCGCTAAATTATTCCATCATAAAAGGTGTTCTGCCACTAGTTGGCGTGCGTGATGCTCGTCAAGCGGAACAGGATATGCAGGCACTCGGATGGCGGCTGACGGAAGATGAGATGAAACAGATTGAAGGAGTCAGTCTACAGGGTAGTGTATCCTCATTGATGCAGCACGGGTAGGTAATACATAGATGACAAAATTGCACAGTGTAAAGGGAGGGAGGACCTGTGAGTTTTCTTCCCGCTTAGTTCTGCCTTCATCATCACCTAGTCTCCTCCTGGACTGTCCGGCATAAAACACCAGACTTCGCTTTCTTCAGTTTCCATTTTATGTCCCCTCTCTCCTCCTAGTTGCCGTTGTTTCAGCTTTGGTCGTGGGGCTTTGGAAGGGAGTCACTCATAGAGCTTTTACTCAACCCATCTAGTCCACCTACTTCAAACAATTCTTTTATTGCTCATGTCACTTAGCGGTAGGTTGATCCACAGTTCGCTGCATTTCTTGTGCTAGAAGAGTACATAAAAGAGTACATAAAAGAGTACATAAAAGAGTACATAAAAGAGAAAAGCTCAGTCGATGAAATGTGATCACGGATCCCCTAAGACTGCTGTTAGAGCGCCAGTATCCAAAATCAGAGGTATGTATGTGCAGGCTTGGCGTCCTCAATCTCCCTTCTTAAGGATCCACGTCCCAGGAATGGCTTTGCATCGTACATGCTCTGTTTGCTCGCCAGTAACAAAAAGGACGTGCTTTATAGCTCTCGAGAAATGGCTATAGATCTCAGAACCACGAGTCTTGACCCCTGCTGAATGACGGCCCATCAGCTTATTACGTGAGAAATATTGCATAAAATTCTGCTTGACCTTCTGATTCCTCAGTACGCTGCTATAGGTGCCTCCAAAGATTAATACAACAGAACAGTCATCTGTAACCATTATATCACGGTAATCGTAGCTCTTCTAATCGCCCCTACTGTCAGAGAATGAGCAGTCTGACTGGTTGCAATCCGAATATCTTTCCGCGCCGTCCGTCTCAGCATCGTCTGGCCAACTCTCAGTGTTGGTGTTAAGATAGATCGTACCCTTGGAGGTAGTCTTCAACTTGTATATGCACCTTCGTTTTAAGCCAATTAGCTCAGCCCTATTATTAAGAGTAGCCTGGCTTGAGCATCCTGCTCTAGGGGAGACAAACATGATTGCGCCTGAGACCGCAGACTAAGAATATTTCTGAGCTATTTGAGCAGCTGAGACGCTAGTCTCTATTGGATATACTTGTATGGCAAGAGGGTGATAGAAGCAGAGGTTGGTGTGAGAGCGAACTCTACCTACTATATATACTCTTTGCATGGGGGTGATTCGCACTCCGGTCGGTCCGGTGGTCATCGTTGGATCCTCTTAACTCCCCAATCAGATGAGTCTCAAATCCTTGGGGTGTCATAATACTCGCTGCGGGAGCCGGCATCCTGGGAGCGTTATCGTAAATTCGAAGCCAATGAAAGAACGAGGCAACAAGTAAGAAGTTGTAGACAGTGCACGGAGTAGCCCCAAGCGACTTTCTCGAGTCTCAATGCGGATAATGTGGCTTTATGCTACCCCGCAGTTCTGCCTTCAGAATCCAATCACTGTGGTAGCTCTTACATTGACAGCAGTGCTGAGGGTGAGACGTGCTACTGTAGTTAATCGCCGCATCGGCTCAATATGCGGTTGGTCCATGGCCGTACATCTCTAGCAGAGGCAACAAACCATAAGAAGCCTGTAGAATTGGCCAATAATATTGAGGTCTTTGATCTTCGTAACAACGTTGTAGCATAGGGCCCTCGCTCATGAGGGTGATCCATTCTGCCTCTCAATGAGCTTTTGCACTCACATGGGACCAAAATATATAGATTTCCATGGTAGGAAGGCTGTTTTATTTCAGCCTCCATGAATCTAATCAAAATATAGGATACTAATGTGTATGTTGCGTGTTCGCCAAGCCCTAAGCGGTCTCAGTACATACAACAGAGGGATAACACTAACTGTCCAGATTATAAGCTCAGCCCATGCAGTACATCTAATTGGATGGAGTTTGTATGTATCCTATCCTTACATGGATGGCCGTGTATATACATATCCCACACCTCCAATACTATGAGAACTAAGACCTCGCCTCTACCACTCTATTCGTTCTATGCATATTCACTCTTTACCCAAGTCCCGCAATTCAACTGGGGGGGTTGACCCAGTCCAGAAGCTCAACTTTGGAGATGTTTGATCTCAGAGCTTCCGCCGAGTCATCAATATCTTCCTACTCTTCCTGTCTTGCCATCTTGCTTGCATGAGGGGAACCGTTGGGTGAGTACAGCCATGAATATATAACAGTCAGATAAAATTGCGCAATTTCCTGCCAAGAACAGCGCCCTTGGCAACTGAAGGGATTTCGACTGATTCTCAGAAGAGAGACATTTCCGCTCGGCCATCCTCCGGACCCGGCATCCGCTCTTCGAGACCATAGATGCCTACATGTGACCTCACATGATTGAACCAGGCTAGCTGGTATCTGCCACTAACCTTGGAATAACAACCTGGCCAACAATACTGCGACATAGCGCACCGTCCACAGTGGGATTCTTCCAAGACTCTTGGCATGGCTCTCCTATCGCAAAACCCGCGAATCTAAGGACTCAGGCTGAGAATGCCTCCCCAGGCCTCTTGGCATCAGCCCGGCAGCAGGATAAGATGCTTGTCAAGCCCCTTGGCATCAGTCGGAGGTCATACGAAAGCGTCCATGATCTACCGCCGAAATTTCTGGGCAACCTTTGGCTTTTCTTTGATTGCTTTCATCTTGGAACATCACATCATTCTCGCCGCATGAAAATACAAAGACCATTCAACTGCTGAGATCTTCCTCCTTTGATCGGTACCATCATGGTACTCGCCCAGTATCTAAAGAAGGTCGCGGGTTGGATCGCTCCTCCTCCGCAAAAGTCGGAAGATGGACGTGATCAATGGCCCTCGCGAGCAGCTTTCCTACTAGCCGCCATGGGAGGCTGCGCCGGTCAGGGAAACCTGTTGCGATACCCTTCGGTGGTCTACAATAACTATGGACTGCAGTGGTTTATCCCCTACCTGCTGGCCGTGTTCGTCATCGCAATTCCGGCTCTTATTCTCGAGATCTCGATTGGACAAGCCTATCGTGGCGGCACGGTGATTGCGTTCAACAATATAAACCCTCGGCTGAAAGGCGTTGGCATGGGTCCGATTTTGATCAGTTTTGTTGTTGTGCAATACTTTACGGTCAACTTGGCGTGGATCATGAACTATTTTCGCAACTCCTTCCGAAGTCCACTGCCATGGGAGGGCAGAATTGAGGAATTTTACATGGGCAACGTCGTCGCCAATGTCGATCCAGTCGTGGGTAATCTCACTGCTGGTAACGGTGCCGTTGCTCACTATACCGTGTACCCCGGTGTTGCCCTCATCGGCGAGACGGTCGGTTGGAGCGCATTCATCTGGTTTTTGATATGGATTTCCATTTTCCGTGGAGTAGGTCTGACAGGTCGCGTCGTCTACTGGACAATGGGTCTGCCCATTGTCACCACCCTTATTATCGTCGGTCGCTCTTGTTCACTAGAAAATGCGCGCGAGGGTATCCGACTCTTATGGGCGACGTGGAGAAGCGACCAACTAGCCTCAGGAACTGTCTGGCAAACCGCTGTCGGACAGGTCTTCTTCTCTACCGGCATCGGTTTCGGTTATTTCACCTCCTATGCTTCCTATAATTCCAAACACTCCAATGCTATCATGGATGCCATTCTCATCTGCGGAAGTAACGTCCTGTTCGAGAATATTGCAGCCTTTGCCGTGTTTGGCGTTGTAGGCTATCTCCGACGTTGGCCACAAGATGGCGAGAGACTAGGTGCATTCGTGGTAGGGTTCCTGACGCTCCCCGAAGCTGTGCTCCACATGCCTGGTGCGAATTGGTGGGCCATCCTTCTTTTCTTTACCCTGGTGGTTCTCGGGTTTAGTTCCGCCTTTGTGATGCTCGACGCAGTAGCTACGTTGGCCGTGGATTCGGGCATGAAAATGTCCCGACCGATGATTGTGACGAGTCTCACAATAATATCATTCCTCATGTGTTTGCCCTATTGCACTCATTTTGGGTTTTACTTGCTGGATGGAATCGACCGATGGATTAACAATGTAGCATTGATCTTTGTTGTGTGGTCGGAGCTCGTTGGTGCAACCACAGTTTATCGCTGGCACGACGTGGTGAGCCAGACAGGCCTTCCTGCTTTTGTTGTGTATAATTTCGGATACTTCGGTGGCCAGATTGTTGGAGTTGCCGTCGCGCACGGTATCTCGAATCCGTCAGCTGGCGCCGGGGCCGGGTTTGGGCTGTATATCGTCTGTTCAATTCTTTCCGTCCTCATCGCCACGATTCCGGATATCAAGGCCGCCAGCTTCTGGGGGCGCAACCCCTTTTCTCAGTCGATTTTGGTATTTAGCATTCTACTCTGTGTGTTCACCGCTGTCCACAAATCCTTTATCACAGAAACTAACCTGCACAGGGCAATCAATTAAGACGCGACCTGAACGGCGTGGTTGGCGGCAATGGAAACTGGAATATCCCTCGTTTCTGGCCCCTTCTACTCCGGTACGTTAGCGCGCCTATCCTGGCCATTGTTTTCAGCTTCGCGTATCCTGAATTCTACTCCTTGCGATACGACCCAATGATGGTCGCCGGGTTTATTTTGGCGCACTTTTGTCTGCTCTTGGTTCTGCTCGGTTTGGTGTTTCCACGATACTACAATATCTTCATTCCGCCTCAACGGAGAACCGAGGGCACTGAAGTGACAATCGCCAATCAGCCCAAACAACATGACTTGGTACCAGACGTCGAGGCGTTTGAGTTAGAATCTGGCGTGCCGGAGTCATCCTTGACCCGGAAGGGTGGTAGGATAGACACTGAACATTCGGTGCCGAAGCTATAAACTGTATATCGTTTGTGTATATAACTTCCATGTTTCTCATTGAATTTACCTATTCATGCTCTTCCTGACTCAGCAAGATGTGGAGAGAAGGAGAATCTTGACGGCGTCCCAAAACGGATTAGCTTCTCAATAGGTATGAAGACCCTGGTAGAGGGGAGATGCAGTTCCGAGTAGAGCTCTTTCACCCATTTTCTCTCATTTTTCTGTGAGGCCAGCATGAACCCAAAAGTTTGCAACGATGTAGCTTTACCTTCTCAACAGGTGAACAACGATGAATGTTCGGGCGACTCTCTGAATGAAATCGAGCATGACAGCGACTTGGTTTTTCCAGATGGTGGTTGGCGCGCATGGGGTGTCGTTCTGGGCCCACTCTTGGTGCGCGATGGTGCCGTCATTTGGACTTATGAACACAATTGGTGTGTTTGAGGCTTGGTTGGCGGACCATCAATTGAGAGACTATTCAAAAGCGTCCATCGGCTGGATATTCAGCCTGTATATGTTTTTCCTTTATTTTGGAAGTGTCCAAGTTGGTAAGCCCATTCGACCTATTCGATGTGATATGTAGGGCTAACATCTGATAGGACCTCTTTTTGATGCCCATGGTCTTGCGCCTTTGCTAATCCCGGGATGCGTTGGGCTCATCGCATCACTGATGATCTTCAGCGTTGCAGAAGGTAAGATTCTTTCGGATAACCAAACTGATCCGGCCCAACCTAATCAGAATTTGTATAGAATATTACCAATTCATGCTGGGATTCAGTGTCCTTGGCGGTATCTCCTCATCAATGGTGTTCACCCCTAGCGTGGCTTGCATAGCTCATTGGTTTCACAGACGTCGTGCCCTGGCTACCGGTATAGCCGCGACTGCTGGGGGTATTGGGGGAATCATCTTTCCTGTGTTGATATCCAACCTCGCGGATAGTCTAGGTTTCCCTTGGGCTATACGAATTATTGGGCTCATAAGTGTAGGATTTTGCTGTCTGAGTGTCGCCCTTTTGAAAACGAGAATCCCCTTGAACTCAGCACAAAAAGGAACCGTTGATATCGGGGCTTTGAAGGAACTACGCTTCTCACTATTGACCGTGGCCATTGTTTTGATCGATTTTGCTCTCCTGATCCCGTTGACATATTTGCCATCCTATGCTCAGTCTCGCGGTGTGGGAGATACTCTTGCATACAATCTATCGTCGATCCTGAATGCTGCGTCCATCGTTGGGCGTATCGTCCCTGGTTATTTTGCCGACCGATTTGGCCGTTTCAATATAATGGTCATCACATCGTTCATCTGTTCAGCGGTTACTCTCGCCCTATGGCTTCCATCCCACTCGAATCAGGCGGCCATCTTAGCATTTGCCGTGCTTTTTGGATTTTGGAGCGGTACTGCGATCAGTCTTGCGCCTGTTTGTGTTGCGCAAATCTCCAAAACTGAAGATTTTGGGAAGCGTTATGGTACAACGTATTGCTTGGTCAGTATCGGCACACTCATCGCCATTCCAATTGCCGGCGAGCTTTTAGAAGTGCAGACATCCACGGGCCAGGATGACTATACCGGTCTGATAATTCTATGTGGACTCGTCTATTCTTGTGCGTGCGTCTTCTTTATCTTATCCAGGGGCGTGAGCGTTGGTTGGGGATTGAAAGTGTTTTAGCATGTTACATGGAGAATTCCAAGGGAGGAAGTGGCATTCTGTATATTGCGACAGACAACTGGGACTAAAAAAAAGCCCTGAAATCAGTCCATATGGCAATATTAATCAAAATATTTGCACATTGTACGGTAAGAGTAGACCGAGTAGTCCTAGGTAGCTCTGGAGTGGCCCCGGCAGAGACAGGCGGGGACCGATAAGATCCCCGCGCTTCAAAAGCCGAAACATCAAGCACCTCTTCTCCCTCTCGACTCAATTCGATTCTCTAAAACCCCCTGGAACAATGGTCCGATCAAACAAACCCTCAGCAATTGGATTGGGAGCTTCACTTCCTCAGCCCACCCTCTCCATCAATGATAACATCGTTGAAGCTTCCTTGCCCACTGGCCAGTCAGTGACTGTGAACCTGTATGGCGCCACTGTGACATCGTGGAAGACAGGTGGCCAGGAGCAGCTGTTTATCAGTGAGAAGGCTCATCTCGATGGCTCCAAGCCTATCCGTGGTGGCATTCCGCTGGTGTTCCCGGTATGTGAACTCCGCCATCGCGCTCGAGAGCTACAGCTAACTGCTCTGCTCATTCTCCAGGTCTTCGGTCCCCCACCCCAGAACCACGCTACCTCATCTTTACCACAACATGGCTTCGCTCGCAACTCCAACTGGGAGTTCTTGGGCAAGTCCTCTTCGGAAGCGCCCGGAAGGGATAGCGACAAAACCGATCTCACTGTGAAGTTGGACTTCGGGCTGTCGCACTCCATGCTGACCGACGAGTTCCGCCAGTCTTGGCCATATGAGTTCGGTCTAGTGTACAGTGTTACGCTGACCACGGACTCACTGGAGACAGCACTGCAGGTTCGCAATGAGGGCCAGCAGAACTTTGAGTTCCAGGTGCTTATGCACACGTATCTGAACATTGCGGTACGATGAACACCTCCAGGATTATACCTTTTCCCAGTCCTCCGCTAATTTGGAATTTGACATATAGGACATCTCCGACATTCGTGTCAAAGGCCTCGAATCCAAGACATACCTCGATAAGACCCTCCAAGGGACTTCTCACACTGAATCGTCCCCCGCCTTGGCAATCACCCAAGAAACCGATCGCATTTACCAACAACTTGACCCGGCTGTTCCAATTGTCGTTGCCTCTGCGAAGGATGACCAGCCTTTGTTCTCGATCACTCGGGAAGCTCTGACTGATGTTGTGGTCTGGAACCCATGGATTGAAAAGGCCAAGGGCATGGCCGATTTTGGCCCAGACGAGGCTTACAAGAACATGATCTGTGTGGAGGCTGGCTCGGTGTCTGGTTGGCAAACTCTTGAAGCTGGTGAGGCTTGGGAAGGTGGACAGAGCATTAAGTCGCGACTATGAAGATGAGATGATACCTTGTCCCTTACTAGTGATCTCGTGATCTTCATGCATGATAGTTATGACATAAAGACGCCTATTCCCAATTCCAAATCGAAGGGCCGCTAATCATGCGGCCGTATGTGATTTCTAGCCCCGCCTTGTTTGACAGTATTTTGACACAAATCATTATCTTCATCCAAAATTGGTCCAAGTTACAGATACACACGCTTTGACAAGGTCATCAACAAGCAACAATATTCACAATTCTCGCAGTGCCCACTTTCGTTCCATTGGTGGTCCGCTCTTCGTTTATCATGAAGCCTCCCCCTACTCAGTACCGATAGGCGAAACACCAACAATATCAATAAAAGATCGACGGCCTTCCTTGCCTTCTTGGAAAGCAGCCAATCGCTCAGCAGCCTCAAAGCTATAATGCGGACCACAGTACTGGCGTCTGCCACGCAATACCCACCAGGAGGCAGTGAGAACCATCAAGCCAACAACAATCACACTGGTATAGTTCATATTTTGAACCGTGGCCGGCAATACCAAGGGGAAACAAAAGAAAACAACAGTAACAGAAATATATAACAAAGAAACAATATTGACTGCCATTCCAAGTTTTTGTCCCATATAAAATGGCCCCGGAACCATGTTTCCACGACCCGAAAAAACATGAGGAAAGATGGCTCCGAAATAGGACAGCGAGCTTAGGACAATAAACGATGAGATCAGCGCTTGAAATGCTGTCGTGCTGCCAATATATATGCACCCCAGACAAGTGACGAGTGCGCTCATAGCAACAGTGGCACGCACGGGGCAGTTTAGTGTCGGGTGCACTTGAGCGAAGTAGTTCGAAAAGGGCGTTGCGTTATCGCGTGCTAGACTCCACCACATTCGACCGCCTGTCACGAATGTCCCAATAAGCGTTGGGAATGTCGCGAGAAATAGTACCGCAATCAGACCGATTGCGCCTGTGTTAGAGCCTGTCGCTTGTCGATAGATCTCGGCGGTTGGGAAAAAGCCAATGTTACTATTCAAGACGGCGTCCAAATCTTGAATGGAGTAGAAGAGAGCAATCAGGTACACAAAGGATGTGACAAATGCCGTCAGCATTTGCAACATTATGCCCTGCGGGACCTTGATCTCAGGTTTGGGGACTAAAACGCATTGTTAGTTGGTAGCTTCATTTTCTCCTGTTTCTCACTTACCCTCTTCTGATAAATGGCTAATACAGTCTGGGACTCCAACTGCAAATGCAGCATTCAACAGACCAGTCATGAAGCAAACTCCATCTGACCATCCACCTGTGTTGTTGTGGTACTCAGTCCACACCTGGGCATTGCTGGCATGCGTTTTTGGCATCACCGTGAGAACCACCACAGTTGTAACGAGCCCACACATGGAAAGAGTAAGGGCAATGCGGTTGAGGAGAGGAATAAACCGATTTCCCAGGCACACAATGGCACAGCATGTCCAATTGACAATCTGAAATACAATAAATACTTGCCAGGCTTGCCACTTCACGGTTGGATATCGGAGCAGATACATGGCCACGCCCTCGTTCCCCAACATGGAACTCATCGATGACGCTGATAGCAGCCACGCGCAAGCATTCAGATACCCAGTGAAAAACCCAGCTGTGCGGCCTCGACTCCGGCTCAAGACTGATGACCAATAGTATACCCCGCCGGCAGAAGGCATGGAGGAGGCGAGTTCCGCCAAAGAGGCAGAGATGGTCGTGTAAAAGACGCTGACTAGAATCAACCCGTACAGAACAGCCATTGGACCGCCATTCTTGAGCGCAGCGACGATTGTACCCCCTGTTGAAGCCCAAGAGCTTGGTCTCGTTAGTCTATCGAAGTTGTATCGGTGTAATTGCCGATTGATGAGTGCCTTACTTTGCAATGACGATCCCAAGGCTGGTCAAACTCCACAGTCCAAAGTTCCGGGGCAGCTCTTGCTTATGCCCAAGTGTAGATTCTAGCCGTACCTCATCCATTCCGGTATGGTCTTTCGGGGATTTTTCAATGTCCCCGGAGGATTGCCTTGAGAATGCCGCCATTTTGCAGTGCGTCATGCGGTGTTGGAGCGAATATTCAAGAAATAGTTTCATGCATGGCAATGACAAGATGGAGAAAGAGGAAAGGAGGCACGACGTACACTTTGTTCACTGAGTTTGACAGAGCGTACAGGGCGCATCAGCCCAATCGGGCGTGTCGCAATAAGAATGTAGGATGCGAGGGCTGATACCCTCATGGCTGCCACATGTATTCCCCAACGTCCAAGAATTCATGCAAGGATGACTCGTCCAATAATTTTCTCCGAAGGAATGCATGTTTCTTTGTTGGCCTGGCTAAAACATGGAGTTAGGTGTGTTATTATTGGCGATGGTGTGACTTTTCTTTGTTAAAAATAAAAGCATACTCCGTACTATGCGTATCAACGAATCATACGATCAAGATGTCTTACAATCCTGTTTTAATTGGACTTGTACAAATTCTTTCTCTCATGGCCTTCCCAAACCGGAATTGAGTTGATACATCGCAGGCTAAGTAAGGGGGTTCGTGGCGAATGCGGAATTTCTGGCGTCGATCCGATGGTTTTAACCACGTCCGACGTGTATGTTGTAGAGTACGGAGTGGAAAGTTCAACATTTGTAGCTTGAGGCGAACTAATTTCAGCAGCCAGGATAACCCTTGCAATATGCTATTGTCGTCTTGGCTTTGATATTTCACAAGTTTCAGGTGTTCGCCTGTGGAGATATTCTACATTCCAGCATTGTCAGGGCGCAGACCAATTGGATGATGTGCAAGACACCCTGCATACGATCGCGATTCCCTTAATGAGGCGCCCACATGGCCTCGGGTGATCGAATCATTACGGAGTACTCCGTATATGGAGACGGATTACTCCGTAGAATGCTTTAAGCAGGCATAGCGGGTGTTCCGGCATTTAACACGACACTCCTCATTAGCGATCGACGTCGGTTAAAGAGGTGCTTTATCTAACATGATTTGAAAAAAAAAAAAAAGCCTACTGGTGGACGTGGAGAGCCTGAGTTATCAAAGAAACATTCGAACACGCCATTATGCACTAGTCCTAGAGAGTATAGAGGTCTTTGACGACCTTTTAAAAATTGTCATGTTGAGGCCGGTCATAAGATAATTATTCAGATTACATTTAGCACCTTAGCTCATTGAAATAATGACGCAGCTCCTGACAGTCGCCTATGTGGTTGTAGATGTTCTCAGCTTCAATGGTCGCTGGCTAATATGGCGGAGCTCTGCCCTTGTTCGGGAAATCACTGAATGACGAACCCTCAAGAAGACGCCAATCTAGTTAATGCTGTCAGAGCTTAAGAAGAAGGTGGATTCAATGGATCTGGTGCATGTAATCATGCATAATACCTCCCCTCGAATAGCTTAATATCTCGAAATATCAAACATTTTCCCAACAATGACCCCATGAATGGCTATAGTGTTCATTTTTGCTTGATGGAACCGTTCTATATTTAGGCAGCATGCAGGATGGGTTTGCGGCCGTTAGATTTGGCGTGCTTAATACTGCTCCAAGGGACCTTGGGCTTTGAGGCTTTTCACGTGGCTAGGTGGTTCCTACTGGGCTACGATATAAGGAAAAGCAATTTTATCCATACTTATTGCATTACTTCGGTAGATATATCACACGTCAAAGGTGCAATGACGCCTTTGCGTTCTTCCTCTTCGCCGAGCACGGACTACTCTGCGGTACAATCCCGCTTCTATATGTGACACTGCAGTCAGCATCCCTCTACGACCTCTACATAGAGGTTGGGAACTAATTTTTATTATTCTAGGGTAGATTAAATATTTGCAAATACAAAGATCATTGTATTACCATCTTCTTTATAAAGATATCTTGAATGCCAGGTCATTGTTCCAAACGACCCCTAGCCCCGCCAAAATCGCTACATTATTTGGAGAGGCTGCTACAGGCAGGCATACCTTGGTATGCCTCATATCGAATAAAAACATAGCCTTCTAATAAAAAACACCCTTGAGGTACGAGCGTGGTTCTCAATTCCAGTCCGGCGATAAAGCCTTGCTTCCCAACGAAGAGTCAGTCCCCTTACATATCTTACCTGTCAAAAAATGACAACTTGATAAAGCACCTGAAAGATCAAGCATTCTGGAACATTTGCTCATGTCGCCATCCGAGATTCCGAAATATCGATTTAACATGTTTTCGCGCATCAACGAGTAGCTCATTGTACTTGCTGTTCTTTCTTCGTTATGCAAAGACCCTCCCGAGTTCTGGGTAAATGGGCCGATCCGATAATAGCCAAGGTCATCATTGCAGTGCCTGTCGAGGTTTTCCAAGGAGCATTGGGCCGTCACATTTATACAGCGGGGTGTGGCCATGAAGACTTGAAAGTATGGAGTACAAGCTCACATATATGCACTAGTGGATTTTTGGCTTCCGAAATGACCAAAATTACCTGCAAAACGTGACGTGAAAATCAATTGGGAAGCAAGGTTCCCTAGGGATGAAACGCAGAAGGTTGAACATTTACATCAAGCACGATCTTCAGCCATGATTGGCCTACCATATGAGTGTTTACTCACCCTTTCTTCGGATCGCATATCGCGCAAGTTTATTTTGATGAATTACTGTGCCCAAAAAGCTATTGAATATCGCTTGGATCGACATGCAGATCATCGTTCCGATCTTCCCAATAGCATCAGCCGTTCGACTAGTATGCATCCACTATAAGATATGACCTGTCAAGAGTTTGCGTACTCGAGGCAAAGCTATCGGCAATCTGCACACGGGGAACTTTATGCCTCAAAATAAGAATACTATTTCCATGACGAAACGATGCGATTGAAGATGGATGGACTAGGTAACACCAATGTCGCCAAACACATCCTATTACAGATATCGCGCACAGTCGCGGCGCAGTCTGCACAACATTGGGCATCCATTGGAAGACTCGGTGTCACAGGCAACCTTTACCAGCCTCTTGGCCCAGCCAACAGAAGGAAGGACTCCCAGCACAAACGAGGAATGTGATGCATATAACCCATTTTCTCCTTGTCTATCCCGTACTATATGCCTACTTTGTACATTCCAAACCCAACTGACATTGATCGGATTGGCACTTCGAGGCAAGCAATCCCTTGCATTTGCGCCCCATTCTTCCTTGCTTGTCAGCCAACTCTACCCCAGCACTGACACCTCACGGACCAAGACGCATGATGCAACAGCCTTGTCCTCGGTTGGCAGCTTTGAAATCTATCCCCGGGATCTAGCTTAGCCATTTCTGCCGAATCGCTCTCCTCGGCCCAGTAGCCTGATCCGAATACATCTATTATAGATCTACCCGGGCCGCCGGTCAACAAGCCATGGCACGCACCCAAATTTATCACTGATGCTCCTCATCAAAACCTTTGGATAAATTGCCATCTCTCATACATGGCAGACTCGTCCATTAGTTTCCTGGCAGTGTGAAGTTCGGTTCAAGACGAAGGTCACTCTATCCATCAAGATGGGGAACGAGTCGCCCACTCCGCGCCAGCTTCTTACAGAAGCCATAGTCTTCTGGGCTATAGGACTTGTTATTTATGTCGGGAGAATGTAAGTTTGAAAAGCAAGTACCGAGTTATAACAATGTTAACTCAAGAAAAGCCTAGCTCGTATAATTGGCAATGGACAGGGAGTCAAACGTTTGTTCTGTAAGTCTTTGAGGCTTTACCTTTTTGATTCTACTGACCAGTAGATCTCTAGTGGACGACTATGTGATGACAGCAACGTTCGTAAGTTCTATTCCCGACAATCAGGTCACTTCGTTCCACTGACTAACTGCTCGACCTAAGGCAATCTATACCACAATGCTAATATTGATTCAAATATCTGCCCGTTACGCGACGAACCTCATGGACCCAAAGGACTACGACAAGGTGTTAGCAGACCCAAAGCAAGTCAGCGATCGGGTCTATGGAAGCAAAATTGTCATCGGGCTAGAGCAATGCATGTTGATATCAACTTGGGGCGTTAAGACGTGCATGTTGATGCTTTATTGGCGAATCACGCAGAATCTGAAATCGAACCTCTATATCAAGATTCTTTCTGTTTACGTCGCCATCGGATTCGTCGTCATAATGGTCACCTATTATGCTGTCTATTGCCGGCCATTCTCACAATACTGGGCCATGCCCGTGGATAACATGCAGTGTGCGACATACCAGCATTACTCGATAACCCAAGCCGTCTTCAACATTTCTTCTGACGCCGCCATGTTCGCCGTCCCGATTCCCCTCCTCATCAAAGCCCAACTCAAGATGCGCAGAAAGGTCGTCCTCATCGGTGTTATGAGTTTGGGCTTGTTCACCATAATTGCTGCTATCCTGAACAAATTTTTTAATTTCGCCTCCCCGCTCACAACCACCTACCAAATCTGGTACATCCGTGAAGCCAGCACAGCAATCTATGTCGCCAATCTCATGTGCTGGTGGCCACTACTGCGCAAGCTGTTTGGTGTTAAGGCATTCCAATATAACAGCAACCGAGGCCAGCGACCTGGAAATTCCGATAACCAGAAGAACGAATACCCCAGCAACTTGAAATCTTCTTCATTCACATTCTCTCGCATATGGAACTACCGAGGAAACAAGAACGCAACACCAGGCAAGTACAGAGGAGCCAAGCGCTCGAGTACTGAGCCCATCAACAAATCCAACACAGAGTTCTTCAACGATATGCATCGTATCGAAGCTATCCCCCTTGAGACTTGGAGCAAAAGGAGGATCTTGGAACTGAGACATCGGTAAACAAAGTGTCACCAAGCTCGTTCCAAAAACAATGCGATGTTCAATGTGACCAAAAGCAGCATGCACGCTCGCCCTGTCGATAACAAAATGTTCCGTGTATTTGAAATTCCTGTTTAGCTTGTACGATCTACGACGCTTTAGTTAATTCTTAGTATCTGAGATATCCGCTTTCCAAGCAGTCCTCCTAGAAGCCTTCTGAGGTATTTGTTTTATTCTTCTCCTTTCTCTATCCTATAGGAGGAAGGCCGGAAGGACAGCACAGGATTTTCTATGAATAACCAGGGATAACAAGGTAGAGTGTATATAGAAAATTCGTGACTTTGCTGGAGATGAGCGTGTTAGCTTGTTCGTGCATTTGAACTTGAATGATTCTTCTAAGACATGCCTACGCCGATGCCTGACTTGTCGGCTTTTTACCATGCATTTAGAGAGCTTCTCTTTATCGTGAATACAACCCTCTCCCTTCTTTAGGCTTTGCTCTCTTTCCTTTTTTCTCCCACGTTCTACTCTGTTCACCAATATGGGTGCTATCAGTGTTTTTGTTACCCGCGCCAATACACAAGAAGCATCTGACCAAGACCTTTCACGAGACAGACTCAGCGAGTCTCGCAATTCGGTCGTTCAAAACTGCGAGACCTTCTATGATCGTGTCTGTCAGGTTCCTCGCTTCTACACCGCCATCCAGAACTCTGATCGGCCACTGCGTTCTTCGGGATCTTTCTTCCAATAACTCACCAATATCCTAGGTGAGGGTCACGACAAAGGCTGTGACGTGATTATTATCTTGAACGGCTGGCACGCCCTGACCATAGATTAGATGACATTTTCTATAGGCACCTCCAGGCTACTTAAAATGCGTATTTTTCTTCCCAATTTCTGGTTATGTTTCCCATGAAGTAGATAATAAGAGTTTACCCCGGACTCACAGCTCAACCATGGTTGGTGCCGATCTTATAGCAACCTTGGAAGTGAGGTAGAGTATGGTGAGAATCGTTTTGGCAGATATATTCCTGAAACAAAGCGCCGATAGTCTAGTGGTTAAGACTCCGCTTTCCCACAATGGAATACTCCACTACCAAGCGGCAGCCCGGGTTCGAACCCCGGTCGGCGCATATACCTTTTTTTTCCTTTTTTGTCTCATTTCTCTCACGTCACTCTTGATTTTCTCTGTTGCTTCGTATCTCTTCTATCTATCTTCTTTTCTTAATCTATCGCTCTTCGGTTGTATCAAACTGCAGCACGCGCCCACCAACTATTCGTAGCTGACCTAGAGATGGTGCACTGTGCGAGCGAGACAAGATAGGTTTACGTTGAGGATTTGGCTTAGTTGATTGACGCGGAAGAGGCAAGGGGTGATGGGGGGGCGCGCGCGAGGGACAATACAGAAAGATCCTCCGAGACTTCATTGCAGACTGGACTCTCGGACCTCAGCTTGGTTTCATGTATATCAATAAATGAAGATTATATTCGAGTGGCAGAGAGCCTCAAATGTATGTAATAATCTTGGGCTGCTGAAATTGGCGCCCAACCTGGCAAGCCAGTCAGCCCCCATATCTTGCCGGGAGAGCCTCCTAGACCTTGTCCAATCCCATGAGCCTTTGTACTACATACATCGACCTTTGTACAACATCATGGATACAGACTGCAGTCAACTCCTCGGAGTTTTCGAGAAAGCAACAGAGCTCAAACTCTGCCCCAATCGCCTTTGGGCGGTTGCGAAGGAGGATTTACCAAAGATTCTCCCAAGTTTCAACTTGGACACGTATTTTTCAAATCGGCGTGAGGGGATTTCAGACCTTAAGGACCATGGGGAATGTACATCCAATTTCTGCGAATACTCTCAGCTTGATTTTACTACGGTGCAACAGCGTCACGAATGCCATGATGCCAAATGTGGACGATTACGAAGTCGATTTCTGAGGTACAGGTTGGAGCGTGCTGTCAGCGAAGGAAGCTCAACGGTCTGGAATTTGGACGGAACCTCTTTGCTTCAGCATCCTATGCCATACATGGCCATTTCTCATGTTTGGTCTGATGGGACCGGGAGTGGAGCTTGGAGGGATAGCGCTGTGAATGAATGTTTATATGCATTCTTCAGAGAGATTGCAGGCCGGTTCCAGTGTCAAGGAATATGGTGGGACACCATTTGCATTCCTCGGGAAAAGGCTGCACGTAATAAAGCGATTCAAGTGATCCAAACCAATTACGAGAACGCGCGAGTTACCCTAGTACATGACTGTTTTCTACGAAACTGGCGGTGGGATCCCCAAAATGCTTGTTTTGCCATCCTCATGTCGCCTTGGTTTAGTCGAGGCTGGACGGCCCTTGAATTGGCCAAGTCACGCAAAGTCAAGGTCATCTTTAAGGGGTCTAATGGTCCTGTTTTTAAGGACCTAGATGAAGAAATTCTTGCAAAGGAGGACGAGCCTGATGGTCCCCGCAAGTTTGCATCACGGATCATTCAGCATCTCCGAGACAAAATCAACACCCTGAACGACCTCTTGAGCGTTTTAAGCGCAAGATATACATCTTGGCCGAAGGATATGGCTATGATCGCTGCACTTTTAGTGGGTGTGAAGCCTCAAGACCAGCAACAAGAGACATATAAGAGTATCATTAAGCAATTCGGCTGGATTGCACCCGGTCACCTATTTCACAACTCGTTTACTATGTCTAATGGGTTCAGTTGGTGTCCGGCCAACTTATTTGATATTCCTTTAGACTCTTCGCCTCCATCCTTGTTTGTTTCCCCAACTGGATATGTTATAGGAAAGTGGCGTGTGAGTCGTGTGAGAGCAGGCCTTGAAAAAACTTGCTGGTGGGGTCGTACCCATGCCCTGATAAGGCTTGAACTCCAACACGCTCTCGAATCTCCTGGGAATTGTCGGCTCTTAGCCGAGTGCAGTACCTCCTTAGTTGAAAAGGCTTTGCTTGTTCGAAAGACGGGATGGACTGATCGCCATCAGTACATTGGTGTGTTGTACTTCCGTCAGGTATTAAACACAGCCACCGATGACTGGGTTGAAAAAGAAGTGATAATATCAAGTTATATTAATGATCATCGAGAAGAAGTTTTGATAGACACCAGCATTGCCAAAGACTTGAACATTGACAATGTTGATGTTTCCGACTGTGTTTCCAAACCTGAAAGATTACGCAGTGCGATATGGAGGGGATATTGGGATACATTCAGCTGTCTCATAGAGTGGAAGCACTTGGATATACCAGATGAGATAGGACGACGACCACTACATCTTGCAGCGGAACGAGGAGATGTGCAAATGGTTCGGGTTTTGTTGCGCTCTGGAGTGACCTCAAATCTACAGTGCAATCAAGGGCGGACAGCGTTACATAGCGCTGTTTGGGGAGGCTCGACTGCCGTCGTGAACCTTCTGCAAAACAGAATTGATGGAATGACGAAGGACAAGGATGGAAACATTGCTCTGCACATTGCAGCACAGATGGGAGTTGCATCTGTTGCAAAATCTCTCATAAATGACATCACTGGCAATGCGGCGACTCGTTGCGGTCTGACACCCCTACATTTTGCTGCCATATGGGGCCACAGAGAAGTTATTAAATTACTACAATATACCCATATCAACGCCATAGATAGCAGGATTGGTTTGACGCCGCTTCATTGTGCAGTTGAAAGCGGAAACATAGAGGTGGTTGAACTCCTCGTCGAGTATGGCGCCGAACTCAATGCAAGACGCAACCTGGTGGGCTGGACCCCCTTGCATATCGCCGCGATGAGCGGGAATAGGCTCATTGTCAAAACTTTGCTTGCGGCAGGCGCTGACAGGATGGCTAAGGACAAATATGGTTGGACGCCGCGACAGTTCGCAGAAATCAATGAGCATGTCGAGCTGATGGATGTTTTACCCGGCGAGGGCGTTGATAGCGTCTCAAGACCCGGAGATCACTGGACCCCCCTACACTGCAAAGCTATCAACAATGACCGTGGCATAGCGAAGTTGCTGATAGAGAGGGATATTGATACGTACCTAACCCTTCCTAAGAAGGATCGGTTCTCACCACTAAGATTCGCGGCAGAGAACGAACTCGGAACGGCAACCGAGTGGCTATTTTGGCAGGACGATCACTGGCTGAAAGAATCCAAGATAATGACGCTGAATTGGGCTGCGGAAAGAGGCTGTAAGGGATTTACCGAGCGGCTGCTCGAGAATGGCGCTAAGACGGAGCGTGGGAAAAATTCGGGCACCACACCGCTACTTATAGCTTGCCGTTATGGTCACGAAGCAATTGTACAGTTGCTACTTGAAGCAAATGCAAACAAAGAAGCAAGAAGTACGTCGGGAAAGACGCCTTTGCATGTTTCAGCCATTGCCGGGCACGACTCAATTGTGTGGTTACTGCTAGAGTTTGGCGCCGACAAGCTCGCCAATTCTTGGTCTTTAAAAACCCCCTTGCAATATGCTACACACCATGGGCACCAGGGGGTAGCCCGTCTCTTAATTGACGCCGGTGCCTCTATGGATGCTTGTACTATAGACCCAAAAGATCAGTTGAGAGTCGCTTATCGAGACGGGCACAACAAAAGCTTTCAGCTGCAGCTCGGGTCTTGCAAAATCAAACTCTTTGTGAATCAAAGCGCTGGGGATCGTGGTGGTAAGGTTTCCAATTTCATTTCAAATGGCAATGTAGATGACTATGAGGATGACGGCGAGGATGGTGACGAGGACAGTGACGAGGATAGTGACGAGGATAGTGACGAGGATAGCGACGATGATAGCGACGAGGATAGTGACGAGGATAGCGGTGATAGGAATGTGGTTGTCTCTGCGCACGACTGAATTACTAAGAGCATGCCGCTCAACCTCGTTACTACCCAAAGACAAACGAGAAACGTGAAGCTGCTACCAGAGACAAGCGTGGATAATAGAAATAGTCTCCATCGCCAGGGATCACACTTGATAAGAATGGCCGTGAGAAAATGGTACGTCTTCTTGTCGAAACGCAGGTCAGCATTCCAGCCGAAGTAAATGATACAGTAACGACACTCTACTACGCGACTTGTAATAGGAAGCCAGCGGCCGTTAGGCTATTAGTAGCAGCCGAAATTGCGAATAAAGGAGATGCTGATATCCTTCCGTGACTATGATAAGTAGATAAATGACTATAATAAGTAGATAAAGAGGGCTAAGTGTGATGATTGAACTACTAATTGAAGCCGGGGCTAATAATATTAAAGCTCAAAAGACTACTCAGTTGATCGAGGCACCAATATGGTGGCCGGAAAAAAGCGAGCAGCCACATGGCTAGATATCTCGGTTATGGTAGGCCGGGTTACGATTATTCGGCGGATTTGAATCGACCATCCACATCAATGCTAGATGTGAAGCATCTACGATACCCTCATTCGCCGTCGCAGGTGAGGATAAGGCTGCTATACTACTGCTACTCGAGGCTAATGCCGTCATAGTCATATTCATTAGAGATTTCAGCTATTGTAAAGTTTCTTTCCCTCTAAACTAATATTCACTCTATGATTTAGGTATCTTTGAATGCGAAGACTTACTAGGTCGCTATGCCCCAAACACTCATTTGTAGTCTGAGGAATATTTGGAGCACCAAGGCACCAACCGCGATAATGGCGTTGAAACTGGACTTTCCCATTTATTGTGTTAGGATGCCGCCTCAAAAGGAGCGGCAGTACAAAAAGTCAGCATGTCTTAAAAGCTCAGTGCTATTGGATAAGATATCGCTGCCCTCGCTATGGTCGCCGTAATATTCCGAGATTGAGGCTCAGAGCATAAAATGTAGGATTTTGATCTTGCAAGATCATGGCCACGTTCGATGCCCCTCATTTGTATTTTGCCCGGGTGGATGGCTTAGCCTTCGTGCCGGCTGATGCGTATGTGCTGTCACTCTTTTTGGAATTAAAAAGCCAAAGAGCCCAGTAGACTACATTGTGGCAGTTTATATCTGCATAGGCTTGAATTTCTTAAAACCTTGCCCACCGACCCGAACTAGTATTCGGAATCTGACATATATGCCAGTAAAGGTAATAAGCAATCAAAACAGACCTGTAGTGGATAACTTGCTGAAGAAGTCTTGATCTTATATCCTGTAGTCAGTTGTAATATGGTATATGAATCAGTGTATGACTCAAATGAAATAGCGGCGATGCACCAATGGCGAGTATTATTTGCATATACCATCTTAAGAGCCCTATATATTTTGTAGACGGCCACATGGATTGATGTATAGTCTCAGCACTCTGATATATTTTCAGAACGTCAATATTCTTTCCACCCTGACCTATTTCACGGCCTGTAGGACTTCCGCACTCGTTCCATGATTCCATCGCTCGAAAGATCTGCTAGTACAGTGTTCGGATCCTCGCAGGTGACCTCTGTTTTCAACAATAGAACTATCTTATCAAATTGGTCCCCTGAAGATCGCCCACGTCTGGTAATACCTGGTGCTAGCACAAGCCTCACCTTGAGAGCCTCGCTGGGTACCTGATAGTTGGACGGAAGGGTCATGGAGGAGGGGTTAAACATAAGCGACAAGCCTCTGGCAAAGGACCATCGAATTGAGGCAACTTGTCTGCTCAGATCCTGATCTAAGCGTACAGTCTGTTTGATCAGGTCGGTCAACTGGCTATGGAGCATTTCTGGATCTGAGTGCGAGAAACGACACAGCCATTTGTTCAGTGCCAAGCTTTGACGTGTAGCAAAGTCATGAACGTCATCCCGTGGAATGTTTTCGTCCAAGCTTTTGAGATGAATGAGCATGGTACTAGTGTTCGCTCGCCACGAGTGAAACTTGCGCAGTGGGTCTGGGACCTTGTCCTCTGTTATTTTCACCAGTGGATCTGCAATGCGTGCATCAGTCTTATTGTCCGCATATCCGGGCCCTCAGGCGGCACAGATTCAGCTGGTTAAAGACTCACCGAACAACTCAACCATCTTCTTCATTAGAGTACCCGCCTCATTCCCAGCCCAGCGAAACTTGTGGTCGAATATCAAAACGAAAAATACCCTCCAAATAAAAGCTTGCATGAGGTCAGGACGCAGAGTCTTGTTTCGTATGTAGGCATCGAAGTCTTGCTCGTGAAGGGGTACGTATCTATTGATTACATCGTAATCATCCGGGACGATGGTGACGCTGCCCAGTTCATGCTCAAAATGCTGTACGGCAAAGCTGCGAATATTAAACCGCAGCTCGGATACATCCCGAAGGAGCTCCTCGTCGGTCAACTGGTTAAAGCCTCGACCCTGTCGTAGGTGGCGGTTCAATTCATTCACCGACTGCTTCCAAGACTTGCGGTACTTCTCTGCTTCCTGTTGCGCTTTTTCTAGGGCCACCTTAGTAGATTGATGTTCTTCCCTTTCTTTCTCAAGCTCTTTCTGTGTGTCGTCTACAATCATCGCGAAGTCGCAAGTTGGAATGGCACGCGATCCAGCCAAGGACTGAGCTTCTGATGGGGCCACTTGATCCAATCTTCCTCCGGCTGGGGGTTTTATCTCCTCAAACTGTGCCATACAGGTATCATTACCAGGTGGAAGGTTTGTATCGGTGCTCATGTTGTCAATCCTTCTAATGATACTTCGTAGAGGTATCCGCAGTCGTACTTGACACCGAATGAAGTCAAAAGAGCGATAGAGATAAATATCGTATGAGATTTGGAAAGTGAGATACTGCTCGTGTTGAGACAGACACTAGAGTTGAATTGAACACACGTGTGAAAGTAATTACTCCGTAGTCGCATTCGTATTGTGGCTTTCCATCACGCGACGCGTTGCATGGCCCCCTATACGGAGTACAGGGGGGCCACAACGTCCAGAAGCTGGGAAGCGCGGCTCTGAAATTTAGCTCAAGCGATGAGCTAGGCAGCTTAGTCTCTATCGTGCGGTGTGCCTACCCAATATCTTACCTGTGGCTTTTGCAAGGATCAGGACGAGGCATCCAATACCAAATGTCCTCAACAAATGCTGACAGCCAAGCCCACCGGGGGCCAGGCTTACTATGTTGTTTGTACGGAGGACTCGGCGTTCATAGCCAAGAAATGCTGTCTATTTTTGCCTTCATCTACGCAGCAGTTTATCGATGGCGCAGGGAGTTATTCGTGGGGCGGAGCTCGCTTTTCCGGTCATTCTGGTCATCATGTCGCCCGGGTGAAACTTTTATTGTCGGTATATCTTCTATTTAAAACGTCTACTGAGGAGGCCTGCTACAATCTACACTTTTATTTGAGCGAAGATCTTTGTCACTGATTTACATATTACCCTAATCTTTCTTTTGCTCACACTCAACAGATTTACACATCATGACTAAATGGAAGACTGGGGAGGTACAAGACGGTACCTATATGACTAAGACCTCGGAAGTCATCACCGAGCATTGGGGGATGAAGGCAATGGCTGCGAGAATCAAGGAACTCGCAGAGGTCGATGATGTGTTGGTCATCGGCATTGACTTTGGAACCACGTTTGTATAACTGAACAGTTTGCTCCGTCAGCCAGAGTTAATCGGTATATAGATTCTCTGGTGCAGCATGGGCGACACTAGATGATTTTGAAAACAATGAAATCAACGTGATTACAAGCTGGCCCGATCACGGGCGCGATGAAGCTAAGGCGCCAAGTAAGCTACTCTACGAGGATGGAAAGGTGACGTGGGGATTCGGCGTTCCCGGTGACGCGGACCCCATCCGGTGGTTCAAGCTACTGCTTTTGCGCGAGGAAGATCTCTCCGACGAGGTCAGGCAGTCTGAATTTGTGTTGAGGGCGCGCAAAATGCTTCGAGAGACGGGAAAATCGGCCACAGATCTGGTTGCAGATTATCTCAAAGGACTCTGGCAACATACTTTGGAAACTATATACAAAACACGCACCGAAACTGTGGTGGACGCCTACATATTTCATGTGGTTGTCACTGTTCCTGCTATCTGGAAAGGCTATGCCCGCGATGCTATGGAGGAGGCCTTTGAGAAGGCCGGTATCCTGGAAGACCGCCCTGCTGGGACCACGACTCTCACTTTCGCTCCCGAACCCGAGGCTGCTGCTCTCGTCACACTTTGCGAGCAGGAAAAGTATATGAAGCCAGATGATGTATATCTAGTTTGTGATGCCGGAGGAGGCACGGTGGTAAGTGGGATGGAACTATAATCCACGTATCCACTTTCCGGATCAATGCTGATATATCCAGGATCTGATCACCTACCGAGTTGGAAGCGTAGAACCAATTCAGATACACGAAGCGGTTGTCGGAACAGGTAAGAATCTCACTCACCTCCTACCAAAATTTCAATTTGTGTGCACTTGGAACCAGACAGCTCATGGCTTTGGGAAACCCAGGAGGCCTATGCGGTGGTATCTTTGTGGATGAAGCATTTGAAACCATTTGCAAAAACCGCTTAGGTCGACGGTGGGGCAACCTGAGTCAAACGGGAATCAACAGTATCATGAAAACTGAGTGGGAGGAGAGCATAAAGGCTGGGTACAAACCGAGAGATGATGGCAGGGAATTCATTGTTCCAATCCCGGCTGAGGCTTTCAAAGGTGGAAGCATAAATGACACTTCTAGATCTCCAGTCATAAGGAATGCGCGAATCCATTTTTCTAGGTATAATGGTCTACTGCCCACGCTGACTGTCAACTAATATTCTCTAGTTCTGACATTGAAAAAGCGTTCACTTCCGTCTTCTCCGACATCGAGAGGCTCGTTGACGAGCAGATACGCAGTGCCAATGAGAAAGGTCTATCTGTCAAGGTAGGTTATCACGAGTATAACCCCGTCATCTATTCTCACTGTGACTAGAAAATCATTCTGGTCGGGGGACTTGGTTCCAGCCCCTATCTTTACGATCATTTGCGTTCAAGATACGTTTGCCACCGGATAGACATCATGCAAGCTAATGGCATGAGACCGTAAGTAGTTCTTTACTTTCTATACTCTTTTTACTCTTTGCATTATTCGGAAGCTCATAGACTCCCTTTTTATTGGTATTAGGCGCACAGCAATTTGTCGTGGGGCTGTTGTCAAGGGATTCTTGGATGCGCCCCATGCAACGAGGACCATCGATGCGCCGCTTAGTGTGGTTTCAACAATTGCTCGCCAAAGTCTCGGAGTCGTATACGCTACTAAATACGATGACGCAGTGCATCTTGCAAAAGATAAGTATTGGGACGATCATGAAGGCATTTGGAGAGCTTCGAAACAGATGGAGTGGTATCTCCGAAAGGTCAGTTCTGCCTAGTACACTTTTATGTGCATTCTAATTTACTGATCTTGCTCCAGGGAGATGATGTCCTCAAGGCGCGCCCTGTAAGGCACGATTTCTATCGGTCCTATAGATCCGAGGATGAGTTTGATGAGATGATCACGCAGGTCATCATGCAGTGTGACCACAACGATCCGCCATCTAGATGTAATACGAGTGTCAAAGAACTATGCAGGATTCACGTCAGCCTTGAGGCTATATTATACGACTCACTGGAGAGCTACAAGGGGGAGAACGGCCAAGCACTGAAGAAATTTTCATACGACTTAGAGATGGTGCCCTCCGGAGCTTCTACTGAGTTTGCGGTTTGGTATCAGGGCAGGAAGCTTGGCAGTGGGCAGGCAGATGTTCACTTCAAGTGATAATTCGAGGCCATTGCCACCCATGGTGCTTAACAATCCAGTTGACCTTTTGCTATCCCTGTATGGGATCTAGGTTACTTCATTGTGATCCGAAACATCGGTCCTTTGATGGGGGCATTCGAGCAGCCTGTTGAAACAGGCCTCGTTAAGATATTCTCATTTATTCTTTGGCTCTGACCTAGGTTGAGAAACCTTTTGATGACTTGCAGCTCTCTCTTTCTTCTGTTTCTTTGACTTTCTCTTTAGCTTCGCAATATCATCAAACCCTTTCCACTTTACTTGCTCCTGCTCATCCAATTCGCCTGGAAAGAAAACGGGTAGCAAGCTTTTACCCAGACAAGGGTAGAGGTGCTCAACCCTGAATAGAGCGTCCATGACTTTTGACTCACCTATTACCTCCACAAACTCCAGGTGCACACCAAAAGCCATTGGTAAGCGGCTTACACCAGCGGCATACACATTCTGGAGGATTCCTAACGCTCCCACCGCAAGAAGGAACCAGGTATCTTGTTGGATTCCTGCGGCAGTAATAAGTAGAATAATCCACATCGCACCTAGAGCGGTGATCGTCACTCTGGTTTTGTAGGAGGCAACCATTCCCGGGTCATTGGCGGCAAGATCCTCAAGATCGAATCCCGTACCATTACTTTGAATGACAATAGCATGTTGACTCCCATTTCCTGGCGTCAACACAAATGTTTTCGTCGTACTGCTTCGGCAAGCCCACTTTTCCTTTGACCACTGAGACAAGGCTCCCGTAGAAAAAGATAGAACAATACCTGCAGCCGTAACCAAAAAGATACCCCAATTACCAGAGAGGCCGAATGGAATAGCTGAAATTCCAAGCTGGACAATAGTGGTTAGGATTCCTGTTATGTACGGGGCATCGTATCCTGGATAGCTCTTGATAGCCCTTTGGGCCCTATAGATAGACACGCAGAGACCGGCCTTACGCGGCCGCTCTGGCTCTGGCTGCTTTTTTTTCCTTCGCAATTTCCTTAAGCACCTTCCACTTTGCGTCGGTAATCTCCTGAACACACTTTTGGACGGGCTTTGGATTCGAATCTGGCGTTACGTTTGGTTGGGCGTGCACTCGCGGTTGCTTGTCCATCCAATTATCGAAATCCCGCACAAGACGACCAATAATCCAGCTTCGATTATCCCGGATATAGCCGGTTTCACCATTGATCACCTTGCAGGGGAAGTCAGCGGGCGGCATTAACTTCTTCTCTCCCACAACTGCGACAACCGTGGTGACAGCGAACGCTACCCAGCCTAAAATGATACGAAAACAATAGGTCAGATACTCAATATCATAGCAAATCCGAGGCTCAAATCTCGTACCAAAAGAGAATGCGACTGGAGTAAGGCGCGATCCTGCCAACTGCGCAAGCGCGCGGCTAACAATATCGCCTCCAAGAATAAGGAGGACAGAGAAAATGTCGGAAGGCGTCTTCCATTGTGCTGAGAATTCAGTGACAGAAATACTCTCATTGAGCGTACGTTCTATCTTGGAGAACATAGGCGGCATAGTGCTCGGCCCAGTGTATCTGGCGCGCTTTAGGTGGGCAATTCGAAAGTCGTTCGAAGCTTGTTTGATTATATGAGACTGGTTGTTCGACGCATCAATGCCTGTAAATTGTGGAAAGGTCGTGAAGGGCGTTGGAAACTATTAATATGTGGCCAAGCAGCGGTTTTTTGTTTCAGCCCAAGATCGCTGGAGCCTACGTATATGGCGGGGAATAGGTGTAATAAGCTGATCTGACCAAATGCATTTGTCTTGTTTGCATGTATGCTATCCCAGTAACAAGACTCTTGGTCCTATCAAGATGTATTGACTCCATAGAAATTTTGTCGAAGTGTCGGAGTTCTTCAGGGTAAGTTGGGGGCTTGTTAATATGGAGCCGCTCCACACTAGTATTACGCGCCTAAGATAAGGTAAGTATAAATATGCCCCTAAATTAGAATATTGGTGCTACTACTTAAGAGGAAAGATCCTTTATCGTATGGTCGAGAAAAACGAGCGTTCACATATGTACTTTTTATATATTCTGCCTAGTAGAAGGGCCATGTTTTTGGCTTTGCGGTTAACTCGGCAACATCTCCATATCGACCCCACGCAAATGTGGGGTGAAATGGTGTCATAACTCATTTTCCACTCCTATTTTCCTCTCTCTCTCTGAGCAAGAGTCAGTGCTAGTCCGGATATCAAAGTGTGCCAAGGTAAAGGCAGTGTACGAGCCCCCGGTATATACCCCAGCCGAGGTCGCGTGGCTTCCCGAGCCAACCTTGGAACTCCGATGGGGCCTTCTCCGCAAACGAATCCTGGCCAAGGCCGCCAGGACCGAGATGTTTATCTTGCCCAGGACACTTCTGATCTGATCGGTATCCAGGCAGATTTGTCGAATTCTGAAAGCGATACGGATCTTGACAGCGATGACACCGCAATTTTCGAAATCAACCCCCATTCAACGAGGAGATTGGAGTCCGCACCGCTGATAACCAATCACCGACTGCCCTCCGCCGATGAAGATGATGGCGATTATGATCCCGACGGCGTGCTCAGGCCGGCTGAAGATGAGGAGAAACCAGTGACCTGGAGCTCGCTACCGAAAAAGGGTCAATTGGCAATCTTGACCTTGGCACGACTTTCAGAACCGTTGACGCAGACCTCTTTGCAGGCATACATGTTTTATCAGCTCAAATCGTTCGATCCATCTTTACCAGATTCGAAGATCTCTGCGCAGGCGGGCATCCTTCAGGGTAGCTTTACAGCCGCGCAATTTATCACCGCTGTCTGGTGGGGCCGTCTTGCGGATGCTGAGTGGATGGGGCGGAAGAAAGTGCTGTTGATCGGACTGATGGGCACTTGTCTGTCTTGTGTGGGCTTTGGCTTCTCTCGATCTTTTGCGACAGCCATGATCTTTCGAACACTGGGCGGGATATTGAACAGCAATGTGGGAGTGATGCGAACGCTGGTTGCAGAGATCATTGCCGAGAAGAAGTAAGTTCACATGTTCACTCACCGACTTGCTTTAGGCTAACCATTCAGGTATCAATCCCGCGCATTTCTGCTTCTCCCCATGTGCTTCAATATTGGTGTAATCATAGGTCCAATCCTGGGAGGCTCTTTGGCCGATCCTATCAACAGCTTTCCACAATTTTTCGGCCCTGGATCTACTTTTGGAGGCAAAGAGGGTGTCTGGTGGATGCAGCGTTGGCCCTATGCATTGCCAAATCTTATAAGCGCAATCTTCATATTCGCATCATTTCTCGCAATATTTCTTGGGCTCGATGAGGTGAGATCACCACTGTCCAAACTCACACCGTCACTAACAGCGCATCCGTTTAGACCCATGAAATTGCACGTTATAGGAAGGACTGGGGTCGCAAACTGGGCAAGCGGATCACAAGAGCTTGGAGCCGACGACCCCGACATTATCGTCCACTGACACGCTCCAGAGATGATGACTCCATTTACACGGACGGCAGTGTCGGTACTTGGTCCACGCCATCAAGTCCAGCCCGCTCTCGCGTGCATCCACGGCCACATAAAAAACTACATTTCCGCCAGATCTGGACACGAAACGTGATCTTGACTTTGGTGGCTCAGTTCTTGCTTGCCTTCCACACAAGTGCCTTCAACTCTATGACATTTGTGTTTTTGCCCGCACCCCGTGCTCCAGAGAACTCCAGGCAAGGTCTCTTCCATTTTGGCGGTGGACTAGGTCTTCCATCATCCCGAGTTGGGCTCGCTACTGCCATCATTGGTTTCATCGGTCTGCCACTCCAAATATTCCTCTATCCTCGGATACAGACAAAGCTTGGCACACTCACGTCATTCCGAACCTTCCTTCCCTTTTCGCCCATTGCATACGTGCTGATGCCCTTCCTTGTGATTCTTCCACGCATCCCATGGATTGTTTGGCCTTCTTTCACGTTTGTTGTTAGCTTGCAGGTCATCTCGCGGACATTCATCCTACCCGCTGCTATCATTTTGGTGAACAACTGTGTTACGGATCCGTCTGTCCTAGGCACAGTCCATGGAGTGGCACAGAGTATCTCTAGTGGAGCTCGGACGCTAGGGCCATTTCTGGGTGGCTGGGGGCTGGGATTGGGCCTCGAGAATAACATGATTGGAGCAGTTTGGTGGGCACTGGCTGTTGAGTCTTTGCTTGGCTGGGTGATGCTGTGGAGTATTTCCGAGGGCAAGGGAATTGAACGGAAGAAAGATGAGACAGAGGATGAGGAGTGATCTGATCTTTGACATGTTGCTAAATTTCATTGGCTACAGTCCTTAAACCGTGACAAACATAAACCCCTAACATGAAGGGCGAGTCTCATATGTAAACCGAAGTTTGATTCATATCTGCTTCATCCCCACTGAGCTCATGACATTATGGAAAGCTAGCGGTCAATATTTTATGTAATCACGCCCGAATAGACGGGGCAATGAATGCCTTCATTGCCTTGACGGCATCCCCATCATGAGCCTTAAGCAACTCCGTGGCCTTGGTCTTATTCAAATCCAGCTGGTCAACCTAGAGTCACATTAATAAACTCACCCTAAAAGAATAACTAGAGCTATAGACATGGCAAACATACCAGCAGTGTAACATCAGCTGGAGCGACCTTGACTGTCTTCTTTTTCACCGCCCCATCAGTCTTCAGTCCCTCAGACGTCTGCTTGTTGCCTGCATCTTTCCCAGCAGCTATCTCGAGTCGGCTCATTGCTCTTCCAAGAGCCTCTTGGTCTGCAGTAAGTGGTGCTCCAGTGGAGACACCCTCCGTTGCGATCTCATTCGTGTTCAGGGAGGAGAGAGCGGCTGCGGCCTTGCGGTCTTCGGCGTTTGCGGGGAGGCCTTTTTCGACGGCATCTGGGTCAGCAGTTGTAGAAGGAATTGCATCAGACATATTTTCTTTGCTTGGCGGGCGTTGGAGGTCGAATTCAATCGTGACTTGAGCTGTGTTTTGACAGCACGACGTCACTGATAAAGCTCGGGTTCAGATAAGTGCTGACGTAATTGTTTGTTCCCGACTCGACAGCAAGTCTGGGTTTTGTTTTATGATTTTTCGACCTCTCTTTTTCTTCCAACAGTTTGATCATCTTCGACTTGGTATTGTATGTTTCTAGGTAATTTGCGCCCATTCGCAGCTAAGACCCTTTCGGGTGACTCCACAGCTTATAATCTCCACTCTGAGGCTCCGCTTTTGAACACGCCAAAACAACCTCGGAAGTCGCTACAATCTATCGTCATAAAACTCTGGAGCTACATGAAAAATGATATACACAACTAGATTAGGCTGACACTTGCAGTATGGTGGCGGGCTGACTGCATGACCTCGAGACGAGAAGGCAACCAAGGCTTTGGGCTTGGGGTATGGCCCCGGTCTGGTAAATCAATCAACCTTGAACACAAAGAAATCCAACTTGCACCATTATTGATTAGACTCGCAATATAATAGCAATGAAGAAGTCTTTTGAGGTGCGAATTGATGCAGGGTACAGCTTGTCTCGCGCTGTAATAACGATGAAGAAATATTAGACAAATCCCACTGTCGGAAAGGGCTCATAACGAAGCCCTATAATGAGTAGGTCTTCCAGTGTGGAGAGTAAGATCGCGAGACTCCTAGAGTCTACACATAATAGCTAGAGTCTCCAGATCTTGCTGGCAGTCAACGAATGAAGAGACAAGAGGATTCAACCACTGCCTTTGTGTCCTTTGACGGCTTCGAGTTTGGACCGTATTGGTCTTGAAACCAACAACTAAGCCTTTGTCGTGTTTCCAGTCATTTTCAAATGTCTCTGGCTAAATGATAATGCGCACCATCGCTTTCGTAATTGCTATTGTTACCTCTCAGCCTATGCGATACAGCCAATACATTGTCAATCCTATAAATAGCTTTGCTCCAACTACCACCATCACCACCTCGAGCTATCCCCTCCGTCCATCTCTCATCCGATCCATCAGCCCGCTGAATGGTTACATCTCCATGCTCTCTTTTGACCTACTTGGTCTTTTTTGGAGCATTTATTCACCTACAGTCACATATCAGCCCACAAATCAACCATGAGCACCACCCCTCACAATGCCTCCAGCCAGGGAAAGCCCCTTTACTGACGTCGTGTCAATATGGGAAGGGGCCTACCACAACGCGTGGCGTCGCTTTCAAAGGTGCCTTGTGGAAGTACTTAACAGGCTTTGCTGGAGCAACCCATCCCCCGAAGATCGCCAAACGACCATCCAAAAACTGTTTCGACTTCCAATTGAGGTTGACAATATCCAAAGCACGGGACAGGCCATGTTTGAGCACGTTCCAGGTTGCCAGACTGTGCAAAAGGAGGCACTTGCTTACTTCGCCACTGGTTTCATCCGGGACTGCCTCGATCTCCATTTTCAGCTGAACATGTGGGCATGGAGGCTCACGAATACCCCGAGGAGTGATAGGACGATTTACAAACGCCTTGTCAGGCTACTGCACTCTATCGAAGATCGAGTGCCGGATTGATGTGCTAGATGGCTTGGTTTGTCGGATTTCATGACTATCTATTGGCATTGACTTTGAACGTGCTAATCCGGAAGATTATGGATAGCCTCCAAGGGAAACTATCGACTTACCACACCCTTTTTATGACGTTGAGTTATGAATCTCAAATGGTTCCAACATCTGATTGTACGAGCTCTATGGTCTGATTCTTTAGATTAAATTGCCGCCCTTATCGACTTTGAAATGCTAACATCTCAGCTTATACACAGCCCACGAGTCGAGCGAGCGATAAGAGCGGTTTACCATATCTTTCCCATGTTTTCACATATCGGTGACACTTGGAATCAGATTAAGATGGTGAGTGATACCAGATGCATGACTTTGGATAACAGGCAAGCAATATGACCAGCTTACATCGCGCGATACTTAGGTATGTAGGTCACAAGTCATATACCATATTGCATCTGTTATGTATAGTATTAAGTAGGTACATATTAATGAAAGGGTTGTTGTAAACACAGATATCTCTCGCACAGGGTAGTAGTGCATTATAAACTGCCAGGCAGGCAAATGAATTATCCAGCAATGCTCTACAGGGCAAGAGCCAGAGCCAAAATACCAGCTGCGCCAGCAACGCCCATGGCAACACCCCCGGTAGGCGCGGGAGCACCACCGGTAGACTGCGAAGAAGAGGGAGAAGATGATGCAGAGCTGGAGGTTGACTCAGAGCTGGAGGTTGACTCAGAGCCGGAGCTTGAGGTAGAGGAAGCCGAAGTGGTCTGGGCGGCGTTGGAAGAGATCTGGCTGGCAGTGATGCTGGAGCCAGTCTCGATGGCGCTGCTACCAGCAGACTTAGTCGGAGTGGAGCTGCTATCAGCGGTTGCCGAGACACCACCAACGATGTCGGCACCGAAATGCTCAGTGGCCCAGGACTTAACGTCGCTAGGCAACGCGTTGTACCAAGCTGGGTAGGTGCCAGCGGAAGCGGCGCTGTCGATCGCAGAGAGGGAGGCCGGGTTCATGAGGTCATTGTACCACGACTCCGGGATAGCTGTTGCTAGAACGCTCATAATGGAGCTGGGCACGTCCTCGAGATCGAGAGTGTCATCGCTGTCGGTAGTCTCTGTGCTTGAAGATGTGGCAGTAGGATCCGCAGGGGCGGCCAGGGCCGTGGCGGCGAAGAAAAGAGTGGCAAGGATCTTGTACTGCATGATTAAACGAGGGAGTATAAAGAGTATCAAGAGAAGAAAGAAAAACAATGCCAGAAGGCTTAAATACGCTGAGGAAATCCGGGAATTCAGCCTCTGCCTTGAAAAGGTTCCACGTTTTACTTGTAGCGTCACGCTAGTGCCAAACAAGCAAAAGCTAAATCGATGCCCGAGATTCGGCCAATCACCGTTCGTATGTCCCTTCAGCTCGGCCCGATGAGACCAAATTCCCTCGCCGCTAGACCGCTCTCGACCGAAGTTGCCTATTATACGAGACTAATCAGGCGCTATGTTCATTTCGCCTCCCGGTCTCCAATTTCCATGCCCCTTTTTTTTTGTTTCCGTGATCCGTTTCTAAATTTGGTGGAAGGCAGTGAAGGCCTTTCTATGCCAAGGGAGAGCTCTACATTCAAATCTGTCTTGGTATATTATAGAAACTATACTCCGTACTGATATAAGAATCCACCTTGTCTCCAAGCATTATCCGTTTATGGATCATATCTATCAATTTCCAGGGTCTTACTTCTGCCGATCTTATAGCCAATCATGTACCGCAAGGGTCGTTTTGGTTTGTTTTGAATTTTCTGACCAGATTATGTTACATATTCCTACTACTCTGCACGGAGTACTCCATACCCCATACTTGGTTATATTAGGGTTAGGCAGTCAATTATCTCTTGAGTAACACTTATAGATAATTCCAATGAACCTCGTATCATATATGCACCATACTCAATAATAATATTGTAATGACTCCAGACTGAGGATATCTTGACCAAAATGTTTCTGCGCTATGTAATCAATTTCGCTAATTTCAGCTAATCTCATCTAAAATCGATGTTTCAAGAGGCGCTGTTCATGATTGCAAGTCCTATCCCGCGTGATTCTTCACTCAATTACGAGAACTTCGCTGCTGTTTGCAATGAGGCAACCTTCATCACTTAATGCATCATACAGGCTATATTCGAGAACAGGCACTCATTCATATTATCATAGAGTCCGTTTCCCAAATCCACGGCCTTTCAACCGCATTCAGGTCCCTGGATAAAACAGAACTCATTATCTAGGCCGTGACAGGTCTTCTAATATTTTACATGTCAAAAGTATTAGGTCATAAAATTCAACCTTTTTTTTGGCTTGGGCTGTAAAGAATGAAGGTCAGGTCAGGAGGTTGCTGAGGGCTCAATCGGACCTAGTGGTGCATGCTCAATGGGCATTGCCCTTGTTTCCGGTCAGATAGAACTGCTTGATTTCGATGTCCGCTGCATGGAACTTTCAGCAACCTCCTGACCTGTATTCATACCAAGGTCACACACTGAGGAATGTGGGATGAATATTCGGCCTGAGGGGTAAGGCATCAGAATGAGTCATCCGAGTACCGGGGATAAGCGGCGTATCACATCACAATGTTTTTCTTTTGTTACGTGTGCCCTTGATATCTTTTCGCTCAGTCCTTTGTTGCCAATTCGCACTATTCCACTGCTTATTTTGATCTGGTATCAATTGCATTTTTTGGTTACAGCTGGTCAAACGGAAGAGATTTAACTCATATCATCCCCCCACCTTTCGGGTTCAATTGCCCGCACCATGGCCGAATGGAGCCCTAGTTGTAAGAGCAAAACTCTGGACAATGTCTTTGGCCTGGACTAACTATATCTAGCTTGGACACAAAAGCCCATCAAGCAAGATGTCATCTACGAAGATCTGCAAGGGTTAAAAGACTCGCTACAGAAATTACAGAAGCTTCCTCCACTTGTGACCACACAGGAAGTATGTCTTATCCTTAGACTGAGTCTTAGCTGCCATATTGACATGTTTCACAGATCAATAATCTCAAGAAGAACCTCCGAAATGTCGCTTTGGGCAAGGCATTCGTCCTCCAGGGTGGTACGTTGCACAGGAGAATATCCACGTAACATAACTAACCATTTCCTTCAGGTGACTGTGCGGAGCTTTTCGACTACTGCAGCCAAGAAATGATCGAAGCTAAGGTGAAGCTCTTGTTGCAAATGAGTTTGGTTCTCATCTGGGGTGTGTCAGACCCCCACAAAAAGCAAAGAGAATGACAACTAACCCAACCGATAGGTGCCAACAAGCCCGTCATCCGTATTGCCCGCATTGCAGGCCAGTTTGCAAAGTAGGTCCCTCGCTCATGTACCCATAAGTATAAAATTGACACAAAAAAACTAGGCCACGCTCAAGTCCAACAGAAGTCGTCAATGGAGTGGAAATGCCCTCTTTCCGCGGTGACAACATTAATGGCTTCCCAGCAGACATCAAATCCCGCCAACCAGACCCATCACGTCTAGTCTCCGCCTACTTCCACTCCGCGGCAACTCTGAATTATCTCCGTGCCTCTCTCTCCTCAGGCCTGGCAGACCTGCATTCCCCACTAGACTGGGGTCTGGGCCATGTAATCACGCCCTCGATCAAAGAGCAATACGCCAAAACCGTAGGCGCGGTAAAGGATGCCCTGCGCTTCATGCACACCGTAGGAATCGACAAAGACCGTGGCTTCGAGACAGCCGACATCTTCACCAGTCACGAAGGCCTCTCCCTGGAATACGAGCAGAGTCTAACCCGACTCCTTCGCCACCCAGCCTACCCAGGAAACAGCACCACCCATGAAACAGGCTACTACGCAACATCCGGCCACTTCATCTGGATCGGCGACCGGACACGTCAACTCGGCGGTGCGCATGTCGAGTTCTTCCGCGGCATCGCTAACCCCGTTGGAATCAAGATCGGACCTAGCATGGGCGCGGAGGAGCTGGTGCAGCTGCTGGACGTTGTTAACCCGGATCGCGAGATCGGTAAAGTCACTCTGATTTCCCGTTACGGCGCTTCCAAAATCGCAGAATTCCTCCCTGGTCACATTGCCGCTGTGCAGGCCTCTGGTCATATCCCCGTCTGGCAATGTGATCCCATGCACGGTAATACGCAGAGCACATCATCGGGCGTGAAGACCCGCCACTTCACGGATATTCTGTCTGAGTTGAAGCAGGCGTTAGAAATTCATCGCACTGCGGGCTCATTCCTTGGTGGTATGCATCTTGAACTTACTGGGGAGGCTGTCACTGAGTGTGTGGGTGGTGCTGCTGGACTGACAGCGGATGGGCTTGGAGAGCGTTATACAACATTCTGCGATCCTCGCTTGAATGAAAAGCAGGCTTTGGAGCTCGCTTTCTTGGTTGCTGGATTCTACCGTGAAGAGTCTCAGGAGTGATATAGTCGTGGTCGAACGGACACGGCGTATGTGAAAGTTGAAGCGGATCAGCTAAAATATTCCGGGTATTATCATCGAGTTTCTGAATCAAAAGTCATGTGTTGTGAATTTATCATGGTAATGAGTAATTTAAATCATCTGAAATTGAATTGATATAACTGAGACTCGAACAAACAGCAAGGACTCTCAGCCTCCCTCAAAAACAGTACAACCTATCCACCTCGCCGCCGTGGGGCAAAAATAGAAAAACGCCAAAACAAACATTGTCCCCATATTTACAGTGACTGGGTATGCATTCACAAAAAGGCGCAACACAATGAATAAAATCAAGGTACAAGAGGGCTACCGACAGCAGGCTTGTATACAAGACTCTTGCGTCTGGCAGCTTCCATACGGAAGCGGCGCTGCCTCCGAGATTCCTCGTCTTGGCCATCGTCTAGCAGGATACTGGAAGGCTTGGCACTCGGGAACAAACCTCGGTTGCTCTGCTTTGGTGGGCAAGATTGCTGGACAAGCTTGGAGCGATTCCCAAGGAATCCCGGTGTAGCGGGTGACATGCCAATGGCATCGAGGTTGGAAAAGTTATATCCTGGAGTGGCAGGGAATTGATAGCTATCAGCAGCAGATTGTTGAGGTGGTGTGGAGGGCATCTTCTGCTGGTGGGTCGGGGGTGTGATCTTCCGGAAACCCTCAACGGCACCGGGGTTGACGCCACTGCGACGACCGCCGGGAGATGGCGCGGGAGATTCGGAAATGCGCACGAGCGTACCATTCACATTACTGAGTGCACGAGGCTCCATACTCTTACGGCGCTTGGCGCCTCCACGTGGAATGATAGAGCTGTCAACCGCGTATGGGGTTTCATCGAGCCATTGGTTTTCCCGTTCGCAACTAGAGAGAACAGTCAGAAAAGCTAAAAAAGGTAAACAAAACATAAACTTACTCGAGAACCCAGCCGACCCCAACACACTTGACAAGACCCGCTGCCTTCTTTACTTTCTCCATAGTCCGCAGACCACCATCTTTGTACACAACATGGGTTATGCCAACTCTGAAGTCTTTGGGCTCTACATCATCAACTGGCGAGAGACTGGACCGAGGGTTCCAGGACCAGGACTTCACACATCGGGCCCCCATTTGCTGCAAAAGTTCCACAAAGATACCAGAGGCATCCTCGCCCTCGGTGGTATGAACATCCACATGCACGACTGCTCCATGCAGAGCCTTCTGCTCAGTGCTGATGCTACGACGTGGCTTCTTAGAAGGACTAGCGGTTGTGGCAGGAGTACTAGGCGCAGCCATCACTGGTGCTTTTACGCTACTGCGTCTCCCACTTATCGAGCGGCGTTTTGGTGTTGGACTTCTGCTCACCCGGGGGGCTTTCCGGGAGGGAGACAGAATTGGCGCAGTGTCATTGAGTGCCATAAATGCTGGCTTGCGAATACGCGGAGAAGACCGAGTGGGCGATGTGCTTGAGAGGGATAGACCTCTCTTGCGAGACAGCTTAAGAGGTGACACGTCGCCTGCCGCTTTCAAAGGCACTTTTGACACTGTATGAATGGTGCGTAACTCATCGAGTCGGATTGGAGCCTTCATTGGTGTTGACGGCAAAACCGGACCACAATTCTCTTTGTCATCGAGTAAATCAAACTCTTGGCCCTGATCTTGCGGGGCTTCGGCGGCAGAAGTCTGCTCCGCTTCACTGATTTCCAGGTCAAGATCCTCAAAGATATCTGTGGTTATCCTTGGCGAGTCAATTATTTGGTGATCTTCGTAGATGGAAGATGGCCGTGGAGTCCGCTCATACTCAGGACTCACGCAGGTAGCATCGCTTTGGGGCTGAAGCGGCAATTCGGCAAACAAAGAGGGGGTCTGGGCCAAAGGACTTTTTGGCAAATTAGGATACGACACAGTATCAGAATTCGTAGGAGTCTCGGTGTTGCTGCGGTCCAAGGGGCCGACTAACGAGAAAACACCACGTCGGCGCGGTCGGAGTGATCTAGCTTGAGAAGGCGTATTTTGTTCCCAGCGGCCAAACTTTTGTGCCAATGGCGTAAAACCCAAGCTAGCCTTGGCAGGGGACTGGTGCTGATCAACAGCACTTGGTGTGTTGAAGAGACTTGGTGCCATTAATACAGGGCTATCAACCTGATTGTTTGGCGCCAAGCTATTTTCTTCATGCAGGGGCGTGCCAATGATCACATTATTGGCATTCTTGGCATCGAGGGTGGAGTCATGATCATTCTTTGAGTCGTCTGGGCGATCCAAAAACAAGGGAGTAGATTCACCGCCTGTGGGAGTCGGCTGTAGTGAAGTAATCGCGTGAGTCCCTTGAGGCGGCGTTGCAATGTCCTCAAGACTCTTGCTCTCATGTGGCAAAGCAGGCTTTGGTGAGATTGTAACAGATCCAGGCGCAGCCAGTGTAGTAGACTCGGCGTCTTCCACCTCGCTCTCCTCACCCATCACATGTTCCTCTTCCTCAGGATAATGATTGGCTTCTTCCTCCTCTTGTTGCCATTCACCTTCACTTGCCAAGGCATGACCCATTTCAACAACTGGCTGGGCTTCATCACGATAAATTGAACCCAATGGTGACCTGGAGAGCAGAGAAAGTTCATTCGGCTGCTCTGTCATGTTCATTTCTTGTATTTCCGTAAACTGCGAGGGTTCCGGTGTCAATTCCTGAGCCTGCAATCCAATATCAAAATGTTGAGACTCTTCCTCCTCGATCTCGCTCTCCAGTACCGCAAGCTCTTCTTCAGGGTCATTCGTGTCCTCCATGACTGAGTCTGTCACTTGACCTTCTCCATCATGCATGTCATTCACCGCAAGGTGTGCATCTTCCATAATGTCAAAGCAAATTGTTTCAAGCTCCTCAGACTCTAATTCATTGTTGTCGTGAAGATCTTCCTCGTCTTCTGGGTCTGAAGCCTCCTGGACTTGTTGATTATGAGGATCAAGCGCTTCGGTTTGGGCGTCCTCCATAGCATCAAAACGAATTGTGTCGAGCTCTTCGTACTCAAATTCGCTCTCCTCTTGAAGATCCTCCCCTTCTTCTAGGTCTGAAGCTTCCTGGACTTGTTGGTCATCGAGATCATGCGCTGCCATATTGGCCTCTTCCATGGCATCGAAACAAATAGTGTCGGCTTCTTCGTGGTCGAATTGAGCCTGCTCTTCAAGTTGTCCTCCAACTCCTGCGCCCGAGTCTTCCTGGGGCTCTTGGTCATAACAGTCCTCCGTTGCCAGATTGGCCTCTTCCATGACGTCGAAGCAAATCGTTTCAGGCTCGTCGTACTCGAGCTGGACATTATGCTGAAGATGTTCACTGTCATCTAATTCCAAGTCCAAGTCACCTTCGGTCTCCATCTCCGCAGTGAGAGAGTAGGTGTTTCCATCATCAAATGAGTGTTGGGCAACCTCTGAGGCAGTAATATCTTTTTGAATTGGAGAAATCGATGATGGCTTTCCATCAGAAGATAGCTCAATGCCAAAAATATCTCGAGCCACATCCTCAACCATTTCAGAGTCTCGTTCAAAGCCCGCCTCGGATTGGCTTTCCCTTGGCGACGACTTGGGGGTTGTAGATTGTGCGAGTTCAGCCACCTTGGAGGGGGTACCATCATTGTCTGTTGGTTGACAGGTGCCCACAGATGCATATGCAGAGAATATCGAGTTTTTGAATGGAGAGGCTATTCTCTTTGCGGGGCTTTGAAACAGAGGAGTTCGAGCAGGGGCTACCGACGTAGAGGCCTTGAATGGCGACTGCGAAAAGGAAGCTCCCAAAAATCCCTTCTTAGGTGACATCTTTAGTGGAGAAGTGCGTCCGGGTGTGAAATCAGGTGCGGGAATCGGGTTCACGCTATCCCGGAAGAGGGAACCTCCACGATTCGGGGTCTCTCTGATGGAGAACAGGAAGGGAGATGATGGCGGTGGTCGTCTCGCAGGGCTAGACATGAACATAGAATCAATTGAATTTCCAGGCGGAAGAGCGAGGTGGCCATTATCTGCGACTGTGTTTTGGCTGCGGTTCGGGGCAAAGTTGATTTTTCTGACTGGTGAGCTAAGCCCGATGTTGTCTGACCCGTGTTTTGGTGTTGGTAGTTTAGGTTCGCCATTTTCGTCAATGAAGCTCGATGCCTTCTTGGGAGTAAAGTTGATTCTCCGCACAGGAGAGCTCAGTCCCGTATTCTCCGAGCCGTGCTTGACAGGCGAGTGAACAACGAGTCTGAGCGGATCGGCGTTGTCATCCTTGATGGTGTTCAATTCATCATCTTCTCCATCGGAGCTTGCGTATGCTGATAGAGACTTGGCTACCTGCTTGGCCTTCTTGGGAGATAATGGTTGAGTCGCATCCTTCTTCGCTGCAGCTGGCTTCCTTCCCCGAGTACCGGTTGTCACAGGCTTCCGAACTGCAGATGCTCCAAGGCCGGCCTTGGCACCGCTCGTGGCCTTGGTCGCTACTCGTCGACGGCCGACAGCAGGAACCTCGGGCTCAGTTTCCTCGGCTTCGGAATCAGTGACATCCTGGAATTTCACTGTCTTCTTCTTGGCGGGCCCACGCAGAAGATTTGATCGCATAGTTGTCGAGTTGGTCGCAATTCTAATTTGGTTCGGTTTCGTCTCAATCGCTGTATCAACCACCGCTCGCGTCCGCCTGCTTGTAGCCGCCGTTTGAAGCTGAGGGGCCTTCGTTGTTGTTCCCGCTCTTGGTCGTCCTCTGGTCTTCGGTGCGGCCTCGGGCTTGGGCGCAGCAGCTTCTGCGGGCAACGGATTTTTCCTCGGTCGTCCGACACGCTTTTTAGGCGCCTCAGTTTGCTGTCCTAGTCCATCTTCGCCGGTGATCTTTTGAGCTTTTGACCTTTCGGCGAGAGACTCCAAAGCCTTCTTTCCTCGGGCAATCGCAGTCGCGGTCACTCTGGGTTTGATAGCCGGGCGGACAGAAGGGCGTACGCTGGGTTTGGCGGGTTTACTTGTGATACATTCCAGCTCATCGTCGGACTCAACATCGAGAGCCGGAGGTGCAGTTCGTGGTGCTGGTGTTGCTTTTCGGGGAGCTTTCCTCTTCGCGTCGGCAGCAGCTGTCGACTTAGTTGAAGTTCGTACCCGTTTTGCAGGGGATTGTGGGATCACCGCAGCACGTGCCATATTGATATTGCCAGTCGTCGTGGATGGTCGCTATTAGTGTTGGCATGCGACGCTCATGGCGGATTTGGTCGGTCAAATGTGATATTCGGCCCGATGTCGTTAGGTCGCAGGTTACCGAGAGTGTCGAATTAGGTGCATGAAAAAGGAAGCAAGGCAAAGCAAACAACCCACTGTGGAGGTGGCGGCCGATCCGAGGTTGCTTGTTGTGCCGTTTCCCATAGCAACACGGACACGTGATATGATCGACGCCTCTTTCGGCAAACACATCAACAAGGATGTTGCATTTGATTCATTCAAGTGCAGATCAGATACGAGCCATGACAAGAAGCAAGGTAAGGTCTTTCCCTGTATTTATCTGAAATATGCTGACGAAATAATTGGAAAGTTAAAACTTGCACCATAACTTGTACACCATAAAGATATATATATTCTTACTAGCTATCTGTTCAGTGTAGCTCTCATTGGTTCAAACCCTCTGTTATACATTATGTTTCTGGCGATAGATGCTGAATAGAAAAATGCTCCCACCCAGCTATTAGCACTTTGCCCTTATTGTGTATATATACATAGTGCAGCACAAATTCAAGTTGCAGAGGAACAAGGCATATTTACTTGACGGACGTAAATTCCTGACGATTTATTTGCAATGACATTGAATGCAGGAAAATGGAACGCTGCACTCAGTGCAAACATGTCTCTTAAATAAGAAAATATATGCATTACTATTGAATTGAACTCATGAAATCCGAAGAAATCTAGGTAGATACCGGAAGAATAAAAGGCACGAGGATGGCTCGATGGCACATCGTACGTGCTTGAAAAAGAAGTGTATCGGAATGCCGACGATACATGGTTCGAATGTGAATAGCTGCAACATAGCAGCGGGAAGAAGAAGGTTTCATGAAATACTGTTATACCAGGATGAGCATTGCCAGACCAGCTGCGACAACCGTAGACAGCATGGTGGGCAAATTCACCGAGGCCATACTCTCAGCCAGGTAATAAGCCGGATCATAGTTTGTCGGTCTGGTGGAGTTCACAGTGCCGTTCCAGCAGTACCGATCGAAACACTGGTTACAGATATCCGGGAGGGTGGTACCCGTGCGCTCGAACGAGCGGCTGAGGATAGCACAGCCAACACAGGATGTCCAATTGGCGTCAACGGTGCTGTTGGCCATAGTGGCAACCTCGTAGCCATTGAGGATGATGTTGTCACGCTCAGTGTCGTCGGTGCTTAGTTGGAAGGTTGAGATGTTGGAATGGTAGGAATAAGGGGCATTAGGGATGTATACGATGAGAGGAGTATTTCCGGTTTGGTTGGCACTATCACAGCCAAAGAAAGATGGCCGAAGGTTGAGGCCCAGGTTGATGAAGGTATTCTGGTCTGGAACGGCAGGGAAGGAGGTACCGTTGCCAATACCGCTGGAGTTCAGGCTGCGCTCGTAGGTTGCAACCAGGGATGTGCCGTTTGGCCAGAAATAGTCAGTGTCAGCCGAGGAGTCGACAGCAAAGATGACATCGACATGGCGCTCGGGCTGGATAAGAGGATGCAAAGGGACGTTCTGGCCATCCTCGCCGCCATCCACGACGTCTAGCATTTCTTGCGCGGCATACGGCGATGTGTGCGGGTTGTATTTATAGAAGGGGTTGGGATCATACGAAGCAATGTCGTTTTGATCTTTGTCTAACCCCTTCAAGATGCCGTTGAACACATTCTTTACGAAGTCGGGGAGCGAAGTGGTGTTGAGCTGGAGAAGGAACTGGTTGAAGAGAGTGGAGGAGGTTCCGATCACAAAGCCAGCATTGTCGAAACCGCTGATGCAGCTCTCGTTTTTCGGAAGCAAGCCAGCCTCGAACTTAGAGCCGAGGTACTTAAGGGGGATGAAACCAAAGATGGTCGGGTCAAAGGTGCCGAACTCCCACGGGTTGAACTCGTAGACGGTCGCATTACCACCAACGACCAACTCACCGGGGTTACGGCCATCTGCAACGACAAACGGCATGGGGTAGTCTCCATCCTGGAATGCAGGGGTGTCGGCAATAGAAGACCAGGTATAGCTGACCCCACCATTGGTAGCATTGAACATTTGATAGGAGAGGGCGCGGCCCCTGTAGCGACGTTAGCAAACATGCACATACATTTCATAATCAGGAATAACATACCAGAGATCAGTGAGAGAGGTATCAAAGCCAGCCTTCTTCTTCGCGTCGACAGCGTCAGCAAGTTCCTTGTAGTAACTGGCAGAATCCAAGAGCTGGATACCACCAGTATCAGGACCCTCGAGGATCGAGTTCCCAAACTGCCAGATGGAACCATCCTTGTGTGTCTGCAGCTTGTCGATCGTGGTGAAGTTATTGATATAGATTGAACCCAGTAGCCAGCTGCCTCCACTCAAACCCGAGATATAGGTAGCAGACTGCAACAGACCACCCAAATGCCCAGTCGTCGACGCATTGTACGTCCGGCTGTCGAAAGCCTTGACGGCGCCGGCACCGTTCATCAACGCACGCCATCCACCACCTGAAACGGCAATGCCGATATTGGGAAGACTCGAGGAGTTACTCGAGTGCTTATCGAGGTAGCCGGCGACGTCATAATCACCGACTTTCACATGTCCGAAGAAATCTTTCATCGCCGACAGGGTCTTCCCGCGGCGAACCTTTAGCCATGATGTCTCGTTCGGGGACAGCTTCTCTGCGCTGCGAACTGTCGGTCGGTCCGCTGGGCAGCTGACGGATGTCGGCACGTATCCGTCGGGCGCATTGGGGAGTGCTCGTTGCACACCTGCGAATGTGATATCATCGGGATTGAACCCGCCAGGGGCAGCGATCGCGCCTACGGGAATATGGTGATTAGTGTGGAACACTATTATTTTGCGGGTGTAAAGGTCCAATTACGCCAAGAATGGTAACCCCGTCAAAAACCCAACGCGAGGAGAAGCACTTACCGGGCAAGCCCAGGGCAATTGAGATCAGCGCAAAAGTCTTCATGACGGTTAGATCACGATGGCAGACTGTGAAGTGCGGAAGAGAAAGGAATGAATTCCTATGTCCTAGGGGAAGATTCTTATGCACCAAGGGGGAATACTTATGCGCCGGGCCCGCCGGAAGGATAGCCAAGCCCCCCAATGTCGCAGAGTAGTTCTTTTGGTACGGTGAGTATGTTCGTAGGGATCGCGAATCATGGCGGCCGAGTGGAGTGGAGGGAAGTCAAAGATGCCGGGGGCTCCGTCTTACACTACACAGCAGAATGATAAATATAGGAAAAAAATAGAAAAAAAATAGAAAAAAATCCCATTCTTCCCTTATGTTGAGGCGCAGGTCAGACCTCAGCTCCGAGATAGAATAGGTAAGGCTACCCAAAGGGGCTGAGGACTGATCCTGAGGTCATCGTGCGATTTGGTATATCGTAATAAATATCAGTTCTGTAGGCATCCGCATTTCAGTCGTCATCATTGGAGGTTCATCAATGCCTGAAAGTGGATTTCAAATTTCTCCAAACGGTTCTGCGGACAACTTAAGGTCCGAGATGGATAATAGCATAAAATTTCATGAGGGATTGTAATTGGTTGAGCTCAAGATTATGCAGTACAATCCAATTATATTCTACAGTTTCAGGTATAGTGTTGTATTTTGCGTTTGTGGCGTGTAAGGCTATATGGATGCTCACAAAGGCAGTACGACGGGAGTTCAATATCCGCTTACTACCAGATGACAAGAGAACCTGTGAAGTTATCAGTTGAATTGAATTATTCGATAAAAGTGTTGGGCTTAAAGACTTCACCCCACTCCGGACACTCAGTACCAAGCTAAAGCAAGGTAACATGTTTTCCCACCCTCTCAACCACGACCGGGCCCAATCTCGGCAATCTCAAACTGTGCCTGTGTCTGACTATCCCGGTTCTCGTTTGCTTGCACATGACCCTCGGGCAAGTTATTCAACTCATCCTCCTCCTTATCCAGACCCCAGAACTGGACAATGAAAATGGTTCCTCCGACAAGCGTCAAAACAGCGAAGACAGCGTAGTTCCAGATCAACAATGGGTCCTTGGAAAGTGGTATCAATGCCTCAGCGATGGCAGCGGAGATGGCATTGGTGAACATGTTGATAGCTTGGATCAGGGAACGCATATTGCGAGGCGCTTTGGAATAGGCATACTCCATCGAGGTGATCACGGCAAAGATCTCCGAAAAAGCGACGAGCACGTACGAGCCAGCCTGAGCCCAGACAATGATAGGAGTCGGGTTGACACTGCCGTCGTCGTTGTAGCAGTTGTTAGCTCGGTAACCGCAGGGCGAAGTCTCGTAGATGTAGTACTGGATGACAGCAGCCCAGATCATGGAGAGTGAAGCCAGCCAGAAGCCAAGGGTGATCTTCTTAATGGCCGTGAATCGAATTCCCATTTTGCGCAATCCGGAATACAGGAAGGTGTCGCAGAGCGGGACGAAGATCAGCAGCGCCAAGGGATCAAGATTGTTCACAACGTCGTTCGGGACGCCTTTCAAGGTCATCGTACCGGCCTGCGCGGTGAGATTGCTTGTCAATTGGTTGTAGGCTAGCCAGTAGATAGGGAACCAGCAAAATACGGCACAAGCGGCAAATCCACGGCGCACTTCGTCTACCCATGCATCGTCGAAGGTCATCCACTTGGGCCGGGACTGGGGCTCGATGTTAGAGGGCTTCGCGGTGTCCCAGAGAGTTCCATCGTGAGTTCGCTTCCAGAGAACGTATGGGTTATAGTGCCAGCGACCACGCATACAAAAAAAGAATGTCTTGATGGCCTTGTAAGTCACCGACCCTGCCGGGGTAGACTGGCGATAGCGGTGACGACCCCACCACATGACGAATGGAGTGGTCAGGAACATAAGCGTGGGCAGCAAGAAGGCCAACCAGAAGCCGATGTATTTCTCCGCATATGCCATGCCAATCTGACCTATCAATGCGCCAAGGTTGATAAACACGTAGAAGTAGTGGTAGATACGGCTCTGAGTGATAGTAG